ACAATTTTTTATATATAAAAAAAAAATTCTCTTTAAGACGAGATTCATTCTCACTATTAAAAGCTCGCGTGCAAAACTCATTTAATATCCAGTCTGTGACGTTTATTTTTCTACACTAATATTGTGCTTTTCTCTCTCTCTCTCTCTCTCTCCAGTTATCACTGTCTTTTATTGAAACTTTTTTTTTATATATATATATAAAAGTAGGTTAAATATTGTATATCTAACACTCACGAATTTTTTTTTCGCTCACGCTTCATTTATTCATCTTGAAAATTAAAAGCAAAAAAAAATATATATGATTAATTCAAGAAATAAATTATCAAGTTCAAAATTAAATTTTCCTTCTTGATATACGAAAAAAAAAATATCGCGTTTCCCGATGTTTTTTGTCTCTCTATTTTTTTTTTCTCTCCTTGAGAATGGAGATTTTATTTATATATAAGTAAGTAAAAATATACGCATAGCAGCAAGAGGCAAATTAAAAATATAATTTTCTTAAATTAAATTTGTTCTCAATTCCAATTTCATTTAGTAAAATTAACGAGGTCGTAACTTTAATAATTATTGAATATATAAACACATTTAACGGTGTCGTGTAAAGAGAGAGAGAGAGAGAACTATATATATGCTTTCCGTCTTACACTAATGACTTTCTTATTCACTAAAGACCAGATCGAAGGAGCTCTTAACTCTTGAATTACAGGGATTTCAAACCAAGGTTCACGGTTCTTACACCTGTCACAGAACGCTTTTACTAGAGTTTCACGTTTGTAATTTTCCTTCTACAAAAGCAGATATTTCTCATTTTATACATATATATATATAGATACTCGAAATTTATTAAAAATATACTTCTAATTTATTAAATCGAAAAAAATTTGCATTTTCGATTTAATTAATAATTATTATATTTAAATTAAATTAATAATTATTAATTAATTATTTAATTTCATTTAAATAATAAAAGGAGATTTTAGATAAAAAAATTGGAGATTTCAATTATTATTAATATTTAATTAAAATTAATAATTGAAAACTTCGTTGAAAGATTAAAAATTTCTATTATTATTAATATTAAATTAATAATAGCTAATTAATTAATTAAATTAATATAATTGAAGATTTTAGTTGAAAGATTGAAAACTTCCAATTATTATTATTATTATTACCAAGAAACCATATAAACTAAAATTTAATTAAATAAATCATAAATTTTTTTTAATGTTTTAATTAAATTATAAAAGAATAAAAAAAATTTTTTCTTTAAAATAAAAAATATTTTTCTATAAAAGATTTTTTCTCCAAAGAGAAAATAAATTAATATAGATTACTAATTTTTTAATCAATTATATATAAATTATAAAATAGAATTAATTTTGTATTTGAAAATGATAAAAAAAAAAAGAAACAATTGCTAAAAAGTTTTTTTTTTTTTTTTAATTTTCTTCGCGCGTACTTTTAAAAGAAGTCAAAGAAACTTGTCATGATAATAAAGTTGTTCTTTTTTTTTTACTCTTTTCTCTTGTTTCTTTTTTGTTGAAAGTAGTTGCTCTAGCTATATATATAGAGAGAGAGTTTCGCATTTTTCTTTCAAGTTCCTCTCCCTTGGAATTGTCTTAAGATTTTTCACAGCACTTTACCCGCCGCAGGAGGCAACTCCGCCCTCTCTTTCTCGCAATAATCTCTCTCTCTCTCTCTCTCTCTCTTTCCCTACGTTACGATTTTTTACAAGGAAAAACTTCACTTGGAAAATCCGCACAATTTTCTGCCAACTCTTTCGAAAAACTAAGAGCTAACGTCAACATTATATGACGAGAGAATTTTTTTTTTTTTTTTGCAAATCACTTCTTTTCAAGAAGTACACTTTATTCATAAAGATATAAAAAAATAATTTTTGCGAACATTTAGAAAAAAAACGATATTCTAAGTATATAGTGAATATATATATTTTATATTTAATTTTTAAAAAATATTTTTTCTATTTTTTTTTTTTTTTTTGTAGCGGTTATTTTGTAATTTTTTTTTCGTTTAAAAAAAATTCGGCTTTTAATTTTAATAATAAAAAGTGTATTTTCGCAATATATGTAAGTATGAACTTAAAATCTCATGTGCAGAAAATTAAAGCCTAAGATTAACAATTTAATTATATTTTACTGCGCTGTGATTTAGTGGTCGCGTATAAAAGCATTCAATTTAGTTCAGCGAGTTGTGTATGTGCAAGCAGAGAGTGTATAAAGCATAAGTGAAACATTGTAACAACGAAAAAAATTCCATTTTTCCTCGGATTCAAACAATTATTTTTTAAATTAAAAAAACTTTTTTTTTTAAATTTAGCATAATTTATTTATACTTTAAATATTCTTTTTTTTAATTTATAAATTAATAATTTAATAATATTAAAATAATTTAATTTAAATTAATAATTTATTTATATATTTATTTATTTACTTATTTATTAAGAATAATTTAATATCAAATCAAACGTTGTGGTATGATTTCAAAAGTATAACTTAATCTTGAGAGAAAATTCTATTATTGTAAATTGAAAATAAATTGGTTTACTTTTTATTTTTTAATATTATCTCCAATTTCTGAAAGCTTTTAAATTTTCAATAAATTTAACAGTGAATGGAGCTTTTATAAAATCTACAAAATGGAATATACACTCAAGAACACACCCGGAATATTTAAATCTAATTTTAGATAAGCTTTTTACCAAAAAGTATATATTTTTCTATATATATTTATATTTGCTGAAATGCATTTGATGGCGCGGTTTCAAAAAAAAAGAGAATTTTATATTAAACATATTTTTCCAATTTTAAAGCACCTAAAAATAGTTCGATGAAATATTGTAAGCAAGTTATAAAAATATATATTTAAATAAAAAAGAAAAATATTTCACGTCCGACTAAAATTTGGTTTTACTACTTATTTTTTATAATTTACAGGAATTTAATACATTTTGTCTGACTAAATATTTTTATTACTACTGAGAATAGAAACGATGTTTACTACTGTTACAAAAATCACAACAACAAAATTAAGAACTCTGACTATAAAAAGACTTTTACTACTTGTTTTAGTATTACAAAAATTAAAAATTATTTGTCTTACTATAAACGGACTTATACTACTTATATTGTAAATATACGGAATGAAAAATTATTTGTCTGACTAAAAAGTGACTTTTACTACTTGTTTTGAAATTATAGGAATTATTTATAATTTTTTGATTTATATAATTGGGAAATTAAATTTTAATTTACTGCAATTTTAAATTTTAATTAGAATTTTAATTAGGAATTAAAAACGATTTGCCTGACTAATAACAAACTTTCACTACTTTAATATTGAAATAAAAAATAATTTGTCTGACTGAAAACGGACTTTTACTACTTATTTCCAAATAATAAAAAAAAAATAAATACAATATTAAAAATAAAAATTATTACTACTTGTTTTAGAATTACAAGAATTAAAAATTATTTGTCTGACTAGAAACGGACTTTCACTACTTATATTGAAACTGAAAAAAATTAAAAATTATTTGTCTGACTGAAAACGGACTCTTACTACTTATTTCCAAATAATGAGATGATTATAAACGGACTTATACTACTAACATTAAAAAATAAAGGAAATTAAAATTGATTTGTCTGACTAAAAACTGATATTTACTACTTCTATTAAAATTATAGAAAATTGAAAACGATTTGTCTGACTAAAAGTTATTTTTACTACTTATAAATGAAATTGCAAAAATTAAAAATGAATTGCCTGACTAAAAACGAACTTCTGCTACTTACATAGAAAAAACTAAATTACAAATTACTTGTCTGACAAAAATCTGACTTTTGCTACTTATACTAGAAAAATTAAAATGGATTTGTCTGACTAAAAACGGATTATACTACTTATATTGAAAATAGACGAAATTAAAAATTATTTGTCTGACTAAAAGTTATTTTTACTACTTATAAATGAAATCGAACAAATTAAAAATGACTTGGCTGACTAAAAACCAACTTAGACTACTTACATTGAAAAAATTTATACAAAAAAATAATTATTAATACAAAAATATGTAATTGTTATATAAAAAATATGAATTACAATATAAAACAAAAAAAGAAATTAAATTATTGACTAATAAAAAATTAAAATTGCTTTTTTTTTCTTAATAGAATATTAAAAATTCCAATTTTTATATAAATCAATGAAAAAAATGATATCGACATTTATAATTAAAAATTATATATAATTTACGAATATTTAACTAATTACGTGATCAAAAAAAAAATGAGTCAAGAAACTTTTGCCGTATAATTTTCACAGATAAATAGTCGATGGTTTGAGATGATGCTATATATTGCTATCGCGATGCCGCAATTTTCGTTTTCCATTCCACGCGTGTCTCCTAGGGGATCGGCAAGTAAAACGAGCGAAGCAACGCTCATTCGTAAGAGCGACGGTACCGCTTATTGCCTTCCATTATACAAATCCAAATTGGAAAGTCACCCTACCCCGAAGGTGCACACTATATATATATTGCATATTACATCTCAACTATATATTTATTTATACTTCTACTTTTTCAAGTGTGCTTATTCGACTTTCCGCATTTTCAATTTTTTGAAAAACAAATTTAAAAAAAAAAAAAATGATAAATTTTTTTTAAAAATATTCTTTTCCCCTCATCTTTCTATTAAATTTCTATAAAATAATTATTTTTCTATGACAATTTTTTTATTAATTAATTTAATTATTCCTTTATTTATTTAAGTATTTATTTATTAATATATTTAATTATTTTTTTTAACCCTATTTATTAATTTATTTATTTAAATATAAATTTTTTTTTCATTGATTTTAAAATATACTTTTTTGCCAAAAATTATACTACCTAATTTTTACCAAAATTTTTTTTTATATTTTTTGCAAAAAAAAAATCACTAATGTTTGTCTAATTTTCTTCTTATTTTTGTTTTTTGCAGAAGAAAAGAAGGCTGTAGAATAATGGCTGGACAATATACATTGACAGAATCCAGTGACATTCTCAGAGTAAGTTTATAAAACCAAAAAAAAAAATATTCTGTGTAATTAATTACCTGTAAAATACCTATTTAAAAAAAAAATTTATTTTGATTCAAATAATTTAATTATAATTTATCTATTTTAAAATAAAAATAAATTAATTATAAAAAAAAATAAATAATAAAATTATAAATAAATTAATTATAAATAAATAATAATAAGAATAATAATATTATAAATAAATTTATTATTAAATAATTATTATTTGTATCAATTAAATGTTATTTGATTTAAATACAAAAATTTTGAATTCAAATATTTAATTTAAATAAAAATTTTTCGATTTAAGTAAATAATTTATTTACTTATTTTAATAATAATTATTATTATTATTTATTTATTTTATTATTATATTTGACCATAATGATGAGTTTAATTTTGAGGTGTTGAAAATTCATTCAATATGAAATTAATTGAGGAAAATAGGATTTTCCATTGAAACTTTTAGTCACAGTCCTTATATCAAGCCACAGCAAAAGTTTCACGCTTCTCAATACCAGATTTCCTATACTATACTATATATATATATATAGATATAGGAAGTGTGCTGGTTTTGGTACTACTTCAATCAGGATAATTTCAATTGAGGTACATATGAAGTGAACTTTGAACTCACTCTTGGTAAGGTCTCTCTCTCTCTCTCTCCTTTACTTTTCTCCACTGTTCCATTCCATCAACCACAAATGGAAGCTGCAAACCATTCGAGCAATCGTTCTCTGCGGGACTCTATGAATTCCTTCTCTCTGACCTATCGCGTTCCTTTACTTCATTTAAATGATCGATAACGCTTCATTCAACATCAAACATGCATTTTTATATATAAAAAAAATTTTACCTCCTCAAAAAAAGTTTAACCGAAAAAGAAATTAATTTAACAGTTGAAAATAATTTTTTGCTAAAAAATTTTATATATATATTTTTTTTCATACTGTTGTATAATGAAATTATTTTGAAAATTTTTATTGCGATATGAAATTATTTGTTAAGGTATTTTAATATATTCTTCGGAAAATTAAAAAGAAGTAAAAGTAACAGTAACAAGTAAAATATTTTTTTTGTCTGACTCAAAACTGAGATTTACTACTTATTCAATGTTTACAAGGATTCGGTACGGGGTTAGTCGAACTAAAAAGTGATTTATACTACTTTTATTAAAATTATAGATATCGAAATCGATACGTCTGACTAAAAAGTTAATTTTACTACTTATATTAAAATTTTATTAAATAATATAACAATTGGTCTGGCAAAAAAATTGAATTTTTCTACTTATATATTTTAAAAAATTGATTTGTCTAACTAAAAACGTACTTTTACTACTTATTTTGAAATTGCATGAATCAAATTTAATTTGTCTGACTAGAAACCGATTTTTATTATTTATATTGAAATTATAGAAAATAAAAATATTATCAATTGATTTATACTACTTATTACTAAATTGTACTAATTAAAACTGATTTGTCTGACTAAAAACGGACTTGTACTACTTACATCGAAAATAGACGAAATTACAAATTATTTGTCTGAGTAAAAAGTCTCTTTTACTACTTACATTGAAATTATGAATTGAAAACGACTTGCCTGACTAATAACATACTTTTACTACTTATATTGAAACTATACCAATTAAAAACGACTTGTCTGCCTAAAAACTGAATTTTGCTACTTATAATAACAAAATTAAATTTCACTTGTCTGACTAAATACGAACTTTTACTACTTATTGTGAAACTACATGAAATAAATTTGATTTTTCTGACTAAACGGTGACTTTTACTACTTATATTGAAACTGAAAAAAATTAAAAATAATTTGTCTGACTGAAAACGGACTCTTACTACTTATTTCCAAATAATGAGAAATAAAAAACGAATTGTCTGACTATAATAATATAATATAATAAATATAATATAATAATATATATAATATATATATATATATATATATATATATATATATATATCAATAATATAATATAAATATAATATAATATTATAATAAATTATAACTTATTAAAAAATTAACGAAATTAAAATTGATTTGTCTGACTAAAAACGGATTATACTACGTACGTTGAAAATAGACGAAATTAAAAATGATTTGTCTGACTATAAAGTGACTTTTACTACTTATATTGAAACTTCATGAATTAAAACGACTTTTCTGACTAAAAACAGACTTTCACTACTTATATCGAAACTACACGAATAAAAAATTACTTGTCTGTCTAAAAACCACCTTTTACTATTTAAAATTTTTTCAAGTTTTAGTAACTTAAAAATTTAATTTAACATAAATTTTTGTTCTTAGGGTCAAAATATTTTTCTTGATCAAAGAAATTAAGTTTCGTTTCATTCAATGTGATATTTCTTACTATATGTATAGTGTGAGTATTGAGAAAATAATTCCCAAACAAATAAAAAGAATTAATACATATTTAATTAATATAAGGAAAATAAAAATAAAAACAAATTAATAGACATGAACGAAAAATTAAATAAAAATGGATATAAAAACTAAATATATATATATAAATATATATTTATATAGTAGAATCAGATTAAGATAAAAGTTTCGTTCTCCTTTAGATATATAAATAGAGAGAGGGAGAGAAAAAAAAGAGAGATTAAAGGAAAAAAAAAGACTAATGGGTTAAGTTAAAAAAAATTCAAGTAGTGTTTCGTTAATTAATTATGAACTATTTCCGAAACAAGTTAGAAAAGTTCTTTCCCTTGTCTGATCGTATACTCTCCTTCCGATTAATCCTGCAATTTTTTTTTTCGTTGATGAACGAATGTGTTTCTAGTTTCTATATATATATATCTAATAATCCTAAGCTCTATAATCACAATTGCGTGACACAAACATTTCCTTCCCGAGGAAATACACATCCAAAAAAACAAAAAAAAAACATTCCCAAAAAAAATATTTTCAAAAAACTAATTTTAGATTCTTTACTCTATTATAGAAATTTTCTTTCGTGAGAATTTTTTTTCTCTTTTTTTTCTAAATATTTTGTTTGAAATAAAAAAAAAATCTTCTCATATATATATATATACGGTACAGAGATTATTTTCCTTTGAGGAAAAATGAAAATAATTTAATAGAATGAAATGTTTTTTTTTTTTTTTTTTTTTTGAAAAAGCTTTTTGAACATATATAGCGTGAATGTACCTGATAGGGGTGGATCCTAATAATGCTAGTGCACTGTCCCTGACGTCAGGCTAAAATACGCTTTTGCACGTGGCTTATACGACTGGAAAAGCAGTGAATCTCAAATGAAATTCAACAAACGAACGCGAGTGAAATGGAATTTTAATGAAAATTGTTAACTTTTCCTTTTTATCATAGAAAATGATTTTTCTTTTTTTTTTTTCTTTTAATTATCATATAAATATAATTATTTATTAATTTTCTTGGATTATAGTTTCTTTTTCTCTCATTATTCTGATTTAACGATAAAATGAAATTTTATAAAAAAAAAATTTATTTGATTCAAATAATCGGTTATACTTAAATATTATCAAATAAATATTTATTTGATAGCAAATTAATTTTTATTTGAATTAAATAAATTTTATTTGAATCAAATAAATTCTATTTGAACCAATAATTTCTGTAGTTAAAACAAATATATACTATTTAATTGACTCAAATAAAATATAACAAATAATATTTAATACAAATAATTATTTACTTGATAAATAGAAAAGTAAAGGATTATTTAAATCAAATAACTTTTTTTTCTTATTAATTATATAAATTTAAAAAAAAATTGAATTTTTTAAATTTTTTTTGAGAATAAAAAATTTTATTATTATAATTAAATTCTAATAAAATTTTCTTTATTTGAAAGTAAATTAATAACATTTATTTGAAAATACCTAAATTGTTATTTGTTAAATATATTTTTTTCGAATTACATAAGGTGAAAAATTGTTGAATTTTATTTTTCCTTCTTTTTGGGATGCTCGTAGAAGTTGATTTTCACAGACAACGTCCTCTCGATAAATCGTTAATGGTGTAGGGTTTCTTCATTCCAGAAGTTCTTTTTTATTAAATAATCAGCCTGAGAAGCACGCTCTAATCTATACATATAGAAAGGGATTTAGAAAGTTCGATGATGGAAAAAAAAATATAATGAAAATGTTTCTATAACTGATATCAAATTCCAATAAGATTTCAATTGAATCAAAATTAAGTTTATATAATTAAAAAAAACAAGTTGTAAATTCAGATGTTCATTAAGACCTTGACTTGACCTTGACCTTGTGTCAAACTTTTAATGCACTTCTAAATTTATTCAGTGGTTCAAATAAATATTTAGCCAGACATTCTAATGGTTGAAATTTTCTCAGTAGTATCACTCAGTAGTATTAGTCAGCAGTAGTACAAGTAGTAGTACAATATTGTCAGTAGTACAAGTAAATATTTAGTTGGACGGGTTTGCAATTTTGTTAGTAATACAAGTAAATATTTAGTCAGACATTCTTGATTTGACCTTCAAACGACCTTGAATGACCTTGACTTGACCTTCAAATGACCTTGAATGACCTTGAATGACCTTGACTTGACCTTCAAATGACCTTGAACGACCTTGACTTGACCATGACCTTGAGCCATGCAGTAGTGGTTTTAATAAATATATAGCCAGACATTCTAAAAGTTTGAAATTTCCTCAGTAGTATCACTCAGTAGTATTACTCAGCAGTAGTACAAATTTCTCAGTAGTATTACTCAGCAGTAGTACAAATTTTTCAGTAGTGTTACTCAGCAGTAGTACAATTTTCTCAGTAGTATTACTCAGCAGTAGTACAAATTTCTCAGTAGTATTTCTCAGCAGTAGTACAAATTTCTCAGTAGTATTACTCAGCAGTAGTACAATTTTCTCAGTTGTATTACTCAGCAGTAGTACAAGTAAAAATTTAGTTGGACGGGTTTGCAATTTTGTTAGTAATACAAGTAAATCTTTAGTCAGACATTCTTGATTTGACCTTCAAACGACCTTGAATGACCTTGACTTGACCTTCAAATGACCTTGAATGACCTTGACTTGACCTTCAAATGACCTTGAACGACCTTGACTTGAGCTTGAGCTTTCAGTAGTTCAAATAAATATTTAGCCAGACGTTTAAAATTTTCTCAGTAGTATCATTCAGTAGTATTACTCAGCAGTAGTACAAATTTTTTAGTAGTGTTATTCAGCAGTAGTACAAATTTCTCAGTAGTATTACTCAGCAGTAGTACAACTATCTCAGTAGTATTACTCAGCAGTAGTACAACTATCTCAGTAGTATTTCTCAGCAGTAGTACAAATTTCTCAGCAGTAGTACAAATTTCTCAGTAGTATTTCTCAGCAGTAGTACAAATTTCTCAGTAGTATTTCTCAGCAGTAGTACAAATTTCTCAGTAGTATTACTCAGCAGTAGTACAATTTTCTCAGTTGTATTACTCAGCAGTAGTACAAGTAAAAATTTAGTTGGACGGGTTTGCAATTTTGTTAGTAATACAAGTAAATATTTAGTCAGACATTCTTGATTTGACCTTCAAACGACCTTGAATGACCTTGACTTGACCTTCAAATGACCTTGAATGACCTTGACTTGACCTTCAAATGACCTTGAACGACCTTGACTTGAGCTTTCAGTAGTTCAAATAAATATTTAGCCAGACGTTTAAAATTTTCTCAGTAGTATCATTCAGTAGTATTACTCAGCAGTAGTACAAATTTTTCAGTAGTGTTACTCAGCAGTAGTACAAATTTCTCAGTAGTATTACTCAGCAGTAGTACAAATTTTTCAGTAGTGTTACTCAGCAGTAGTACAAATTTCTCAGTAGTATTACTCAGCAGTAGTACAAATTTTTCAGTAGTGTTACTCAGCAGTAGTACAAATTTCTCAGTAGTATTACTCAGCAGTAGTACAATTTTCTCAGTTGTATTACTCAGCAGTAGTACAAGTAAAAATTTAGTTGGACGGGTTTGCAATTTTGTTAGTAATACAAGTAAATATTTAGTCAGACATTCTTGATTTGACCTTCAAACGACCTTGAATGACCTTGACTTGACCTTCAAATGACCTTGAATGACCTTGACTTGACCTTCAAATGACCTTGAACGACCTTGACTTGAGCTTTCAGTAGTTCAAATAAATATTTAGCCAGACGTTTAAAATTTTCTCAGTAGTATCATTCAGTAGTATTACTCAGCAGTAGTACAAATTTTTCAGTAGTGTTACTCAGCAGTAGTACAAATTTCTCAGTAGTATTACTCAGCAGTAGTACAAATTTTTCAGTAGTGTTACTCAGCAGTAGTACAAATTTCTCAGTAGTATTACTCAGCAGTAGTACAATTTTCTCAGTAGTATTACTCAGCAGTAGTACAATTTTCTCAGTAGTATTTCTCAGCAGTAGTACAAATTTCTCAGCAGTAGTACAAATTTCTCAGTAGTATTTCTCAGCAGTAGTACAAATTTCTCAGTAGTATTTCTCAGCAGTAGTACAAATTTCTCAGTAGTATTTCTCAGCAGTAGTACAAATTTCTCAGTAGTATTACTCAGCAGTAGTACAATTTTCTCAGTTGTATTACTCAGCAGTAGTACAAGTAAAAATTTAGTTGGACGGGTTTGCAATTTTGTTAGTAATACAAGTAAATATTTAGTCAGACATTCTTGATTTGACCTTCAAACGACCTTGAATGAACTTGACTTGACCTTCAAATGACCTTGAATGACCTTGACTTGACCTTCAAATGACCTTGAACGACCTTGACTTGAGCTTTCAGTAGTTCAAATAAATATTTAGCCAGACGTTTAAAATTTTCTCAGTAGTATCATTCAGTAGTATTACTCAGCAGTAGTACAAATTTCTCAGTAGTATTACTCAGCAGTAGTACAAATTTTTCAGTAGTGTTACTCAGCAGTAGTACAAATTTCTCAGTAGTATTACTCAGCAGTAGTACAATTTTCTCAGTTGTATTACTCAGCAGTAGTACAAGTAAAAATTTAGTTGGACGGGTTTGCAATTTTGTTAGTAATACAAGTAAATATTTAGTCAGACATTCTTGATTTGACCTTCAAACGACCTTGAATGAACTTGACTTGACCTTCAAATGACCTTGAATGACCTTGACTTGACCTTCAAATGACCTTGAACGACCTTGACTTGAGCTTTCAGTAGTTCAAATAAATATTTAGCCAGACGTTTAAAATTTTCTCAGTAGTATCATTTAGTAGTATTACTCAGCAGTAGTACAAATTTTTCAGTAGTGTTACTTTGCAGTAGTACAATTTTCTCGGTAGTATTACTCAGCAGTAGTGCAAGTAAATATTTTGTTAGGCTCGTTCTTTCTACAAAAATCGAATAAAATTGATTATTCTTATTCTCTTGCAATTTAGGTTTAATTGGTAATGTTTTTTTTTAGAGGTAATATGTTTTGTTTGAAGGTAACCTTAAAATTTTCTATTTAAAAATTTTTTTATTAAAAAAAAAATTTTGACAAAAAGACGGTAAAATTTTTTTTTTTTGTTAGTTTTTAAAATCCTTTGGTCAGATTATTATTATTTCATTATTATTATTTATTAATTTGTAAATTGAAAAGAAAAATTAAAATAATAAAAATCAAAATAATTTTCCGCATTAATAAAAAAAAATATCTTAAATTACACGCGAGAGGAATATTTTACATATAAAATTTATTCATTATTTATCAACTGACCTGAAAGTAAAGTTGTAATATTATTTTTGTAAAGTAAAGTTTTAATTTTATTTTTATAATGGCAAAAAAGTGTTCGCGAGCGAAAAATAGAAGTAAAATGTTTATAATAGAATTTTTATACACAAATTTTTAATAGGGAAATTTTCTAGTGAAAAAATAATTATTTTTTCACTAATTGATTCAATTTTTTTTTTTTCGTTAATCCAATAAATTAATAATTGATAATTTTATTGAGAAAAAAATTGTTTTTCTAAATAATTTGAAAAAGATTTATTTATTATTATTATTATATGAGTTTTGAAATAAATAAATAATTTTGGAAAATGTATTTAGTTTTTTTGTTAAAAAGAAATAAATTACTTCAAGTTTTCTTTTGCCTCTCGAAGAATCTTGTGCTATTGAGGGATGAAAAAAAGAGGCAGAAAAAAAAGGAGAAAAAAACTTGTCCTCTTGCTAAAAAGTAATCGTTCCTCTCGTCTCTTCAGGCGAAATGAATGTAAATGTAGTACTGTTATCTCGATGTCTCGTTTTTTTTCCCTTGGAATAACGTTTGACTCGAAACTCTTTAAGAACGGTGAGGGGTCGTTAGTAAAATGTCACGTGTCTTTCTCTCTTTCTCTCTCTCTATCTCTCTCTTAGGTGAAAAATTTCAAGGGAATTCTCTCTCACACAGAAAACCCCCCCATGACAGTTGAAACTGTCAGCTTTGCCAACCACTTGAATTCGAGTAGTCCTGATAAATTTTCAAACAAAGCAAATCTAACAAACAATTTGAAACTTTAGCGGAGGCAAAATGTCCTTTCAAGTTTCACAACTAAATCAGAAACAAAAACTGTCATATGTGTGTGTGTGTTATTTTTCTTATATAACAACTTCAACGACTGAAAAAAAGTTTCAGTTACTAAAGTTATTTTCCAATTTTAAATTAAATTTGGATTTTAAATTATTTTTTTTTTATTTTACACAGAAAAAGACAATTTTTTTATTCAATAATTAAATTATTTTCTATTCAATAAAAATTGAATTATTCAAATATAGAATTTAAAAATAGAAAATTATTTTTTTTTGCCACAAGATGAAAATGAATTTCAATTTACTTCGTTTTTTTTTTAACACGTGATAATTTAGAATTAAATTACAAAATTAAATAATAAGACAGAAAACGCGAGGAGAAAATTAATTTTTCATTTGTAAAAATTTAATAATGTCTATAATTTTATTTATTAATTTCTGAATTTTTTTTTTTTTATCAAGTTAATTTGAAATTAAAAATTGCGATCAAAAATATACTTTTTTTTATATAAAAATAAAAAAAATAAAAAGCAAACTATACTTTTGTATATTTCGAAAAAACGAATAGAGAAAATAAAAATGAGATTTTTCTCTTAAAAGAAGAAAAAATAAAGTTGATAAAACTTTTCTCCTCCTTCAATTATTAACTAAACATATCGATATGAAAAAAAAAGTTTCAATACCAGAAATCTATTAATTATTTACAATGTATAACAACTTGATATCTATACAATAATTTATTAAGTACGGAAATATTTTTCTGTTTACAGAGAAACCTGACAGATGGAGAGAATCTTCCGGAGGTCGCCTTCTCACTGTTGTCGGTGCTACTAGTTGGTTCGCTAAACTTTCTATATTTGATCAATCGCCTCTCGAAGTATCCAAAACTTTTCTATATAAACTTATTTAAAGCTTTCTTTTTCTCTTTTTTTACATTTTTTTTTTGCCATCATTTTGTAATCTCGAATCTAATCGTTAAATATAATTTTTAATCTGTCACAAAACTAAGAAACTGGTAAATTTTTTCAATTTATATATCGAAAATATTAATAAAAATATTTTAATTATTTTTTTTTGTCGAAAACAATTTTTTTTTAAATTTTTTTATAAAAAAAAAATTAAATCGAAAAAAAATCCAATGAAAGCAAATTCATGAAGAAAAAAATTTAATTCAAATAATCGATTACTTGATTATTTTTAAATTTACTTGAACCAAATAATTTTTTATTTTAATTAAATAAACTGTATTTGGACCAATATAATTTATGTATTTGAAATAAATTCGAAATAATTACTATTTAATTAAATAATAATTATTTAAAAGAAATAAAATACAAAGGAAATTATTTATTTGATAATAGTCGAATAACCGATTTAAATACCATTTAATTTGAAATAATTGTCATTTAATAAAATAAAAATTATTTTATAAAAATAGAAATTAATTTTTTAATAGTCAAGATACCATTTAATTGAAATAATTAAATAAATAAGAATTATTTTATAAAAATAAAATTTTATAATAGTCAAGTAAACGATTTGAAAAAAAAAATTTTCATTGTTTAAAATAAATATTAACGAAATAGAACAAAATTAGAAAAAAAAGCCATTGGCACTTCGAGAGGCGTTTAAAATCGATTTTTTTTTTAAATCATAAAAAACGAGATTTTTTTTTTTTTTTTTGAGAACTTTGAGATTCACTCTGTTCTTTTTTTGTTTTGACATAGGTTTCCTGCTGTTCATCCTGATATTCCTGTCGGTTGCGGGTAATGTTTTGGTGTGCGTGGCAATATACACGGATCGAGGACTCAGGAGGATTGGCAATTTGTTCCTGGCCTCCCTTGCCATAGCCGATCTTTTTGTAGGATGCCTCGTGATGACCTTTGCAGGTGTCAACGACCTCCTCGGTTACTGGATGTTCGGCCCACAATTTTGTGACACCTGGATTGCATTCGATGTCATGTGCAGCACTGCCTCCATTCTTAACCTTTGTGCCATATCGCTCGATCGCTATATTCACATCAAAGATCCACTGAGGTTAGTCAACAAATATTTTCAAATAATTTTTAATTTTTATATTATATTAAATCATCATCATCATTATTTAAATTATCATTTTTTTTTTAATTTCATTAATTTTAAACTTTTATTTCATTACTCTTTTTTTTATCACAAAATTAATTTACTAATTTTTTTTTTTATTAACTATAAAAATTGTAATTAATAAATCCGGGTGGATAAAAATTAATTAATAAAAAATTTTTGGTAATTTTTTTTTTAGACACTAGAAAATATTATTTCAACTCAAGATGTATTATTTTTTATTATTATTATTAGTTGTTGCTTTCGTGTATTATATTATAATTTTTCTTTTTTTTTTTTTGTTTGACATGTTAAATTTATTTTAAACACATTCAAGAATGCTTTTTTCAGAGAAAATACATAGCAGCCAATGTAATCCAGAGGTAGGATTCAGGTCGAACAAAAATGAAATTTACATAAAGCCGAGCAATTATATGTAGAAAAAAGTAAAAGTAAAAAAAAAAGGTACAAACAATGTAAATCACTGAGTAAAACACACTTGAAAAATGTACGAGAAAATTGCATTTGCATGTTCGAAAGACATAAATATAAAAAGAGAGAAAAAAAAATTAATTAAAGGTTTGTCTTGAAAAGAATTTGAATTACAATCGTGTTCCGAGATTTGTCAAATTTCAATAGATTTCTATCTATATAGAGAAAAAAAGGTATTTCCACATTCTTACTTTAATTAGTGCGTTTTTACAAATAACAGTCCTTGTTTTCATTAATATATGAAATTTTTATCAATAATTTAATATAATTTTAATTTAATTAAAATTATAATTTTTTTTTAAATTATTTTATTATAATTATTTTATTATAATTTTCTCTAAGTAACGTTTTCATCATAATTTTTATATAATAAATTTTAATTACGAAAAATATTGAAGTAAAATGATTGAAAAAAAAAAAAAAAATTTAATTCTAATAATAATTAAAAGATGAAAATTGAGAATCGAGTTTAAATAATGCAAGATTAATTAAATTAAACGAAATTGAAATTTTAATTGAATATGAATATTAAGTGTTTTACCAATAATTAATTTTTCTTCTCTAGATATGGTCGTTGGGTAACGAGGAAAAAAGCAGTATTCTGCATTTTCATAGTGTGGCTATTAGCAGGTCTCATATCTTTCGTACCTATCAGTCTGGGTCTTCATAGGCCGGATCAACCTTTAATCGTAAATTTTGGAGAAGAGGTAACAAAATTTTTCTGTTAAAAATTATAAATCAAAATTTTGATTTTATTCGTTCTTGAAAAAAATATATATATATAATTTTTTCAATTACATTTTTTAATGGACTTGTCACAATATTTTTTGATGGATTAAATTTTTTTTGATTGATTTATAAAAATAAAAATGTTTGAAAATTGATAGGGGGTTTTTTTTTTTATCGATTTTGTCATGAAGCGGTGAAATTGAAATTATGTGTATGGAGAAAAAAGGAAAATAAAAAATGTGACTTGTAATTTTCAGGAGTATCAGACGTGTGCTCTAGACTTGACGCCCACCTACGCTGTGGTATCATCTTGCATATCATTCTACTTTCCTTGCATAGTGATGATCGGTATATATTGCAGACTTTACTGCTACGCTCAAAAACACGTAAAAAGTATTAGAGCAGTGACGAAGTTACCTGACACCTCTCTGACGAAGAGCTTCCGTTCGAAGAGTGCTCGCAACAAGTCTCCAAAGCCTCAGACGAAAACGAAGCCAACGACTCCTTATCATGTATCCGATCACAAGGCAGCTATCACTGTCGGTGTTATCATGGGTGTTTTTCTCATATGCTGGGTACCCTTTTTCTGCGTCAATATTGTCGCAGCATTCTGCAAGACTTGCATACCAGATCGAGCTTTTCAGGTACAACGAATTCTTTTTCTATCAATGAAAAAGAAAATCTAATTAAACATTTTTATTAAAAAAACTTTTTTTTTCATATTTCTGAAATTAAAATTAATTCTTTTATTTGGAATTAATAAAAAATATTACCATTAGTTTTTTTGTTTTTAATTTCCAGGTCCTGACGTGGCTCGGCTACAGTAACTCGGCCTTCAACCCGATCATCTATAGCATTTTTAACACCGAATTTCGCGAAGCATTCAAGCGAATTCTCACGAGAGGTGCAAGAGGACGACATCAACCCTCAACAAGTGAATGCGGTGAATTTCGTTCTGTCGTCGTACAAAAACGCAATGGATCCTATGTCGAATGTAATATTAGTCCAAGATCGAGTGCCGAAAGCTGTCAAGTTGGATCTATTGCTCAAAAACATCGTGACACAATTGTTAGTTCTATTTAATTAAAAAAAAAGTAAATTCAATTTGCACCAATTAAAAAAACAAAAAATCGACATCATAATCTAGACAATCACAAAAGACTAATTCGAGACATATCCAAAATAATTAATTATCAGAGACAAATTAATCTCGTAAATAGAAATTTGAGTTTTCTGAAACAAAAACAATTTTGTTTCAACGATAAAATCTAATGAGCAGAGCAAGAGAAAATAAAAGTCAGGATTTGCTCAGGTTTTATCAAAAAAAAAAAAAAACGAAAAATTACGTGATGCACTGAATGTTAAAATTTCATTTTTTTTCTTTTCTAATACAATAAATCCTGAAATAATTTTTTTGACTCTCTGCCTAAAAAAGTCTGTCCAACGGAGATACAGGGTGAAGCAAGCAAAAACAGGCGTATTTTGCTGTTGCTACGAAAAAAAAAATCTCTAGTTATAAATACACAGAAAAAAAAAATTTAGAAAATAATTCTGCTATCCATTATTGCTACAGAAAAACTGGGCTCCTTAATGTTCTTCCTACATTTTCTATAGAAAAATCTCCAATTCCTTGCAATAATAATAAATAAAAATAATAATAATACAGAGGGAAATAAATATTCTGGTCAAGTTCGCTTGCATCTCCCTGTACATAAAAAAAAAGAAAACCGAATTTTTCAGAATCGCCTCTGTAAAGACTATCCAGGCCTTAATTTAATTAATTAATTTAAGATCAGAATTAATCGATTTTAATAAATGGCACAAAGTACAACGCAATGCCGAAAATTTTCCAAAAGCATCACAATTATTTCAAAGGGTCACCCGTGTGAATATCGGAAAAATATTTTCGATTTTATTAAAAAAAAAGAATAATTTCGAATTTTATGTGAAATTTTCGTTTTTTTTTTTAATCTTCATTATTTTTAATTATACATTTTTTATATTCAAAACGAATTTTTTAATTTGTTTTTTCTGTGAATATTCGAAAAAAAAAATTTTTTTCACGATTACTTCGGCAAACCCAGTTCCACTTGCTGACTCGATATTAACTATTATAGCGATATAGAAAATCGCAGGCTGTGTACTGTGAAAAAATTCATTTCCATCTTGTAAATAGTCATTTAATTCTTATTTTTAATTAACGGGAAACGCTAATAATATTGGGGAAAAAAAAATTTTTAACTAAATACGTTGAAAAATTAAAAAAAAAATAACGAAAAAACGACGAATCCCGTTGAATCTAAAATTCGATATCACATATCCGATTGAGAGGAAAATGAAAATAAGAAACATTTCCTTGGAAAATTCTTCATTAGCTTTAAAATAACGTATACGACGCACCGACGGTAAAACAAAATTGTTTATAAACATCATTTTCGTCGGCACGTTTCGTTCCAAAAATATTTATGTACACTAAAACAAAAAACAAAAAAAAAACAAACTATATCCGTATGATCGTTCTCTGTAAATATATTAGCAATTAAGACTTCCACAAAAAAAAAAAGAAAAAGTGTATTAAACTATAAACTTTGTTACTTCTTTGCTATCCTTATTTTCTCGAAGAATTTACAATCCTTGATATAATGACGATCGTCGTTTGATAAAGTTTCCATATAAATCGGAATTGTATCCTGCCATGTGCGATTTTCCCTTGGCACTTGAAGAAAATCAAGAAGATCACTTGTCATTTTTGGAATAATTGGATGAAGAACAAGTGCCGAGATACGTGCACTTTCTAAAGAAAGAGAAATAACGGCTTTCAATTCATTGGCAATTTTTGGATCGGATATATTTTTTCTCAACGTCCAAGGTTTATGATAATCAAACATTTGATTTGCGCTATGTAATGTTGTCATAACTGCATCCACAGTATGATGAATATTTAATGACTCATAATTTTTTTCCGCTGTTAATTTCAATGATTCCAAATTTCTCTTTAATTCCAATGCCTTCTCGGATTTTAAAACATTAGAAAATAATTTTGGATTTGGAATTTCTTTACTTGGATTAATAATATCGCCCGTGCATCGTCGCACTAAATTCCCAAGATTATCAGCAAGATCTGCATTCAAATTCAGTCTCACAGTGTTTTCACAGAAATCTAAAAATTCATTTCATTCAAAAAATTAATAAAAAAAAAAGAATTTATTTAAAAAATAAAATTTTCTTTTACTAGAGAAATTTTTTCGCCAATTCTTACTTGAGTCTTTGTATGTTACTGAATTTCTCAAAAGAAAATAGCGCAATCCCTCGGGAGAATATTGAGACGCAGCATCAAATGGTGAAACAACGTTCATATTCGATTTTGACATTTTTTCGCCCTCCACAGTCCAGTGGGAGTGGCATAGTAAAGTCTCCGGCGGTTCATAGCCAGCTGCTATGAGAAAAGACGGCCAGAAAATACCGTGGAATTTTAAAATGTCTTTTCCAATAACCTAACGTGTGTTATAAAATAAGTAACTTTACGATATATTGTGTTCTCCATTTTTATCGTAAAAAGAAAAGAAAAAATCCCCCCCCCATTTTTGTTGAAAATAGAGAAAATGAAAATTTACCTGAATAGAAGGAGGCCAAAATTGTTTATATTTTTCATTTGGATATCCTAATATTGTTAAATAATTAATTAGAGCATCAAACCAAACATAAATATTTTGTGTATCATCGTTAGGTGTTTGAATACCCCAAGAGACTCGATTTTTTGGTCGTGAAATACTTAGATCTTGAAATACACTTCCCTCATTCACCCAATTTGATAAAATTTTATAAAATTTCTCTGGCCTCACTGCATTTTCTAAAATACGATAATTAATATTAATTTTTACGATTAATAAAAAAAATTTGATTTTGTAAAAATTTTAATTTTTACATGCCATTTTTCAACCAATGTTTCAAATCGTCTTGAAATGCGCTGAGTCGAAATTTAAAATTTTCCTCTTCATACCATTCAACAAGATGACCAGACTCCAATGATACTTTGACTAGTTCTCCTTTATCATTTTTCTTTTCTATTATTTCATCATTTGAAAGAAAAGCCTCGTCTGATACACAATACCAACCACTGTACTTTCCTGAATAAATGTGCCCTCGTTCATACAATCTGTTCTAAAATAATATTTATTTTTTTTCTTTTTATCTTATTAATTAATTTTTTTTTCTTATATATTAATTTTTATCTTTCAATCAAAAAAAGTGTTAATTTACCCAAAAATGATGAACCGCCTCGCGATGACGATTTTCAGTCGTTCGAATAAAATCATAATATTCAATATTAAATGTATCGCACATACTTTTGAAACTGAGGGAAATTTTATCACAATATTTATCTGTTGGGAGTTTATTTTTCAATGCGGCACGTTCAACTTTCATTCCATGCTCATCGGTTCCTGTACTTAAAATTGTCTCATATCCTAACATTGAATTAAATCTTGCTATTGTATCTGCTAAAGCTGCTGTATATAAATGTCCAATATGAGGAACTGTAAATAATAATGTAAACTAAATAAAAAAGAATTATAAATTTTAAATTATAAATTTCAATTTAAAAATTTAAATTAATTTAAATAAATTTTCAATTTTTAAATCATTAACATCTTACCATCATTGACGTAAAAAATTGGAGTTGTTATATATTTGTTATTCCTTGTTGAGGATGAATAATTTCTGCAAATTTCTCTTTGAAACCGATTTTGCTGACACAAAGTGGAAAAAATGGTTCGTGACAAATTAACTGATTGACTCAAAGCCGGAATTTCTACTGAAAACGACAATTACTACTAACAATAAATTTCTCTCTCAATTTATATTATTTCTTTTTCGAAAATTATTACAAAGATTAATAATTTGTTTTAAATTAAAATTGTGGAATATAAAAAAAAATTCATTTTAATTGAAAAATGATATTTAATATTAATGAAAAAAAGCAACGATAAGTAAAAAATAATCATTTTAATGAATAAATTCTTGAATTAAAAATCAATAAAGAAATTAAATTTGATATAGGTCCTTTGTAAAATAAAAAACAAAAATAAATATTAATTCAATTTATTCTATTAAAATGTTTTTTTTTTTTTCAATACAGATATTTAATTTTTATTTTCAGCTAATTTTGAATTTTTATTCTCCGATGTGAGAGAAATTGTTTCTAATTGAGCGATGAGATCCATGTGTTTAAATGAATCAGGATTTTCCGTGAAAGTTTTAATTAATTCAAGTCGTTTTGGATCTTCGTTAGAATAATAAAGTTGCAATTCATTTGCTAAACATTGAGCTTCCTGAACGTTAATTGATTTTATATCAAATTCGCCTCGCATTAAAACAATTCCTTTTGTATCTTTCAATTCACAATAGTGAATCATTGTTAAACATTCGGGTGCATTTTCCTTGTGCGTTTGAAACCAAAGTAATGGCGTCATATGAATCTCTGATCCATGAAATTGAACCATAATAAATTCATAGCCTTTTTCACGTGGTAATGGTAATAAAAATGTTGGATATTTAATTCCAAGCTCAAATATTCTTTCATATTGTTCTGCATTTAAAATTCCTGCAATACAATCTTTATTCTTGTGATATTCTTGCCAAATTTGTGATATTTCATCCTTTGTTTTGTCTTCAATTAATTCAACTTTCATTATATCGGACAATTTTGCTTCTTTTTTTTGCAAATTTAAATCAGTTTTTGGTTTTGCATCCGTCCGTTGAAAACATCTTTCACGTTTTTCTTCAACATTGAAATTAGCAAGAAAAAAAAATGTAAATATAAATTTAATTATTGATTTAATAACTAGGATAATAAATAGCTAAATTATATATAGGACCTATACCAAATTAATTTCCATTTATTTTAAAAATAATCTAAAATTTATAAAATATTAATTTAAATAAAAAATAATTTAATAAACAAAATTTTAATAACAAACAAAAATTGTTTTGTCATAAAAAAAATCACCGCTTAAATGTAAACAAATTATTATTTATAAACAAAAAAAAAGATAAAAATTGAGGTTATGTACCTTTTTCTTCTTGTATTTTTCTTTCATTTTCACTGACACGTTCTAAAAATTCTTCAGGACTAGTTTGTTGAAGTTTAGCAATTTTTTGTGAATATTTCTCATAATACGGATTTTTTTGCAAGGTCTCCAATACTTTTTCTAACCTGGGTCTTGTTGCCATGATAGATCTTTTTGAAGTGACAGAAAAAATTTGATTATTTCTAAAGCATCCCAATAATTTCACGTATTTAGAATATGATAAAATTGATGCTGCCATTGATCATTTACTGAAATTAGGACAATAACAGTTGTTAATTAAGAAGAAAAGGAGGAACCAGTAGTTTTTTTAATACACGTGCGCCGCCATTTTGACTAGTGTTTTTGAATAGTGTCAAAAAACCCTAATCGTTGAGTGTTTACTTGATTTAAAATTATTTTTTTTCACTAACTAATTTAAGTAAATAAAATAATAGTTTTATTTTTTAAATGTAAAAATTAAATCAAAGAAGTTATATATTGTCTTTTTTAGATAATTATAAACGTTTTTAAGCATTTCATATGTAGCACAAGGTTCCGGCCATATGTGAGTCAGGGAAGTATCCAAAAGTGTGTTTCGGGTTCCTTTGGGCCCCGTAATATTACCAAACAATAAAATTCAGAAAAGTGCAAATGTTTTTTTTTAAATAAAATATAGCTTTGAACAGTAAACAAATTTAATTAATACATTTTAAAATTATCTACATAAAACAAAATTTATTCTCAATAATTTTAAATTTTAAATGAGATTTAATTTCAACGTAAATAACACTCAATTTTATTAACTCGATGTAACGAAAACACGTTTTAAATTAAATATCTCTGTATAACAATTATAGAGTTTGTATAATAATAAAATATTTCTATTTTATTTCCAATCTGAAATGATAAATTTAAATTAAATAATTTAATTATGTAAATTAAAAATTCCCAATTTGTACGGTCCTGAATCGAACAAATAGGATCGATTACTACGTTAGTCAAGCGCTGTCTTGTTTTTATGAAGATTTTCAAAAAAATAAATGAATCACTTGTCAAAATTTGATAAAAACAAAACAGAAATTTGTTAAATAATTTTTTTCCATTCTGAAGTGTTTTAGTGAAGGTGAATAGACAAAAAAGTGCGTGAATAAAAATTCTTTTGAGTATATAGAAGCAGAGCAACATTTCCGTAACGTCAGTTGCTCGCTCGTATCTCTTTGGCGAAGGGGAAAATGTCGGTGTGTTGGTGGGGTCTGTTGTGCCACTAGTGACTTTCGCCATCAATTTCTCTTTGTATTTAACATATTTTTGATTCAAGGGTAGAAAACCCATTAGCGCAGATCCTGTCCTTGATAGAAAACAAAACGGAAAGCACCGAAAGGGTGCTCGCGATAATAAAATTTTCTTCGAGATTTCGTGCGTATTGTGCGGATCTTGAAAGGGCAGTGTTTTGTGCGTGGCAGGCATAGAACGAAAGAAGGCACCAGGCAACATGACGTCGGTACTCGCAAGTATAAGCAAATCCGAATTTATCGTCGGTGGCAAGTACAGATTAATGAGAAAAATTGGCTCTGGATCTTTTGGAGATATTTATCTTGGTATCAACATCTCCAATGGAGAGGTATAGAAAATTAAAATATATACCGTTTTTCGATCGCGACACCCCCCTTTTGTCCCGATTCACCTTGTCCAAACTGTCTGTCTCTTCCTTTTGATTTTTCATTTCTTTTTCCTGCTCTAAAATAACATTTACAAATTTTCTATGATATTATTTTCATGTTATTAATTCTCAGTATTCTACCATTTATGGAAATGTATCGTTTGACATGAAAAGGAAAGTGAATTTTTTTTTTAAATTATATTTTATTTTGACATTTTCATTTTTAAATGACGTGAAAGAGAAATGAAGAGAAAGGATATGAAAGAGAAACCTGATTGCATGAAAATCAGTAGTGCTTTGTTGTCCCAACTAGTGCGATGCAGGTGTTACGAAACTTTAACTCGAGGTCACAAGAAACCTCGGAACAATCATTGTTTAAACTAATTCTGTTAAAATGACCATATTTGTTTTCAACTGAAAATTCACTGTATTCGAACTTTTGTTTATATTCAAGTGAATTGGAAAAATTTTTCAATTTTAAATGCTTTCTTTTTTTGTTTATAATCGAAAACAGAAACAATCTTGGTAAATTGTATTTCACTTTTCCAGGAAGTCGTGTAGGATGATTTGCGCCAGATGACGACACAAAGATCTCAACTTTCAATCCTCATTCTGATCTAAAAATATTTGACCCACAAAATTTTAGAGTCGGTTTTTATGTTTATGGCGTCCCGTTAAAATTGCATTATTTCAAAAATTTTGTCTTAAAAGTTCTTTGCACTTTTAATTGATTTTTTTTTTAAATCTGTTTGTTTATTTTTTTTAAATGACCTACGTTTAGTTAAAAGTAAATTATTTATTGTTATTATATTTGCGAAGTAATTAAAGTTTTAGAGAGATAAAAACTGATGGTTAATTTTGAAAAGTAATACAAATAATGAATTTGCAAATTTAGAAAAATTGAATTAAAATTATAATTTAATGAAATTAATTAAAATTTGATTATATATGCCGTTAACAAATAAGTTGATAATTATTTTTCGTTGCAGGAAGTCGCAATTAAACTTGAAAATATTCGTGCTCGCCACCCGCAACTTCTTTACGAGTCCAAATTATACAAAATTCTTCACGGTGGCATCGGAATACCCCACATACGCTGGTAATTAATTTTTCAATTTTTTTGCAGAATTAAATGAAATCCTTTTTGTATTAACTGTTTTTTTTTGTTATAAAAATGTTTCATTTAATTCGTGTGGTTTATTTCATTTTAAAAATTTTTAATTATTTTATTCTATTCACAAATTTAAAACATTAATCAACAATTTAATAATTTTTTTGAACATGAAAATAAAATTATTTACAATGTTAAAAATATTTCTATTACTTCTTTTCATTTTTATTCTTTATTTTATCTTTTATCATCATTTTTCTTTATTTTCATTGGATTTTTTCATCATTTTAAATGATATTTTAATTTCCATATTTTTTTTTTTATTCAATTTTTATTTGTCAATGCATATACTCGTTGCACTGAATGTTGACTAAATTAAATGACTCATTTCTCACTTGCATACACATAACATAGTTACTCGATGTCTGATGTTTTTGCCAAACGTTATTTATTTCTCAATATCAAAAGAATCAATAGATAAAGTGCGTTTATTATATTTGATCGCAATTTTTTTTCATTCATTTAATTTGCATGTAGAATATTTTGTAAAATTTAAAAAAAAATTGTTTTTAGAAACAAAATAATATTTTAATCTTTAATTCAAAATTGTTATATTGATAAAAAAATAAATATTATCCAATAATTGTATTATTAAATTTATCATTTAAGTATATTTAATAAAGAAAATAATTTTTGAAAAATGTTCAGCAAAAATAAATTTGATTTAAATCAAAAAATTGTATTTTTTTTTTGTAGAAAATTTTTATCAGCGAATAATTAATTTTAAAAAAACAATTTGATTAGGTATGGTCAAGAACGTGAATACAATGTCTTAGTAATGGATCTGTTGGGTCCATCTCTAGAGGATCTTTTTACCTTTTGTTCACGAAGGTTCACAATAAAAACAGTTCTAATGTTGGCTGATCAAATGATTGGGAGAATTGAATTCGTCCACTGCAAACATTTTATTCACAGGGATATTAAACCCGATAATTTCTTGATGGGTATTGGACGTCATTGTAATAAGGTAAATTTTCTTTTTTTCATCGATATTAATTAAAATTTACACGCAAAAAATTCAACTACTAAAAGTATGAATACGGGAGAAAATTTAATTAATAATTACAAATTTTTTTTTTGGAAACTAATGAATTTGGAAATTTTTATTTTTCAGCTCTTTTTGATTGATTTTGGACTCGCGAAGAAATACAGGGATAGTCGCACAAGATCGCACATTGCATACAGAGAAGACAAAAATTTGACTGGAACAGCAAGGTATGCTTCCATTAATGCACATGTTGGAATTGAACAAAGTCGTAGAGACGACATGGAATCACTCGGATACGTACTTATGTACTTCAATCGTGGATCTCTACCTTGGCAAGGACTTAAGGCTGCCACCAAGAAGCAAAAATACGAAAAAATCAGTGAAAAAAAGATGTCCACACCAGTTGAAGTTTTGTGCAAGGTAAATTGTTTTCTCTATTTTATTGTCGAAAAATTGATTAACAAATATTTATAGTTTAGTGTAAATTAATTCTTCAAAATTGAAAATCATTTAATTGCTATCAATTGATATTGTTATCATAGAATAATTTTCTAAAAAAAAAAAAAATTGGCTAATTACTGATCTTTTTTTTTTCTCTTTTAAAAAGGGCTTCCCAGCTGAATTTGCGATGTACCTGAACTATACGCGAGGTCTCCGCTTTGAAGAGAGTCCAGATTATATGTACCTACGACAACTGTTTCGTATTCTATTCCGCACATTGAATCATCAATACGATTATACGTTTGACTGGACGATGTTAAAGCAAAAGGCTGCAGTTGCCTCTCTAAATAGCGGTGCTTCGGCAAGTGGTCACGGGCAGCCTAGTCAGGGCGCTGCTGGACAAGGAACAGTTCAAGGTCAGCAGCCTACTCAAGTAGCCGGACAACCAGGTTCGTAAAAGATTTCTGCTAATGCTTTTTTGGCGTAATATATCACAAGTTATCAAAAAAAATATATACTTTTATTATTTCACAGAACGTGATTAAAATTTGCAAATAATTTACCATGAGTAAATTAAGAGATGAATATATAAAAAAAAAAAATGAACCTAGTGCGCCCTATTTATATATATATATAATTCTTTTGGTACTTTACTCACCTTAAAATTAAATTTGCCATTAAAAAAAAAATCTATTTCTTTGAAATGAAAAATCATGGCAAGGTAAATAAAGTATCGGAAATGTTACAAACAATCAGTTAAATGTTTATTATCAGATTTGAGAGTAATATTATGAGAAACCTGTGCGAGGCTATAGGTATTAAGCCAATTAAAGAACATGAAGGTAACTAAAATGCAAAACTGATAACTAGACTACATACGTATTGTGAAATTTAATTTTCACAGAAATCTATTTTTAATAATTGTCTTCCCACCCTGCCCCCCCCCCTTTTTTTACACGCTCAGCACTTAAGACTTTATATTTTTAAGTTTTTTTTTTTTTTTTTTTTATTGACTTTAACTTGTGTTCTTTTTATTTTGCATTCAATTTTATTGAATGATAACTTTAATTTTCAAGGTGATAGTGTTTTTTGAATGATAAATAATTATTTTCCTTTTTCTTTTCTTTATTTTAAAAGTGAAAGAGTTTGTTTTAAACCGGATTTTTTTAAACTTGTATCAAAAATCGTTATCTTGCCTTTTTTTATTAAACTCAAAAATATTTAGTATTAGTATTTAACACACCCCTAATTGATTGAAATTCGATTTTATATACGAATGTAGTCTATCGATGCTTATTGCATTCAGTTTTTCTTGTTATTTCCCTTGTTAAAGAAAATCCAGATAATTTTGATTTCAATAATTAAATTAAATGTATTAATATTTTAAATTATTATATTTCTTAATGAATGTTAAAATTTGTTAAGAGAACTGCAATTTATCCCAAATAAAATATCATCATTGCCGTTAAAGTGCAATAAAAAAAAACCCGGTTAGATGGATATAAAATGTAATAGTGACGATCGATAATAATATTGATCTCTAAAATTCATTTTTTTGTAAAAAAAGAAAAAGTGCGTGCGTTAAATGAACAATCTTGTATGTCACAAAAAAAGAAAATTGTTATACAATATATCGAACCAGAAAAAATTTTGTAAACGATTATCAACTGACTAATTTCTATTTTTTATCAAACAATAAATTATAATTATTTAATATTTCGATATATCTGTATTTGATGTTGTTTGTGTAATTCATTTTTTTTTCCATTGATTGTTTTTGGAGAGAAAATTTATTCTTTTAATGAACAAATAAGTATGAAAAATAGTTTTATTGGTCAGCTGATAAACAATCAGTGAAGAGAAGTTGTCTGTCGAGAATTATAAAACAAATTGCGTTGCTTCCGTTTAAAATTTGAAAATAATTTTTAAATTTAAAACTCAAATGAGTTTAAAAAAAAAAAAGAAAATATTAAATATTTTAAGCGGAAGAATCGTGAAAATTCGTCCCTAGTTAAAATATATAAGATTGTGCTGTGTAATCAATCGGAACTTGTTTGTAATTCGAATTCAAACACAGTGACCGAATTTCTCTATATTATATATGTTTAAAAAATAAGTCGATATTAAAAAGCGAATAAATCAAGAATATATAGGTAAATAATACAATATTAATGATAAAATTTTGTTTTATTTAACAAATAATAATAACAGCACTTCATTTTTGTTCATAATCACCTTTTTAATCAATTGACAGACGCTACCTTGATCACTGCTTCATTATAACATTTGAACATTTTTAATGTTACCATATACATTTCAAAGATATCACAATATATTTATACAAAGTGCCTATTGAGGAATTATATTTATTTTTGTTTCTTGTAAAATTTAACAATAATTAAATTATAACACTTGAATTAATAAAATTTCAATTATTTATTTATTAACTAATTAAAATAATTGAAATATTAATTAATATAATTAAAAATTAATCCTATTAATTGTTGGTGATAATTTTCTTTTAAAAATTAACGCTTATGTTAGTTAATCGGCACTCTGTTCGCATTTTCATAAAAATTTAAAAAAAAAAAAAAATTTATAAAGATCAGTCATTCATTTACATCCATCTAATCGTTACTAATAATATGGTCCTAAAAAATATTTTTTGTGTCCGCATAATACAAAAATAAAAAAGAAAAAAAAATTCATAATATCGCTTAGCAAATTGCACATATAAATTAATTTTTAATCCTATTAACCATGTCTCATGCTTTTTTTCCCTATGGAATTACTACAGATTTTGGTTATGAGCTTAAAAACAAAGTAAATGGCTGGGTACGTCAGAATACCGCAATCATCGACTCGTCTAAGAACTAAATCAGACATCAGCCATCTTCTAACTGCCACACATTCTCATTGTCCTTAATCCTGTTTTGAGAAACTTTAGAAAAAAAAAAGAAAGAGGAAAATCTTTAAAAAGATCTGTGTCCTATATATATATTTATAATATATATTTATTATCCATTGTCAGCCTGTACTAAAGTATTATTTGTTTTCTTTTTTCTTTGAAGTTCAAAAAAAAAAAAAAAAACTGATTTAAAAAAACAATTAATTTTAATTGACAAAATTAGTTGGATGACTAAACAAAATAAATTAAATGGATCAATAAATTTATTAATTAATATTTGCGAAGAATTCTCGAAAATGTTTTTGTATCTTTCTAGATTATCGAATGTTAAAATGAAAAAAAAAAAAATAAAAAAAAGTACAAATTGAAAGTGTTTGATTTTTTTTTTCACCAAAACTTGTTTACATATACTTTTAGTACAGGTACAAATTTCTGATTGATCTCAATTTTTTCACTCTATATATATATATATATATATATATATATAACCTTTCGATTCCTTATTCGTGCTCCGTTTTTCATTATAATACAAAACGTTTCGCCTTGTATAGAATGAAATAAGGACAAACAAAAAATAAAATAAAGTTGTCTATTTTTAAATAAAAAAAAATTTTCATTATTGGTTTATTTATTTAAAAAAAAAAAAATTATTGCTAATGTTATTTTACTGTCAACGAAATTATTAATATATTATTGCTGGTAAAATAACATTGATCAAAAAATTAGAATGTAAAATTTTATAAATTATTGAAAGAAAATTCTTTTTCTTTAAGATATATTTTCTAAATTTTTCTCGATGTACAATTTATTTGACGGAAAATAAAATTACATAATTTCTAAAAAATTAAAATTGGTAAATTTCTTTTTTTTTTTTAAATTATAAATAATTTAGAACTTTTGTGACTTTTATTTTCTTTTTTTTTACGAATAATTCTAATTCTCGTTCAAATAAGAATAGAATTTCGCCAAAAGCTTTTTTTTTTTTCTTTTTCAAGAGATTCTCAGCTTTTTTATATATAACTTGAACATTTTTTTGGGATTTTGTTACAGGGGCGGCCCGTTAAATCCTTAAACATTGAGTGATAGCACCAAAACTTGAACGCGATCGCTTTAGTGTCACACTAATTCATACTCGACACACCATTGCAACATTCGATGAGTCACAAATATCAAGCGATTCTCTAAGTCCACGAAGAAAGTTGATCACGATCGTTATCAGAATACATAAATTAAAATTATAGAAATCATTATTCTCTCTCATTCGTGTGTGTGTATCTTCTTTATACAAAAAAAAAAAAAAAAAAAAAATATTGCTTAGAGTATCGATTGATGTCAACTTTTTCGAGTCGAAGAAAAAAAAAGTCAACAAGAACTGACTTTCAATCATTTATCATCATTCTTTCTTCATCATCGATTAATCATAAAGAAAAAAAAAAATTAAAAATCATTACAAAGTCCAGATAGCGATTCATTTTTACTTGAAAAAAAAAAATTATATATATAAACATTTTTCATAGAAAGAAAGAGAGACTTTTTGGAATGTTAATATATTATATATATATAAATACAAGTATGTTTGGACTAAACGTGAAATAACAATTTTTATAATTAATCTCTCGATTTAGAAAGTGTGAATTTGTATATGAGTGATAATGAAGACTCGCAAAATTTTTAGACCAATTTTAGGGCATATTCGGTTACCTGATTCTAGATAATAAGAAAAATAGTCTTTCTTTTTTTTTTTTTTTTTTCTAATAAGGACTATTATCTAACATAAATAAGGAGCACTCATAAAGAATTCTATCGCTAAATTACTTTCTTAATGAATTTCTAAATATCAACAGAACAAAGAGCAAATTTTAATATTGTTATTGGAAAAATAAAGTATATAGGTAAAAAAAAAAAATTATACTGTAGGCTCTCTTTCTCTCTGTGTCTATTTTTTTTTTGTTAATATGTAAAAGAAGAAAAGAATGATATCCGTATTTCTGTACAGAGAAATTTTTCTCGGAATTAATGGCTCCCTTTTTTTTGTAAATTTGAGCATCGAATACATTTTCGATATTTGATAAATGTTCGATATTTAAATTTCTTTCAAATATTGTCCCGTTTACAGAAAAAAAAAAAGAACAAATTGAGTCGTTAATTCCTGAGTTTAAATTCAAAAAATAATAAAATGAGGAATTATACGTTCCTCGTGTATTTAATAATTTTTGGAATATTTTTTTTATCGTTTAGATGATTTTTTTTTCTCTCACCCCTAATTTTCTTGTATCTCTTTTTTCAAAAAAAGGCGATAAAAGAGTCGCATCGCCGAAAAATAAATAAATAAAAAAAAAAAATGTAATGTCTGCAGTTGTCAACTGCAAATGAAAAATCGTGATATTTCATATGCTGCCGGCTGCCGATGTAGCATTAATTAAACCTATATAATTTTATGCACACTGCGTATGTACTTTTAGTTTCGTTTTTAGCTACTAAGATTTTTCATATAATTAAGAAAATATAGCCTTTCCTCCTCCCCCCCACGAATTTTTATGTTTCGTTTAAAAAAAAATACCTAATTATAAATATATATATATATTATTGTAGTTATATTATTTTCGTCGTTTTCATATTAGCCTACTTTGTGTACACGTCCGGTAGATATAGGGTTACTCTTGAAATAATTAAGCAAATTAAGAGTAACCCGTAAATAATCGAAATGAAAAAAAAAGAAGATGAAGAGAAAGAGGAAGAAGAAGAAGATAAAGAAGTGACAGATGATAACAATATAATGAGAATCGAGTATCGAAAATAAGTAGGAGGAAAAAAATCACTGGGAGCTTCTTTAGTATCTTTACATTATTATTTAAAATGTGAAATGGAAGCTTTAATGACGTTTTCGTTAAAGGTGCAAAAGGCAATAAATAAGCCTTGGTTGAAACTCGAAATTATTATACAGAAATGAGAGGCGAATATGTTAGAAGAAATGATAATAATTTAAAAAAAAAAGGAAAAACAAAGAAAAAGAAATAAAACTATTTCTAAACTTGTAAAATTATAATACGGATAAAATTGATTATTATAATAAATGAGTGTGAATGCGAATTTAACTAATTGGGTGCGAGTAAATTGTATTTGAATTGTTGGACAAATGAATAAATGTGCGAGTATATGATTTGTCTGATTGTGTAATAAAAAAAAAAAAAAAAAAAGTTGAGCGAATAAGTTAATTATTAATTAATTAATAATTAATACACATGCACATTATATTATTCAATATGTATTATATTACTATAAAGGATGTGACAGCAATTAAGATACGCGTTATTTCATAAATACTGAAAAAAAAAAATTATTGCTCCCTTTGTCTCTATAAATAAAGTCTCAACACAATAATTTACAATTTCTTTTAATTATTCTCTTTTCAATCCTAATCCTTTTAATTTCATTTTGACATAAATTTTCCTTTAAATAAATAAATTTAACGTTTTTTGTTTATATAGTATTTTTAGCAAATCAAATTGTAAATTGAATTATATAATTTCAACTATTAAATTTTTATTTCAAGATTTCAAAAAAATAAGAATATCTAAAATTATTAATTGATAAACTTATCAAATCTAAAGAGAAAGATGATAAAAATTATATAATAACATTTTTTCAATTATGTTTAAATTTTGCAAAAAAAAATAAATAAATTAGTACACATATTATCATTCTTAATTGTTTTGTTGAAAAAAAAAAATTGCAAACAATGATATTTTTAAAATTTATAAATAATTGAATAAATAAGTAAAAGTACAATATAAAAATGCTTGTTTTTCACAAAAATCTTCAATCATTTCATTATAATCGTCAAATTCCTTGACGTGGCAAATTATTAAATTCACGATAAGAGATAAGGATTTAACCATTTTACAAAGCACGAATTGATCATTTCTCTTTTTCATTTGTCGAGTGTGATCCAGTTCAAAGGGTAAAATTTTCATACATAATTAAAAGTGGAACGTTATTTTGTTAAAATTAATTTTTTTTAACTTCCAAAAAGTAAAATATAAATTCGCATGTCAATTTTTAATATCATAAATAAAAATTGAACTTTATATTGTGTTAATCATTTTTTTTTTTTTTTTTTTGCAAAACTAATATAATATTTGAAATGAAAAGTTTGTAAATGTAAAAAGAAAAATTAGAAAAAATCCCAATATGTAGAAATTAAATTTTAATAAATATAAAATATTGGAAAATTTTTTAAAAATAATATTTATAAAATTTCAGAACATTAAAATGGGGGAGAATAGTATACTGGAATATCTAATGGTGAATCATCGTTGGATATTTGTAATATTTTTTTTACTACCCCTTTCATTTGTTTATGAAATTTTCAACTATACGAGAAATTGGATTGTTTTTCGTTTAAGTACAGCTCCAACGGAACATGGGAAAAAAGTCCGAGAAGTCCAAAGACAGGTGAGAAAAAATTCATTTTTGAATTATATTTAATAATTTAAAAAAAATTTTTTTTTTTTATATAAAAATTAATGTTTTTGAATTTAATTTGAAAATTTTTTTCTACAGGTAAAAAATTGGAATGAAAGTGGAAGAAAGCAACAAATGTGCACTGCTCGACCAACATGGCAAACAATGAGTTTTCGTCAAGGAACGTATAAATCTTCAATGTTTAATGTTAAAGTCAATTTAATTGATGTTCTTGAAGTGAATGTGGAGAAAAAGGTAATTTGAAAATTTTTACCATTTAAAACAGCAAATTTCGATAGTTTTTTAATTGAAACTTTTAATTTCAGTTTGTTCGTGTAGAACCATTAGTTTCAATGGGACAACTTTCAGCAACTTTAGATCCTTTGGGATGGACAATTCCAGTGGTTCCAGAACTTGATGATTTAACTGTAGGCAAGTATAATGCAATTATAATATAGAAAATTAAATTTTAAATATAAAAAGAAAAATTTACTGAAAAATTAAAATTTTGTTTTACATATTAGGTGGATTAGTGATGGGTACAGGTGTTGAATCAAGTTCCCATAAATTTGGTCTCTTTCAACATATTTGTCGAGCCTATGAAATTGTACTTTGCGATGGATCAGTTGTAAAATGTACAAAAGAAAGTGATCCTGATCTTTTTTATGCAATTCCCTGGTCTTATGGTACACTTGGCTTTCTTGTTTCTGTGGAAATTGATATTATACCTGCAAAAAAATACGTAAAACTTGAATACGAACCAGTTACAAATTTAAAACAAGCAATGGAAGTTTTTAAGAGACAAACTTATGCAAAGGAAAATAATCATTTTGTTGAGGGTCTTATGTTTTCTAAAGAAACAGGTGTCATAATGACAGGTAAAAAATTGCATTTCAATTTTCAAATTTTATTAAAAATTTTTGTAAAGTTTTATTTTAATTTAATTTTCTTTTGTTAAGGAAACATGGTTAATGAAGTAGAAGAGAGTTTAGTGAATCAAATTGGTCGCTGGTACAAACCTTGGTTCTTTACTCATGTGGAGAAAAAATTGAAAGGTGGTCCACTAGTTGAATATATTCCATTACGTGATTATTATCATCGTCATTCGCGAGCCTTATTTTGGGAGATTCAAGATATCATTCCATTTGGAGACAATACTGTGTTTCGTTATTTATTCGGATGGATGATGCCACCGAAAGTTTCACTTCTAAAATTAACACAAACCGAAGGAATTAAGAAAATGTATGAAAATAATCATATTATTCAAGATATGCTTGTCCCACTTGATCATTTGGAAGAAACCATTTCCAAATTTCATGATATTGTTAAGGTACTGTAAAAAAAAAAATCAAAAAATTTATTCTTTAATCTTATATTGGAAATAATTTCAATAATTATAAAAAATTAAATTTACAGGTCTATCCATTGTGGCTGTGTCCATATAAATTGACAGCGGATCCAGGATTTGTTCATTCGAGAACAAATAAAGATGATATGTTTGTCGATGTTGGTGTTTATGGAACTCCAAAAGTGAAGAATTTCGAACCAGTGAAATCTACAAGAGAAATTGAAGATTATGTTCAAAGTATCAAGGGTCATCAAATGCTTTACGCTGATACATATAGAACAAAAGAAGAATTTGAATCAATGTTTGATCATACACTTTATCGAAAATTGAGAGAAAAATTCCAATGTAAACACGCTTTCCCTGAGGTTTATGGAAAAGTTAACAAAAGTGTACGAACTTGATTTTTAACTCTATTTTGTTCACAAAAAATAAAGTTACAAAATTTTTCAAAAACAACAACAATTTTTTTTTATTATAAAAAAATCTCATTTTTTAAAAATATTTTTTTCAAATAAACGAATAAAATTTAAATTTAAATTTTCCCGGTTAGTTCTGATTGATTTTTATATTAAAATTTTTAATACGCATGCGTATAAAATTAAATTAAATTTTCTAAACAAAAAATAATAATAAAAGAAGGTTAATTTAAAATATTGTTAAGTAAAAAATAAATAATTATTTCAATCATCTTTAATTGAATATAATTATTGTTTTTAAAAAAAAAAAATTCTTATCTCTAAAAATGTATATATATACTACATAATCCAAATGTAAAACGTGGCGACCGCCATTAAAATTTTACCGATTCCAGTGTCTGCTATTAAACTTACAATCATATAAATATACAAAGAATTACAAGTTGTGATTAACGAATTTTTTTTACAAAAAATTGACTATAGAAAATTGCCGGCTATTTTCAAGTCTTTATTTGACATTTATACGTGATTTATTATCCCTGACGATCAATTTTATAACAAGTTTGAAACAACGTAAGTTGAAACATTTTTCGATTCATACTTTTTTTTAAATTTAGTGTCAATATTTGCATAAATGTGCTATTAAAAAAAAGAAAAAAATTAGAAAATATAATTAAATTTAATTAAAATAAGTAATTTATATTTATTTAAAGAAATTTTGTAATTTAATTTGAAAATTGGATATTCTAACCTCAAAATGTTATTTTTTTTTATCGATGATTTAGCAAAAATTATGTTAATTATATTCAATTTCTTTTCTATTTTTACTATTGTGAATAATTTTTAATTCTAATATATGTTCGTAAATTAGAAAATATATATGTATACCTCTTTTATAATTCACAGAAGACCTATAAGACAATGGATGTAAGACAATTAGTAGCTTCGATTGTGCAGTTTTTGACTCGGCAATTAGAAGATGGTGGATTAACTGCCGATTCACGAGAAAGTCTTGAGGTAGCGATTCAATGTTTGGAAAGTGCCTATAATGTTCAAGCATCCGATGCTCCACCAGATACTTTTTTGACGATAGGAGGTGGTGCTGGTGGTGGTAGTGTTTCATCACGTGTAATTAATGAAACACCAAATTTAGGTCCACAAGCAACTTTAGAGCAAAAAGCCGAAGCTGAAAGACTGAAAAATGAAGGAAATAATCTTGTTAAAGCTGAAAAATTACAGGAAGCATTGACTAATTACACTCGGTAATGAAAAAATTTAATTTTAATTTAATTGAAATGAAAAATAATAATTAATTTCTTTTAGGGCAATACAATTAGATGGACACAATGCAGTTTATTATTGTAATCGAGGGGCAGTGCATAGTAAAATGGGAAATTTTAATTTGGTAATATCCGATTGTAAAACTGCATTGTCAATTGATCCATTGTATAGTAAAGCATATGGTCGAATGGGATTGGCTTATTCTAGTTTACAAAATCATAAAGAGGCAAAGGAATGTTTTCAAAAAGCACTTGAAATGGAGCCTGATAATGAAAGTTATCGAAATAATTTACAATTAGCCGAGGAGAAAATAGCACAACAAGGTTTAGGTTCCTTAGGTTTAGGTGGTACTTTATCAAATGTTGATCTTGGTCAAATTCTACGAAATCCAGCTCTCATGCAAATGGCACGACAAATGCTCACTGATCCAAATATGCAAAATGTTATGAGCAATATTATCAGCGCAAGTGGTGCACAAGGCGATCGTATTGAAGCACTCATAGAGGCGTAAGTTTTATTATATTAAATAATGTATGTTAAATAAAATTACTTAAATAAAAAAATTTCTTTCAGAGGACAACAATTAGCTCAACAAATGGAAAGTGCCAATCCCGATTTAATAGATTCTTTGAGGCGTCAAATGGGTGGAAATTCGAATGATCCTGATCCAAATACAAATTAAGTCGCAATATATTCCCGAAATGATGATTCAATTGCGAATTTTAAATTTATAAAATATCCATAATGACTATGAATTTTCATAATTACAAAAAAAAACTAGAAAGTTCTGAAGAAGTCTTTTTTTTGGTTTAAAAAGAAGCTGATTAGATATTCAGTTTGAATTAATGGTTGAAACTAACAATTAAAATTATCTTTTTTTTATTTCATATTTATATTTTCAATATAGAATAAAGTCTAGAATTTGATATTAATTAACCCACTATTGTATCTTTATTTAAAATTTTTATTAACATAACTTTATAAATCAAAAAGTATTTGCTTTTGTATATATTATATAGAATGATTCTTCGGCATTTGTTTTTTTGATCTAAAGTCTGATTTATATGTATTTATAGAATAATACTTTGAAAATAACTATTAATTTTAACGTAAAAAAAAATTAAACGTTTATTGAAGATAATAAACTCGTCTTTTTTTTTTTAATTATAATTATATATTTTTTATAATATTGAATTTGGTAAAAAAAAATAAGACAATTCTTGTCATTTTGCACTAATTTAGAAAAAAGTAATTCAAATAACTACCAATTTTTAATATAAAAATTCAATTTACAAATAAAATTTCGAACCAGTTTCTGATTCATTAATTGAAGTAGTGACTCATATTCTTACTTTGCGGTCATCGTATGGAAATAGAGAGGGGAACTTTGCAACAAGATGAAAGTAAATTGCGAAATTTATAATCGCAAACATTTTATTAGATTTTTTTTCCCGCATTGTGTAAAAATGTTTTATATAAAAGTTTATAAATGATTTTTCAGGAATTTATCATTTTTCTCTTCTAATTTGTAATTAAATTTTTCAAATATAAATTCATATAATTAATATTTTATATTTGCTTTTAAAATATAGAAACTGGAGAATTTAATTTATAATAGATTCTTTTTATAAAGAAATATTTTAACATTGATGATCAATAATGAAAAATGAGTTACGAATTTTTCAACCCTTTTCTTCTGTCCAGCTTTAATTGAAAAAAAAATGAATGCGTGCGCAGTGTTTAATGACAAATTGCCGGTTCAAAAACTTACAGGAATGAAGATATGAAGGGTCCATTAAAAAGTTTTTATTATAGAATTTAAATTAAACTATTGAAAATTTATTTAAACTATCTTCTTTTATTTGCATGTAAATAGACTAATAGAAAACGACTTTTAAGGTTAAAATTTACAAAATATAAAATTTCGAAAGAAATTTCAAATATTAATAAATAAACAAATATTGCAAATATTAATAATAACAAAAATAACTCTATATTAGTCATATAAAACTTATTTTTAAACTTTTTTTAAAAAAAAAATTTGGAAATATTCACAATTTTGAGGTTAGGCTGTCATTATACTACAAAACAAATTTCATTTTATAAAAAAAAGTAGTGTAAATTATTAAATTATTTGATAAAACAATTGAATTTTAAACAGTAATAAATAAAAAAAAGAAGTATTGTTACCTTTGACAGTTGGAAGTAATATTTGAAATTAATGTTCTCCCTAAATTGTTACGTTACTGATACCGGGTTTCCCCTTCTCTTGTATTTTTCGCACACTCAACAGATTGAGGTGTGGCCACAGAGGGCAGCCATTTTCTTGACTCTCTGTCGCAAAAGATTTCAGGTAAATACGCAATAAATTGTTGATTAATTTAATCAAGTGAGTTTTAAAGTTGTTTCATAAAATATATTATTTCGATCTTTAAGTTGCGCGAGTTGATAACATACACCCGAACGGGAATCTTTTCAATTCAAAGTGAAAAAAAAGTTTTGAGTAAGCTCTGCAAAAAGGGAATGCCATGCGTAGCATATCCACAGCATCTTATCGAATTTAGTGATTAGTATACAACTCTCAGCGATACTTCCTCTTCATCCAAGGTTTGTCAAAAGTCTCCGAGATTTCTAACCCCAATTCTTCAATTTTTTTTTGTAAGTAAATCGTCTTCGAGGCTCGTCAACCTCTGCGTCGTTATCTCTCTTTAATTCAGCGCCCTCTTCCCCGTCGAACAACGCGGTTGTGCACTTCCGGCTCGAAATTTTCGTGATAACTTATTGTTAATCAAGTGATAATTGAGAGATGTTTTAATTATAAATCTCTTAGCGCACTTATTCTCCCTTTATAGAATTCTACGTGCATTAGAAATTAATCGAGTGATTGTTTCTTTTCTTTTGAGGAAGGAAATTATTTTAATCGAATCGAGTGTCATCACTCGGGTATTTAACAGCCTAGCAACAGTCATCGGGAGTTAAATTTTTAATTTTGCTACCAGGTTGTTTAATTTTTAGATTTAATTTCATATTTAAAGTGTTTCATCGTTTTTAATGAATTTTCCGAGTTATTATAATAATAAATTTTGTTATTTCTATTGGAGTTATTTGTGTTTGATAACTTTAAAAGGATATTAGATATTTTTCCGATTTTATAAAAATTAATAATACAATGAAACTAAAATTGTTTAATTTTGACGTTTGTCAATATGTCAATTTTGTGCTATTAAAGTGTTTATTGTTTAATTTTAAAAAATAATTGTTATTCATGTGTTTGAATTTCATAAAATAATTTTAATTGAAAGTTATATCAAATGTCAGTTTAAAGGGTGTAAGTGTAATTTTATAATTATTAGGTGATACAATGAGTTAGCGAATTCTTGATGATAAATTATTTGATTAAAATTCATTCTTTTTTTTTTTTTTTATTTTGGTACACATATTTGATAAGATAAGCGATTTTTATTAATCCTTTTTCTTCTTTTCAATCACAAAATTGCGATTAGTAATTATTATATTACTTTATATTGACAATTTGATTTTAGAATCAAGGTCATATGTCAGTTCTTTTAACATTTTCCGTTTAAAATTTAATCAATTGAATCAACTACACTTTAATAACGTTGCATTGATGAAACACTTTTACAATCGATGGTTTAATGTCTAAAAATAGAAGTGTAATTAATTGTAAACAATATAATGACACATTAAAGTAAATTTAATTAACTTTATAATAATTTTTATTATTAATAGCGGGACAATTTTTAATATTAAAAATTTTATTTTTCCCCTTATTTTTATTTTTTAATTTCTTATTTTTACACTTTCCTCTTGTCTATAAAATTTATTTTTAAAAATTATTGCAGATATTTTAAAACACTTTTCTCATTGCCTCAACGTTTAAAATAGTCAATTTTGGAGGCATTTTTGTTTTTGCAAACAAAAGCACAGTTTATATATTTTTCATGCTTGATAAGATGGAATTGTTTGTTTTTTGATTTTTATATTTATAACAGTTTTTCTTAAAATAATTTTTTTTTTATCAACATATATAAATGTAGAGAATAAAATTTTTTATATTTTGCATAAATGTTTAGTGGCTTGAAAAAAAGAAACACGTTTAGCTTTATTTAATTTTCAAAAGAAAGCTTATATTTTCTTTTTTAAAAAAAAGGAAAATAAATGTTTATAATAAAAATATTGAATTTTATAAAAAATTATTTGTTGAACATTAATGGATTGTGAGAGTGATTTTTGTTTTGTTTTTTTTGTGCACTTAAGGACTTTTTTTTTAGCTGAATTATGTGATATTTTTGCACTGATATTACTTAAAAGCTTAATTATTCTAACATGTAAAAATGTCCACTTAAAACAGAGAGAAAGCAGAAAGACTAAAAGCATGGGATGCATTACGGGCCGATGCCTCGGTTCTGACGATACGGGGTACCCTGGAGCAGGTACGACCCAGTCCATATCCGTTAAAGCTTCACTCCTCATAGGCAAAAAAAAAAACAAAAAAAAAATCTCTATTAAAAATGAGAAATATTTTATAATCCTGTAGATGTGGCAAGTTAAATGTCATTGACAAAAAAAAAAAAAATAATTCACCTGCAAAATATTGTGTTTGTAATTGCTTAACTCAGTGTAGCTTATCAATTGCAGATTTTTTGAACAAAAAAAAATACACCTAATTGCTTTTTATCGAATGTTCGTTTATACAAGAAAAGGGTACGTCGTTAAAAAAAAAGAATGTCTAAACAGAGAGTGAGAGAAATTCAGCATCTTTGGCAAAATTCGTAGCTTATGAACATTACTGCTTCTCTATTTAATTTCTAGGGATTCGAATTTTTTTTTCAATTTTTTTATATTATTAATTAAATTTTTTTTTTAAAGCAAATGCATTTTTGACAAGCATGAAAGCACTATTAACATTAACACTAATTTAAAAAAGAAAATTTTCAATAAAAAGACATAATCTCAAACTAAAAATGTTTTTAGTAAAGAAAAAATATGATTTTTAAAATTTATATTATTTTTAATTATAAAAGTATTTTTAGTTCTGTATTATTGAAATATGTTTTTTTATAAAATTAAAAATTTAATATTTGTTTTCGTAATATGAAATTTGTAGTAAAAGGGCTAGATTTTTTTTTATAGTTAAGGGTATGATGACTTAGTTTATTTTTGCTAGTAAACTAGCATTGATCCTTGGACAATTAGCCGATTTTTTATATTCCTGATATTTACTCTTTTTTCACCTGTGGATTTGTATAGAAAAAAAAAATTTACATCACAGTCGCTTTGGTACTTGTTCACAAAAATCCTCTACACAGAATCCTTTTGGGTTCAGGTATTATAGTTTTTCACAGCAAATGGTTTTATACTCCTCGTATATAACATTTTCGTTAAATTATATGTATTTATTCACAATATACATATTAAATTTCTTTATAATGTTCTGACAGACATTATATATAAAAAAAAAGAATTGAAATTGTGTACATATAAATAAAAATGAATTCATAATTTTAAATATCACGTGCATTGCAACGGCATGAAAAAGCTTAGAATGTTCTATATTCAAAAATTCATTTTTAAATAACAAATAGCTTACTATTTGTTGAGATGCAATTTATAAAATTTTCAATTTGTAAATTTATAATTCGAAAAAAATTATTACTTACAAATTTTTAATTATTCAAAATTTTATGAAATTATAAATTACAAATTAGAATTTTTAATATAATAATTATGGTATTAATAATATAAATCCATTTGCCGACTTTAAATAGTTTTTTTTTTTAGTTTTAAGTTTGTAAATTTAAATTTTTGCTTTACAATCGAAGAAATTTTGCGAAAAGAAACAATTCATGTGCCTCAAGTTCTAAACAATTGAAATTGTTTTTGAATATTAAGAAAAAATCTATTTTTTTCTTTTGAAAAATGAATTTTATAAAGAATGGTTTGAACTTTAGGAACATAAAAAAAAATTGTAGTAATTATTCGTTTACTGAATTATCGTATATGCCAGGTTGTTGAATGTGAAACATTGTTTTAATTTGAAAGAGGAATATTTTTATTGCTTGAAATTTGAAATATTTTTGATAAATGGAAATAGTTTTTTTTTTTTTTATTTGCAAGAAAAGAGAATATTGAATGAAAAGAAAAACAGTGAATACGATATAAATGTGAGAATCTTTTATAATGTTTTTCTGTTTCTTTTTTTCTTACAGGATACATGGCGGCCATTCGAAAGAAACTTGTGATTGTAGGCGATGGAGCGTGCGGTAAAACGTGCCTACTTATAGTCTTTAGTAAGGACCAATTTCCTGAAGTTTATGTACCGACTGTATTTGAAAATTATGTAGCCGATATTGAAGTAGATGGAAAACAGGTTTGTGAAATATTAATATTTTTTGTGATTTAATTTTTGTAATTATGTTTATTGACTTATAATTTTTTTTTTTAGGTTGAACTGGCTCTATGGGATACTGCAGGACAAGAAGATTATGACAGGTTACGTCCATTGTCTTATCCGGACACGGACGTTATTCTTATGTGTTTCTCTATTGACAGTCCTGATTCCCTAGAGAACATTCCTGAGAAATGGACACCCGAGGTGAAGCATTTCTGTCCCAATGTGCCCATTATTCTTGTAGGAAACAAAAAGGATCTTCGAAATGATCCCAGTACAATTAAGGAGCTTGGCAAAATGAAACAGGAACCAGTTAAACCCGAGGAAGGCCGCGCAATGGCAGAGAAAATTAATGCCTTCGCTTACCTCGAATGTTCCGCTAAAAGCAAGGAAGGCGTGAGGGAGGTTTTCGAAACGGCGACTAGAGCCGCACTACAAGTAATTTCTATTAATTAAAATAAAAAATTTTCAAAATAATTTAGATTTCTTCTAACTTGTATGTTTTTTTTTTCTCTTAAAGGTAAAGAAGAAGAAGAAGGGAAGGTGTAGGCTGCTTTAAGGTGTATTGCAAGGAAAAAAAAAAACAATGGGCCCGACGCAAAACGGGTGAAAAATAAAAAAAAAAAACTAAGGAATTGTAAAACTAGCTGCATTCGAAGCTAGTCGTAATGCCGGAGGCCCCAGCATCAGCTATTACATAATAAATATCTTATCTTTAATTATTTTACATAATGCAAAAGAAAAAAAAAAGAAAAGCAACAGCCGAAGCAACAATTTTTGGAAGAAAAACGATCGGAACTCTTGAGGAATGCGCAAATGAAAAACTACAAAAAAAAAAAAAGAAATCCAACACACGACGTATGTAATATATCTATCACTTAATCGTATTTTTAAACGTGAACAATAACGGGAGTTTCAAGCGATTTAAAAAAAAAAATTAAATCGCCTTAAATCGTTTTTTTTTACGCTACAGTAACTTTAATATACTTATATATATATAGTGTCTCGCCACTATCGCTATTGCGCCTTACTTTGAAATCTCTTTAATTTTAAATATATATATATATAAAAAAAAGCTGAAGTAGTTGCTGTTGATTTTTTTACAAAAAAAAAAGAAAAAAAAATAATGAAAATATGGGAAGGAAATACGGAAATTCTAGATTTTTTCAATGACGTGAGAATCTGAATATGAAAAAAAAAATTCATTTTTAAATCAAAAATACAAAATTAAAGATAGAGAGATTGAGAAAGAAAAAAAAATAACAGGGGAAAAAGCAAAATGAAAATTTGTCTTAGTATAAAAAAATCTGTGTCAGATAAATTTTCTTTTGTTCTTTTTAGATACCTACTAAGCTAAGTGTATTATTATTATATTATTACTATTATTGTAATACGAAGACACTAACATAAAAGCGGCTAAATTATATTTAATTCAAATGATGAAAAAAAAAAAAAATCCCTGTGTTCAAAATGAGCGTACAAGGCAGCTTTAAGAAAAATCTTTTTAAATCGACTGGATTGTTATTCATTCACAGAAACTAAGTGCAAGCAATTAATTAAGATTAATATTGGGACTGTGAAACACCTTTTGTTCGCGCAAAGTTATTCGCAGTAAATGTTTTTTTTTTTTTTTTTTTTTTTTTTTGTTTTTTTTTTCCTGCAAAAATTGTCAATAATTATTATCTTTAGAGTGATTTTCTTTTCTACTGCATAATGCGCTCGACTCTACTTTTTTTCTACGGAGACTATACAATATATATTTGCAAGCTAACATTTGTAAAACCTTATTAGCCTTTAAAAATTCATTGAATAGAATCATCATTCGAATGAATCTTTTATACTCGTGCGTATATCGATAATCCAGAGAGAAAATTCACGCTCGAATATCAGTTGTATTGATTTACTTTTTTTTTTTTATTATCACACACAAACACTTATAATATTAATATCCACTGATTTTTCCGAGCGTGAAAAAAAACATCACGATCCAAAGGTGTAGACTGTTTTACGTAAACTTTCATATTTTTTTTTTTTTTTTTTTTTTTCTTTTTTTCTCAAAGAAAATACATTCGACAAAGTTGCTTGTTACCGGTAGAAATTTTTATCACTTTTTCCGCGTCACGGAAAATTTTTTATATTGACAAATTTTCTCTGTAGTTGATAAAAAAATTTGATAATGAGGAAAATAATTTTCTCTGAAATAAAAATAGAATAATTATTGATGGAGAAAATTGGAATTATTTTTTTTTTCTGAAATTTTTAAAAGACTGAAAACTGATTTCAGTTTTCATTTTTCTTTTAGCAGAGAAATTTTTCTTTCCTTATTCCATTGGTGGAGGAGGCATTTTGAAAAAAAAAAAATCTTTCATTTGCGACACTAACTTTCTATGACTGACTCGTAAAATCGTATGAATGAATTTATTACAGTTATTAAAAGGAAAAAAAAATATGTCCACTATATATTAGCGTTTGAGAGTTTCTTATTCGCTATAGAATGATCACTCATGCCTATGTATAAAAAAAAAACAAGTCTTCGGTATATAAGCAATTTTTCAGAAATATATTAAATAATACAAAAAAAATTATTTTGTTGTTCTTGTCCTTAAACGTTCAATATTTTGAAAGATTTGATATAAAAGGAGAATTAAAAGATTTGGAATTTTTTTTTTTTCATACATTTATTAATTCATTAAAATTAAACAGTATTTTTATAGAGAAAATAAAGTCCTTTTTAATAGAAATACCCTTATTTTCGATGAAATTATAATAAAGTTTACATTATAAATATATCTAGCTGCTGAAAAATTTAGGCCAACTTTTAATACAAATAGAAAGCAGAAAATTCCTCGCCCATTTATATATATATATTTTTTTTATTATTTAAAACATTTTATACTGCAAGGTGTATAAAAATAAAGGAAATATTTTTCTTTAATGCTCCTATATAGCGATTTAATTTGTTTAATACACCTAACAGTATTTAAAAATTATCTCGCAGATTAAAAATAATTTGCAATTTATTTTAAGGCACTTACTTTAAAAATTATACCTTTACTATTCATTTTATTTTATATAAAATTATTCCTATAACACAATATATAATACTGACATATCCATTTGTATAAAAAAAAAATCCAATTCATTTTTTTTTAAACCAATTTACAAAATTTTAATTTAAACCAAACTGGATTATACCGGGTTTTTGAAATCATGTGTTTTTCAATTCAATTGACTTGGAAACATTTTATCCTAAATAAGAAATCTTTTGTTCGTTAAACATTAAAAACTAACTTTAATACCAAAAAAAAATCACATTTTCTAAATCACTATTTTTATAACATTAAAAAAACTAATTTATTTTTAAAAAATAAAACTTCTTCTGTAAGTGTACAAAAAAAAAATGAATTATAAAAATCATTTTTTAAAATGATTTTTTTTTATATAAATGAAAATAAAATTTATAAAAAGAAGCTACGATTTTTAAAATTAAGTACAAATTAAAATTCCATAAATAAATGAAATATCAAACTGGTGTTTCGGGATTATCCCAGTTTTCGGCTTTTTGTCGTGAGAGTAATTTTGTCCTTGAATTATCACGAGCCATAAGACTCATTGATTCTAAATCTTCAATATCACACGATTGTCCTCCACCACCACTTTTTGATAAACTTCTTCCGGAAGATTGTGAAAAATCGTTACTATCACAGGGACTAACGTCATTTCGAAAAACATTATCGGAATTTGAATGTGATGGCGATGAAAGTTCCGAAACCAATGGTGTTGATTCATCGTCATCACTTTCATCGCCAATTTGTCGATTTGCTGCAATAGATGATGATGATGATGATGATCCTATAAAACAATCTTTTATTTTACTAAATTTCCCCAATGATGATGTGGGAATTGGAATAGAAATTGTTTTCGGTGATTCTTGTTGATCAATAATATTTGGTGTGGAATTAATTTTTTGATAATTTTGTGAAATTTGATCATTAATATTATAACAATTGTCATCGGTGGATTTTGAACGAAAAGCTGGTCGTGGCGATGCTGGCGGTGAAATTAATAATGACGATGGTCGACTACAAATTATATTATTGACACTATTATTTTTTGAGCAATTTTGCAATCGACCATAAGATGAATTTGATTTGACGCTAATTTGTGATATTATACTTCGTTGTGAATCACTGCAACGCATTATTTGACTATTTGAATCCTGTGAACTGTCATCAATACTCTCGAGATCATCTTGAACTGGAATCCAATGCAATAATGGATTTGATTGAAGAATCACATATTCAGTATCAGGTGCTGTTATACTTGATGTTCTCGATCTCGTTCGATCACCTAAAAGTAAAATTTTTTTCTTCTCTTTCACTTGTTCTTTGATAAAAGTTCAAGATAAATTTAACTATTAATTTTTAATATATATATTATTCAACAATTTATACTATATAATTTTAAAAAAAGTCAGTAATTTCCGACAAAAAGTTGTTTCTAATTCTCGTAAATAATAATAATTTATAAAATAATTTAGTAATTTAAATATAAAATATTACTATATTTATAAAATAGATACATGCCGCTTAGTTGTTAATTTGAAAGAAAATTAGAATTTTTTTTTTTTTTGAAAAGAATTTCCAATTTGCCCAGAAAAAGAAGATTAATAGAAAATGTAATAAATAAAATTTCCAAGACTTAGAAAGTAATGAAAAGAAAGCATAGGTATTTTTTTTTCTTAATTTAGAAATTTCAAGACCTGCCCTGACATCCGTCTCATTAAAATTAAAAAAAAAAATTATTTAGAATAAATGCATGCACTTAATATCGATTTTTATGAAACATTATTTATTATCATTTCTTTTTTTTCGAATATAACGATAATAATTTTTTTTTCACGCGTTATAAACGCCATTTGATAACCATACAATGTATGTGACATATATATGCGATACAAAAAAAGCAAAATTCGCACATCGAAGTAGAGAATAATTTATTATTATAATATAATAAAATAATATCGTGAAAATTTAAAATTAATTATCCAAATACTATTTATATAAGCACACTGATATTTTTTAAATTTTCTACTCGAATTAAATTTGACTTAAAAATGTTTTTTTTTATTTATTATTAAAAAAATATATTCTATCAAATCCATACGAACAACAATACTGAATAAAAAAAGAAAATTATTATATATCTACTAAATTAACTAATAGCATCATTTCGGCATTTTTTGTTGTAAATTTTCAATTTAAGCTGGTGTCTGATTATCATTATATGTATATCACAGTTCAATAAACACGCCGCATTACATAATTTCACGCGACTAGTTTAATTATCAGATTATCTCTTTCATTAATTTTTTTGTTTTCTATCTTTTATTTTCAGTTCTTATTCAAATTTTTTATATTTTTTAATAATTCCTAAAATTATTGCACCTGTCTTGACTGTATTTTACCTATTTTTTGCAATATTGCAAAAATTTATCACTATAGAAGCTTGATATTGACAATGTATACAATATATACATTAAAAACTTATATTACACTGATACATTTTACTAACATTGTTGTTGAAGCCTTGCGGAGATCATTTATTTAAATTTATTTATTTATAGAAATTGTAAAACATAATTTCTGAAATATGAGTCAATTAAAAAAACTTCTTCCTTATTTCCTTACATAATTCCTAAAAAAAAAATTTATTTTTTTAATAATTGGAATAATTATTTTTCTTTTATCTCAGAATATTTCGAACACATCCTTTTTTTTAAAAAGAATTATACGAACTCTTTTTTTATAAACTAGTTAAAGAAATTAATTAAATAAAAGTTAGTTGGAATTTTGAAGCTTGTGGAAAAAAGAACAGATTAAAAGCATATTTATATGTGATAAACAGATTTACGAGAATTAGTTTAGTAATTTCTTTTATGATTAGTTACAACCCAAGTTAGTCGATTGTCACAAAAATTAGTTTAAAAAAGCTGATATATTATTTACAATTTTTAAAAGGATCTAGTTTTGATTTTTAACAATTCAGGCACAGGTATACATTATTTTATATTCTCACTTGCAAGTTTATAAAAAATTGTAATAAATCAACTTGTTCCATATGAAGACAAGACAATTAGATTACTTTTTTTAGACATTTTAAATTTGTCGATTAAAAAAAAAAATGATTAATAATAAAATTAGTTACTTATATTAAATTGTAGTAAGAAAAAAAATAAATCTCTTGTCTCAATATGAATCAAATTTGAATTTTTTTGATAGGATTTTATGCATAAGCAAGTCTTGATTAAATTATTATGGCATTGTTCTTTGATTAAAAATTGAATGTGAATTTGATGTTTGTTCTATTACAACCTTTTCATATTAAGCTAAACAAGGTTGTAAAATATTTTAAGTGTAAAATGAATTTTTAGATGGAATGTCTTGTAAACACATGCAATTTTTTTTCTAAATAGCCATCAGCGATAGTTTTTTTTTTTTGTGTGTTTTTTTTTTAAAGATTTGTGCCGTATTCGATGACGGAGTCAGGGCTTTGGTCCGACTTCGGTGGTTCTTGAACAATGACCACAGGCAGTGTAAGTGGAACAGAAGAAGTAGTAGGCTCACCTGGAAGTGAGTCCAGCGGCACTGCAGCTGGCGATGGCACATCAAAAACATCCTCGCAAGCCTCTTCATTTAATGTTTGTAATGCACCACAAATCATTTGTTCCTCCAGTGTTACCTTAAAATTACATAAATTTTGATTTTCTAATTTAAAATATGAAAAATAAACAATTTGTATAAATTAAAAATTTAATTACAATTTTCTTACCTGCAACTAGTATTTTTCCAAAGTGCAAGTGCAGGAAAAAATTAATAAATGTGTAATATTTGTGATATATTCTAAACTAATTTGTTTGAAAATATTGTGCTTAGTAAAAAAAAATTTTCACTTTAAAAAATATATAACCTACTTGTTTTTCCATAATTGATTGTTTAATCGAATCTCTTCTTGGTGGACCATCAGTTCTGGATTTTTCCTTTTCAATGTGAGGCGTAACTCTGGGTGGATTATTTCCAGTGTGATCTTTAATTTATATAAAAAGAAAATAACACCCTATTGACAATTTTATTTTTATTATAATTTATAATAACAAAAATTACCTTTTCTAACTAATTGATCATTGCCAACTGTAAATCGTACACTTCGTGGTCCTTCATCTTGAATTAAAAATGACGAAAGCTCTTGTTCTCGCAATGAAATCACCACCATTCGAAATAGTTCCCAATCGCCAAATGACATTTCAAGTACCTTAATTGTTTACATATTAAAATATTTCCCAAATCGTTTTTTTTTTTTAATATTAAAAAAAGTAAATTTATTTTTTAAAAAAGAATACAAGTACCTTTTTAAGTTCCTGCAAATCACAATGAAGTAACACTTTGCCAGTTATATTATTTTGTTTAATAATTTCTTTATAACATTGAACTTGATTTGGATTAAGATCATCAATTTTGTCTAATAAATCACATAAACCATTCACTGTTAAAGCTGAAAGTCTTATCTCCATAATTTCCGGCTGAAATAAAATCAATTTTATAAAAACAATATGAAAATAAAAATTCTATATTAAAGTAGAGAAAATAAAAAATTTACAGGTAGAGATGTGGTTGCAGAAATTGGTTTTGGTAACGGTTCCATTGGTGGTGGTGGTGGTTGCCAATGTTGAAATTGCCAATTGAATCCAGGTTGAATAGGCCAATTTGGTGCTAATGTTGGCATTTGCGTTACTTGAGGCGTTTTATTTTTATTAATTCTAGCTAATCTATTTGTCAAAACATTTCTATTTGACAATAATTGTTCATTATGACCAGTAACATTCCATGGCTGTAAAGATTTATAAAATTGATGATTTGAATCATCGTCCAAACTTTGTTGTTCCTCCTTGATTTTTTTCTTAATATAGGGATCAAGATTAATTGTGAAAGGTAGGAAAATTTTCATATCACTGATCAATAAACTCGAACGATGAAATGTTAAAAAAACATCGAGTTTACGCTCATCTCTATCAATTTCAAGCAGTGGTTGCACGTCTTTTAAAACTGGAATTTGGGGCCGAACTCTAAAAAGTGCAAATTAGATAAAATTAGTAAAAATTGTAATTCTATCGTGATATTAATTAATAAAAAAACATACTTATCGTAGAGGCTTTTAAGTGACATTGAATCGTCCAAATTTTCCTCACAGCTGTCATAGTAAAGTATTAACCACGAAGTACGAAAAGGCCATTGTTCAGTGATATTAATCCAACTAGCGAGATGATACCAATTGAAATCAATTTGGAATGCTTTGAGTAACCTTCCAGTAACGTAGACAACATTCATAAGTCGTCTCATACTTCGAGGATTAACATCACTGAAATAATCGTCCGTGAGGAGCATTTTATTTAAATCTTGAGCGCCACCAAGACGATTGAGATTACTGCCAATACTGCTTGCTATCGATTCACTTAAACGTAATTTTCTACTACCCTTTCGACTTGGTGGTTTCAATTTTTCATTACTACTCATTACACCCGACTCGGTGCTTAATCTTCTATTTGAAACTGATCGATGAATACTACTGGACGCAGCATAATTTACACTCTCCTCAGCCTCATTCCATGCAAGTTTTTTATTACTATGCTGTGCTGTTTGCTGTGCGACTTTAACTTTTCGCAAACCACTATTTTGCAAATAAAATGGTAGATGCACCATATTTCTTAAGTAATCATGACCGCCTATATTTGAATCTATAAAAAGTCTTCTACTATTCACTTCTACTGCCTGCAAAAAAAAAAAAATTAATTTATAATTATAAATTGTAATTGTAAAAATTTGTTTAAATGAATATTTAAATACCCTGGCAATAATGTGTGGATCTATAGCTAAAATCACAATAAATGGACAGCTATTGTCGCTGAACAATGATTGTATCGCATCAAGTACCAATAAGACTTTATCTTGTTCGCAACTATCAAGGCCATCGACTATCACAACAAGTCTACTTTGTTGAGCCGTAAAGCTATCCATACACTTTACCTTGAAAAAAAAAACCAAAAATTAGAAAAATAATAATTATTACTAACACAAAAATTAAATTTAAAATTTACCATCTCTGTCATAAGGTTAACTTCACTTTTTAAAGTTTGTAAAAAACCTTCGCTCTTCAATGTTTCTAATTTTGATATGCTACGTTGAAGATGTCTTCTTTGTGAATAAAATAAAGCGCGAAAAGTTCTACTCCATGTGTATAAATTTGCAACAATGCTCACGGACAATATGAGAGCAACAGTGATCATTATTATGTGAGCAGTGACAGTCTCAATTGTTGTTCTAAAAAAAAAAAAAAAAAATTTACATTGAAAAATAAAATTTTCTTGAACAAAAAAATAAAAAGTACCTACATTTCTTTAGATAAATCAATGAGGTAAATAGCGAGGACAGATACGCCTACGAGAAAGCTGTAAAAGCAGATTGTAAATATAACTACATAAGGCAAGCCACACATTTTTCTCCATTCCCAAACATTTGATGCTTTAACTGGTTTTGGTCTGAAGGCTCTATACAATCGTGTTGCTAATGATCCAAAATCATTTTCAATTGAATCATACAATGATCCTATCATATGTACAACTGCATTTTCACCCGCTGTTGTTGTACCAACTCTTGTTTGATCAGTGAAATAAAATTTTATCGGCTGAACGGTAATTCCATCGTGAACTTCACCACTCGGTGGATGACAGAATATCACTTGCAACAAGAGTTTCAGCGAATTGATTTTTGTAGTAAGTGCCACAGTGAAATTGTAAGGCCAGTACCAATCGTACCTATTTTTAAAAAATCAACCACGTAAAAATAAATTTAGTAAATAGTGAATTAATTGTGAATTTTCGCTAAAAAAAAAAGACTTACCGTTTGTTAGCATACCATATGAGAATCAAAAAAATGTAGACCAAAAATATTAAACCAATACCAACGGATAAACCAATTATCCAAGATTGTAGAGCTAAACCATGAGTAATTCCAATTAAAAGAACAACGTGTGTAATCACTAGAAACAATAATGATGAGAATTGAAATGCTGGATCAATCCAGGGTCTCGCAAAATTTTTCATCTCCTCTAAAAATATAGAATCACATAATTTAAAATTGTAAATGAAAAACTTTTTAATATTTATTTAAAAAAAAAAAAAATGAACTCACCACGCAGTTTATTTAATAAAAAAGACTTTCCAGAACCCCATTTGGCATAAAGACCAACTGTAATTGGCGTTGATAAAGAAGGTTCACTAAGAATATCAGCTAAAGCACTACTGTAGAGATCATAGCCGAGCATATTCTCATTATCTTCATTGGTATTTAGCCGACCTAATATTTATAATTTAAATTAATTTCCATTTTATTTTAAAATTAAAAATAATTTAACACTTACGAGCACCGAAAATTTGTCCCAAAATTGTCTTTGGATGATTGACATCAATATTGTAAGGCGTCTCACCTTGACGATTAGGTCGATAGAGCAATTGACTATTTTTTGGATTTCTAAGAAGAATTTCCACAATACCTTTTGATCGTGCACGCATTGCAATATGAAGTACCGTATCACCTTTCATATCAGTTGCAGAAACTTTAGCTTTTTTATCCAAAAGTAATTGTACCATTTCGGCATTTCTCGATCTAACTGCACGCAATAATGGCGTATCGCCATCTTTTGTTCCAATTTCCAAATCAGGATTTGCACTCAATAAAATTTTCAATATTGCTAAATTTCCCTTTTCCACTGCAATGTACGTTGCTGTTTTTCTATCCTGCAAAAAAGGAAAAAATTCTTCAATATTCATATAGAATAGCAAAAAAAATGTGGAAAAAAAAAATAAAATACCTTGCCAGCAATGTCGACATCAACGTATTTTTTTAATAGTGATTCAACAACTCCACGATGTCCACCTTTAACGGCATGAATTAAATTCGTATCGCCCGATCTATCTTGAACATTAATGTAAGCACCTGTATTTAATAATGCATTTACTATTTCGTGATAACCTTCTCGACAAGCGATCATCAATGCCGTTGTGCCATCTTTATCAAAAGCATTGACATTTGCTTTGTGCTCCAAAAGTAAGGACACAACTTCAATATGATTTTTAAGTGTCGCTACTATTAAAGCCGTCCATGAATACTATGAAAAAAAAGGAAAATATCAACAAAAAATATTCCATTTTTTTTTTTTTGAAAAAAAAAAGAAATCTCATAAATACCATTCCTGCTGTATCAACATTTGCTCCAAGTTTAAGAAGAGTATCAACAATTTCTAAATTTCCTTTGCGTGCCGCCCAAATGAGTGCCGTTGTTCCATACTGAAATTAAAATTTATTTTTTAAAAATTCGAAACACTTTTTTTTACTTTATTTTGTTATTTTTTTAATTCTCTTTTTATTTCTTTTACTCGATGCGGTAAATTTACCTTATCTCCAACATTGACTTTTGCCCCATGTGCAAGGAGGTCTTTGACAATTTCTGGATAACCTCTTCCCGATGCCCATAGCAATGAGGAAATATGATAATTCCCATGGGCATTAACATCGGCACCTTTTGACAACAACAACGAGACAGTATTCGTTCTTCCTTTATACGTCGCCCACATAAGAGCCGACCATCCACCCTTGAAACAAAAACAAACAATCGTTACAATTAAATCTTATTTGCGAATAAAAAAAAATATAAAATTCCCTTTCCCTCCATTAATTATTTTCGATTACTTGTAAAACGTTAACAAAGAAATAATTATTTCAACAAATTGTGAACATTCTGAAAATTAATTGAAGAAACTTTTTGGATAAGTTTCAAAAAGTTTACATTGTGTGGGAAAATTTATTATTTTCTTGTAGAATTCATTTTTGTTTTTGATCATGTGCCAAACATTAAAAAAAAAAAAAAAATTTACCATATCGCGGTGCTCAAGATCGGCTCCATGTTCGAGTAATTCGAGACAAACGTCAACGTATCCCTCCTTTGCCGCAAACAACAACGCGGTCCAATTGTCCTAAATATAGAAAAATAACATTTAAAAGATAAATTGATACATAGAGAGAATAAATTTCACATGACATACTAACCGCATCCTCGGCATTGACATCTGCTCCATGATTAATAAGTTCTCTCACGAAATTTAACTTTCCTTTACTAGCTGCAAAAATCAAGGCCGTACTTCCATTCTGAAATTAAAATTTATTATTCTTTTAATTTTTCTTAACAATAAATTTATTTCAAAAAAAAAAAAAAACTTGGTATTACAGTAAAAAAAAAAAAATTATCTAAATTTGGAAATTGAAAAAGAAAATTTTTTTATTTACCTCGTCTCGATCGTCGACTTGAACTCTCTTGTTTTCGAGAAAGTTCTGAAGACCCGCGAGATTCTCTTCAGTAATGCAAGTGGCCAAATTGCGATAACAAAGAGATACCATGGAGTCAGTCCGATGTAGAGTCTATAAAAAAAAAAATCGAAAAACCGTATTTATTAATGAAATCCAAATTCAGTAAAAAGTTTTCAAAGCATACAAATCCATTTCTCATTTCTAGTTCATTCAAAAAGAGCAATTATTTTTTTTACAATAAAGCGTTTATCACAAAAATTCGACAATTTTTCCTTTTTATTTTTTGGAAAAATATATTTTAATCAAAATCGAACGAACATTTTTTATTTTATTTTATTTTTTTTTGATAATATTCTTCGTTCGATAAGGATTTCTTGCTGTTGAATAAATTAATGGTTATATATAAGCAAATCGAGGAAATCAGAAGCATTATTAGTGTAGCAATAATGCTACCTAAGAGCCATAGAAGAAAAAAATTGTTAAATTCACACTTTTTTTTTAATTTTACGAATTTAATCAGCGCACATCAAACGAATTATTTGGAAATCGCACTTCTTGCGACTAACCAGATGTGAATGTCTTCTAATGCCAAAATTGAATTTTCGACCACTTCCACTGTAAGTTGCTGGTCCATTAAATGTAATAATGGGAATATTAAGATGATGATGTGATCGATGAACACAATCATCTTGAACACGTAAAAATGGAATTCTCGACCATCTTCTTCCAGTTGTTGAAGTTTTTTTTTCACCATCAGGTATTGTAACATCATCCACAACATTTGTTGCCATTGTCGTTGAATTATTATCCGATAAATTAGAATCAGTGAGACTTCTTCTAAGATCAACATTATTTATTCCCAATTGATCTTGATTATTGAGAAAATTCGACGAATCAGGAAATATTCCCGCTAAACTTGGAGCAATACTTTTGCCAATTGCAATATTAGTGATGCTTTGTCGTCGTTTATTGATATTATTAAAATTAAAAATTGAAAAAGACGCTGGTGAAGTTGCTGGTGACAAATTTTTCATTGATTTCTTCAATGTTACTTGTTCAAGTTCAATATTTGTCACTGGTAATGTAAGTCTTCTTACACTATTTCGTAATTCATTTTTTTTCATTTCAAATAATTCATTTGATGTCTCTTGATCATTTTTAATTAATTCCTTAAAATTTGATTCAATTTCCGAAATTTCCAATGTTTTTGATTTAATTTCTTCTTTTTCTTCATTGTCATTTTTATTATCTTCTTCGATTTCAATTCGAAAAACATTCTCATCTGATTTAAAGGCTTCACGTTTAAGTTGAGCTCTCCGCATTACATTCTTTTTCCAAATTTAAAAAATCCTCTGATAGCTTTTTTCAAATACAAAAAAAATTTGTAAATTTGATAAATCAATATTTTTTTAAAATTAAAACTATTTTTCTTTTTTTTTTAGAAATTAAATTCCTCATTGTCAAATAACTAATTTGGCTAACGATTTTCAAAAGGCTTAAACAGAAAAATAAAAATGTCGTTTAATTTGAATTAAAACAAATTATTTTGCGATTTTTCTTCTTGGTATGTGGCCTTATTGAAACTAATGGCATTTTAATTAGAAAAAATTTCTAGCTAGAAATATTCTCTCAATATACTAGAGATAAGAATCCAGACAATGTTTGAACATTATATAAAAAAAATATATATATATCTATCTTTTCTTTTATATTTCAATTTATTTATTAATAACACAAACACAATTGGCCTCAATATTTGATAAGAATTATTAAAACTAATAAAAAATTTTTTTCAATCATATGGCAAATTTTTATTCATATAATTTTCAACTAGAAAATGGGAATTGGATATTTTCCAAATCAAAAATTAGAGAGTGATTTTGAAATTTTTTGAATCAAAAAGATTCATAAAATGAAGAATTTTATACGAACCCAGTGAACTGATGTGAATTTGAGCATTTTTTCAAAATTACTACTATTCGTAGGCATTGTGGTAAAAATTTATTTTATTTAAAAAAAGGGCACAAAAAATTTATTTGATTTAAAAAAAAAGAAAAAACACTAGTAGAAAATAATTAATATATTTTAAAAAATTATTATCACAACTAGAGAGAGGAGACACATCACGACTTTTCGACAATCACGTCTAATGTTCATGTTAATGAACATGCCAACTAACTAGAAACCAAACCTCCAACTATAGTTCTCGATGAAACATTTAAGAACGAAGTGTCTCCGCTACTTCAAATATATACCCAACTTGAGAACCCTAAGAAAGTGTATACATGTGGTGGCGGAATCATTTAAGTACGTGTACTCTCAATGTTCTCTTTAAGACAACATACACTGATTACAAAATATATTACAATCTGACAACAAACTTTAAAATGTTGCAATTTCAAAATAGAAAGAAATAAATAAGAAATAAATAGAAAGAAAAAATAAAAGGAATATTTAATCATTGTTATCAATTTTCTAAATTAAGAAGACAATTTTTAAATTAAATATTGAAGAAAAAAATCGTTTTCGATATTTTTGAACGTTTTCCATTTTAATGTTTTTTAGAGATTTTTTTAAATTTTCAATTCTTTGATTTTTAGTTAAAAAAAATCTTTAATATAATTTTTGAGAAAAGTAAAAAAATTCTTTAGTTTTTTTTTTTTTTTGTAATTTTTACTTCTAATAAATTATTTCTCATAATTCGTTTATTAAAAATATTGATAGACTAAAAATTTATAAATCAATAAATTGTTAATATAAAAATTATATCATTTAAAATTTTTATAAAACAAAATAAAAATATTTTTTTGAACTTTTAAATTTTTATTGATTGAATTGGATTTTTTTATATTCAAACAATAAATAAATATGAAAACTACATTTTTACATGAGTTTAAAATAAACATGAATTTTTTTTTTTTTGAAAATATAAAATTTACGATAGTTTGAAGAATACTTTTTTTCAAGATTGTTAATTATGAGAGTTTCTAATAAGTGGCATAGAAATTTTGTTGTAATAATTGAACCAATTAAATTGCTCGATTCTCAGTAAGCTATGATTAACGCATGAGCAATAAGTGCATATAGAAGCGTCACTGAAGCTGTTGGAACAAATGGAAATTATAGCTTATAAAACAAGCAATTGAATAGGCGTTGCCATCAAAGCAAACGATTTCATATGTGTTTAAATTTATGATCTTCCTCAAATTTAAAGCACCGCAAATGTTTACGGAAATGTTGCAAGCGAATTAAATATAAACAGTACCAAACTGCATTTTTATTCTGTAACAACAAAAAAAAAGGAAATTAATTTTATTTTCAATAATTAAATAAAAAAGATAAATTTTAATTATTTATTTTTTATATTACAATAAAAAAAATATATTTAAATAAAAATTAAATAATTGAAAAATTATAAATACATTATATTATAAAATCCTCATTTCAGTCAGATAAATTTTGGTGATTCCCTGATGGAAGAGATTAAAACTTTTCAAGATTTCAGACACAAAATATTTTATACTATCATATAGAAATATCTAAAATATTTTTATTTTTAAATTATAAAATTATTTTTGGATTTTTCATCATTTTGGCTCACTTGAATTAAGATGAAGTGAATTATTAGAATACTATTTAAAAGCAGAGAAACGAAAGGGAAAAGTAAAACTGAAAGCCAGATTTAGAAAATACATTTAATGGAAGGGGCAAAGTTTCATTCATTGAAGTTTATTTGGTCGAAACGTGCGATGACCGAGACTTATGTTGACTCTTGAAGGATGACTGAAATTGTTTCCATATAGATGAGAAACTCGTGCCAAAATTAATTTTATAAATATTAGTTATATTTATGTAAAATAACAATTAAAATATTCAATAAAATTTTTTCCAAGAAAAATATTATTTTACAGATAAAATATATTAGTCAACTTTAATATAATAGTCTGATATAAATAAAACGAAAAAAAAAATCAAGTTTATTTGTTCTTTTGGCTTAAGAAATAAAATAGATCTAAAATTAAATATTTATTTAAAATAGAATTGAATATATATAACTATAAACAATTAGAGGAATTAAAAAACTTATTCTTTTATTTTGCAATGCAATCTATGCATGTTAAGTACCAAGAACAATTCAAATCAATCTTTAACAAATTATTTATCTATATATAGAAATTAAAGACGAAAACTTATTAAAATTTCTCAGTAAATAAAAATTGATATAGAAAATAATTATCATTAGAATTCATAGTCAAATTCAACTTGAATATTATTCGAATAATAATGGAAAATTTTTATATAAAAATAGAATATTAATCAAATAATTATTATAAGAATTAATACAATAGAAATTGTTTTTAAATTATTATTGTCGACTAGTACAGTGAAAAGATATTATGATTCTCGATGATAAAATTATCAAGAAAATAATTGACGTCAAACTCTTTAGATTCTTGTACAAATAACAGATATTATTGTTTAAGCTTATCAAATAAACTTTTCGATGCATGGGAAATTTTGTGCAAAATTAAACATTGAAAATATGTAATTTATTTGAAATAAAATAATAATTTCTGAAAAAAAAATAAGAATCACTATCTACCTTTTTTCGCCAATTCCATAATGATTTTAGACCGTCAATTGAAAGAAATGAGCCATAAGATTTAATACTCCTGTTACTCGATGACGAACAGGATAAAGTTGATCGACTATCACTTACAGTTAAAAGCAATGATGTCGATTCATTTGTGTTTTTAGATTTTTTTCGAAAATATCCTGTCGCATGCAGGTTAAAATAAGGCACAACTCTCATAGTAAATTTTCTTTTAAAACACAATCAATAAAAGTCACTTTGAAAAATCAAAGCTTTGTCTACGCAGAAATATTTACACAAAATATCCGTTTTTTTTTTTCTCTCTCTATTCGTCAAAAATCTTTACGACGTTTATTAAGTGAGAAATAAATCAAAAGTTCATCACAATTTAAATGTAAACTGCGATATTTATGAAAGGGAAAAATTATATTTACATTATTCACAATGTGAATCACTTTGGACATTGTTAATCTTTGACTATATATTTAATTGATCACATAAATACTTGAAAATAAGCAATTTTTAATTTTATTTTCTCTCACAGAAGAAAAAAAAAAAGTTGTATAAATTATTATTATTATTGAAAGAGCAAGTGAATCGAGAGAATGAAAACAAACTGAAGGAAGAATATTTGTAAGTAATGTGCGGAAAGAACAGATTCCTATTGATTACTGATCGTCTTCATAGAGTTAAAAAAAAAAAAAAAAAAGGAAAAAGAAAAAAGATGAAGAAAGGGAAACATGGATTTATCGCTGTTGATGTAATTCAACCAGCATCTCGTGATAAACGATAACAATTTGGTCTGGTAGCATTTTAACGAGATACCTTATCTCTCTTTCTCTCTCTCTCTCTCTCTTTCTGACATTTCACGTAACCAAAGCACTGAAGATGGCTATGTGTATGAAATACGTGTGTAGATAAAGAGAACAATGAATTTGAAACGATAATTTCAAAGTTCTCAAACTGTATTTTATATATTAGTGACATTCGTATATAGTTCCTTGACAACTTCTACTCCTCAAGTATATTTTATCAATTTCTGCAAAGTTCGATGATAAAAAGACTCGGGTCACAAGAGTAAAATGAAAATGAAGAAATATTCCAGCCCCATTTTTATTATCCAAAAAAATCTGCAAAATTTATTGTAATTAGTGTCAAGTCATTAATTATTTTTTAACAAATTTGCATAATTATTGCATTTGAATAAAAACAATAAAATATTCCAACTTCAATATTAAAACAATTTTTAATATCAAATTATTAATTTTTAAAAATTGTTCACTCTAAAAATTATTAATTTTAAAATAAAAAAAAAAAATTAGTTTTACAAATTAAAAAATTGTCATTTCAAAATAACCAGTATGAAATAAATTTTACGAAATAAGTGAAGAATATATAAATCACGCGATTCATCTACAATTTAGTTAATAGTTTGTCTGAGCAAAAATAGTTATTTTGGCTGTATCATGTAGCACAATTGTATTTTACGTAAAAGTAAAACACTATTTTATATATTCATATTGCATGAGGCACGTTTTCACGAAATAGAGCCAAGATATGCGAATCTAGGTTGTCTCAGTATATTTTCGGTGAATATCCAGGTAGTAATTTGGCTCATCAATTTAAATTTCCGGACAAATTATCAAAATCTAACCCTCACGAAATTACAAAACAAAATTTCTATATTTATTTCTAATATATATATATAACAATTGTTTCCATTCGTTAACCATTGGCAAATAAACAAAAAAAAAAAAACTAAATATTTCAAAAAATGTTCCTTAAAACTAAATTTTTTTAAATATTTCCAAATATTTCAAAAGAAGGAAAAATTTTTACTAAACTTAGAAATTAGCATCACAGAAAATTAAAAGGCATTAAAATAAGCTGCAACGCTTATTATTTTAATCCAATTTTGCTTATTTTAATACCAAAATGGATTAAAATAATAAGCGTTGCAGCTTATTTTAATGCCTTTTAATTTTTTGTGATAATTTAATTATTAAATTTGTAAAATTCATCACATCAAAAAAAATTATTGTAATTAGAATTTCCGGTTTTAAAAACGAATTCGATTTTCAATAAAAAAAAAAAAAAATACCTCTTGTAAACGATGTTCCAAACGTTGAACAATAAACGGGGATCTTCCCCGAAACAATGAGAGTGGTCGATAATCATCATGTCGCGAAACAATCCTAACATCCTTAGATTTACGGTGTGACATGGATCATAGGTGATCAGGAAAAAATATATATATTCCACACTTTTTCAATTCATATTATCCGGTTAGTTTTTTTTTCTCTCTCTCTCGAACACAAGAGAGCACTATTGTAAAAATCTTATATAACCGCGCATAAAAAAAAAAAACTCGTCAATGGCTGTTTTTTTTTTTCTTTTATATACAATACTGTTATAATAGCAGGTGTCGTGCACGAAAAAAAAAACAACATACACACCCACTCTTGAATAAACATAGGTAAACGATAACAAAAACCGGTCGAAACAACAATTCCGAATATACAATTTATCACACAAAACAAGTTGCGGTGAATTTTCCCTCGCGCAAAAAAAAAAATTATAAAATTTTCCACATTCTTATTGAATATATAGAAAAATTAGTTTTATAAACTTGACAATCGCGAGACAAACTTAATCTTTTATTGCAGAGAATGAAGTTTTACGATCTTTTAAACATTGTGTGCGCGAAATCCAGATTTTCATTTGGAAAAAAAAAAATGATTGACATAAAAATTTATCTTTATGAAAGATAATAGAGGGAAAAAAAAGGCGCGGTTTATAACAATTGCGTGGTGTTTAAAAAAAGAAAAAAACTAATAATAAAATTTTTTTGACCTTTAAAATTTTTAAATAAATAAATATTAATACTGATAATAATTGATTATTGGTTTTCAAATCATTCAAAACAAATATATTGTCCCTTTTTTTTAATAATAAATTTAATTTAAATTTCCATAATAAAAGACAAATATTATTATTTAACAAATAATGAATTCTTTTTAGAAAATATCAGAAAATTCATTGATAAATTGATAAAAATTAAACACACTAGATTGATGAGAATGAATTGGTAATCACTATTGATTGTTTCTATCATTTTGTTCAAAGGTGAAATATTTATTATTCTAATAGAAAAAAGAAAAGAAAAGTTTGTCAAGCAATTTTTTATAATAAAGAAACATTTAATAAATATTTATGAAATTGGCGCACTTTCACGAAATTGTTATCTCCGAAAAGGAAGAAAAAAAAAAAAAAAAAAAAAAAAAAAACTGAAAGTGGAACAAAGTATGCGAAACTAGATTATGTCTAATCGCGGACGATGAGCAACCGACTGAGACGTCGAGTGGTCTGCGAGAATACAAGAGATTGATTAGAACAACGTTAGCACATTTTTTTTTAATATCGAAGAGGGATCTATCTCTCTATCTCTCTTTTATTTATATATGTGAACAGCGAAACAATAGTCATGACACGTGCAACGATTGTTATGTGAGGATATAATAGAATGCTTATAAAAGCAAGTGGTCCATTGTTTAATGGAGAAAAAATGGCTTACGTTACTGGAATTTTAAAACTTTTCTATACATCAAATTTTCCTTTAACTCAATGAAAAAAATCCACTTATAAAAATTATACAGAAAAATAATTATTATCCTGAAATTAAACAAAAATATAAATTAATTTTTGTAAATAAACAAAGAAAGTAAATAATAAAATATAAATTTCATTATACGAGAAAATACTGAATTTCCATGACATTTTACATCAAAGACCTTTTAGATCACAAGGCTCTATAATTATAAATAAAAAAAAAATATGCCAGAGCCAATAAAACGATCGTGAACTTTCAACCCTATATAGTTTATTAGAAAAATAAATTTTCATCAACAAAATACGTTACCGAAATTGAATCATCATCAGCATCGGACTCAAACCATAATCTGATATTTATAAATCGTAAATTCATATTTTCATTATAAATTAATTCACTAAATGGTGCACACAAATTATTGTAATAAAAAAATATCGAAATATTAAAAATCTATAATTGATCATTTAATCAAGTTCTTTCTACTTGAAAATATTTAAGGTAACTATTTTCATATTCAATGAAATTCAATTATTTACAAACAAAAATATCTATCAAGACGTGAACCAATAGAAATAAAATGACTATTAAATTTAGTAAATTTTTACTGATTACTAATTCCATCAGAAAAAAAAATATTTTCAAATTAAATTTTATTCCTAATTGATAAAAAAAAAAAAATATTTTAACAAACTTACCAATTACATGAGAGATTTTTGTCCTATTTGACTTAGTCATATACTATTAAAGCTTATTTCCATAAAATCAAAACATCTAAAACAAACAAAATTAAATATTTTAAATCATTAATTAAATTTCTTCGATAATCTAAAAACATATATTTTCTTTTTCTGAAATTTACATCTCTAAATCATTTCGTTTTTAGGACCACGAGAATAGTGAGTATTTATACAGAATACAAAAAGCGAGGTATTCAAAAGTTTATTCTTATTTATGTATATAGTTCAGTATCATTCCAATAATTGAACGCATACTGGATATATTCATCTCTTAGTCTATACACAAGAACATTTAATCGATCTTGTGCCTTGAACTCTAAAGCTTATAAAAAAATTAGACCATTTTCGCGGTGGTCTCTAAAAGTCAGCTCAAGGTAAACTCGAAATTAATTGATTTATTACAATATTTATTTATGTTATTTGATAGAAAATATTACACAATTATTATAAAAAAAATTGAAATCGAAGAACATAAACAATTAGATTTAATTTCTATTTCTTTCTTAATAAACAAAACTATAATATTTCATCGGAACATGTAACTACTTTCCTAATTTCAGGAATTAAAAAAGTTACATTATTTCAATAAATAAAAATTCCAAATATTTAAAGATGAAAAAACATGTGACTTTGCAAATATTCAAATTTAAAATAAATAATTAAATTATAAATTAAAACGCAAAACATTACATAGTTATTAAATTTTTCTAATCTTTGAGAGTTAAAGATTAACTTAATGATAACAAAGTATAATAGAAAAATTTTTAAATTAAAATCTAAAAAAAAAGATAACCTCAAAAAATGACGATCCACAATTAACATAATCAAATGTCAATTTTTCTCCGTGATTAAAAATTTTAATTAAATTAACATAAGTGCATGACAAATTAAATGAAATTCACATCATTACCATGAGTATGTTTGAAGTTTAAATTATATACTTTATTTTGTAACCTCACCTGACAAAGGCGATGTCACTGAAACTTCACTATACAATTTATACAGTATATCTTTTAGTTAATTACTTGCTTCTATTGATTTGACACTTTTATAACTCGAAGCACTTAAAATATCCTTAAATTATATTTTATCATTCAAAATAGTTAAGGAAAAAATAGTTTTTTAACAGACAAAAAACACTGCATTCAGTCGAAAATTTCGTTATGTGTGTTGACAACAGCGACACATGTGTGATAAATTGAAATCATTTTGAAACGATTTTACCGACTCGGCAAGAAAATTTCAAAAAATTACCGCAAGGGGGACACTCCCGTCAAAAGCACATGTTTTTATGTTTTTTAAATAAAAAAAAATAATAATGTAAACACTATTTTTTCGTTTACAAAAATGGTGTAAAGTAAACCAATTTAAAAACGTTACTTCAGTTTTATTTATTGTATAAAAAGAAAACAGGACAAAAGTTAATTTAATTTGTTAAGAGAGTTTTTTGGTGTTTGTATTTTGAGGTTAAATTTCTTTTATATTTTTGGAGTTTTTTTTCAAATTATCAAAAATGACTTCAGTAGCTTTACCACAAAAAAAATACTACAGACAAAGGGCACACTCTAATCCAATAGCTGATCATTGTATTGAATAGTAAGTTTAAAAATATAACTTTTTTTTTATTTTTATCAGTAAAATAAAAATTATTCAACTTATTTTAATAAAATTATTAAGAAAAATCACTTTTTGTATTTACAATGCATTTTACTGCATTGTTGTTTTTTTTAAATATAGTATTTATTTGTTAAATATACTTTTTAATCATTTTATCAAGACAGGTTAATACTTTTATAATTATAATAATTTTTGTAAATATTACCTTTAAAAAAATGTTTTAAAAATGAGCACTTCACAGTCCCGTGAATCCAGATGCGATGAATTGGAGCGAATTATATTCAACATTCGCAGAAACAAATGATAAAGAATCTGAAATTAAAAAGATGACTAAGCAAGTGGAGTTCGCTGACATTGGTTGCGGATATGGTGGATTATTGAGTAATATAATTTGTTCTTTAATTTAATTTCACATGCATGTAAACGATAATAGCTATTAATTATAACATTGAATTAAATTAATAGTTACACTCTCACCAATGTTTCCCGATAATCTAATTGTTGGCATGGAAATCAGGGTCAAAGTCTCGGATTATGTGATGGATCGAATCTCAGCATTACGCCAACAATATCCTGAACAATACAATAATATTGCTTGCATTAGAACAAACGCTATGAAATATTTGCCAAATTATTTTCACAAAGGACAGGTAATAAATTTGAAAATTAATTTTTAATTTTATTCTCTAAAAAAAAATTTTCTTTTGTAATTTTCTATTTTACAGTTAAAAAAAATGTTCTTTCTTTATCCTGATCCTCATTTTAAAAAAGCAAAACATAAATGGCGAATTATTAATCAAACATTATTAGCAGAATACGGATATGTTCTTGCAGAAGGAGTAAGTTCGCAAATTTTTTTTCTTCTAATATTTCCATTGTCGTTTTTGTTTTTAATTTTAATTGGTTTTTTCCAGGCTATTGTTTATACAATGACTGACGTTAAAGATTTACACGAATGGATGGTTCTTCATTTTGAAAAACATCCATTATTCGAAAGAATTCCTGATAATCAACTTGTAAGTTAAAATATATTTTTTGAAAAATATTTCTAAATTAGAGAGAAACAAAAAATTTATAAATTACTTTTTACAGGCTGATGATCCAATTGTGGAAAAATTATATGAAAGTACCGAAGAGGGACAAAAAGTGACGCGAAATAAAGGAGATAAATTTTTGGCTGTATTTAAAAGAATTTGTGATCCATATGAAAAAGAAGAAAGTTGATATTTTATAAAATTTTCTTTTTAATAAATTCATTTTGCAAAAGAAGATTTTAATATTTAAAAATTGATACCATTTATAAAAATAATAATCAATTCGAGAATTTGTTTATGTGATTCATTTGGAAGCTTGCCGAAATTTTTCTATAGGTAAGTTGCCTTATATCAGACGATTCCACAAAATGATTTGTGTCTAGTACAAATTCTTCATGAATAATGTTAAATATCATCTAGAATATATATATATATATATATATTTTTTTTGAAACTTTAATATTATTTGTAAATATAAATTAAAAATGAAGAAAGAGATTTTTTATCATTTGCAAGGCAATTTTTCAAAAAATATTTTTTTTAAATATTAATTTCGATTTCAGAAGTTGAAAAATCAATTTTTTAAAATATAATATTAATAGAAACTTACTGTCTGCAATATTTTTTCAATCATATTTTTAGATGGTTTGATGAATGATTTTCTTGTTAAAGCTTTCCTCTTGCTTGCATTTATTGCTATTTGTGAATATTTTATATCCGTTGAATTAATTGTAATTTCTTTCATGAGATGTTGAAATTCTCTACTGTTTAATATATCCCTGCAAAAAAAAAAAAATCGCAAAATAATAAATAAATTTGATATTTACTTTCTTCTATATAATAGACATAATTACCAAATCATGCATTCTAAAATAAATTTCGAGACTTTTAAATTATTTTCAGTAACAACAGTTCTTTTTTTCACATTGTGTAAATTAATTTCTTTTGTTGGCGTGAGTTTTAATTGTTGTTCTAATGTTGCTTTCATTTCATAATCCTCTGTACTATAAATATAGGCGCGAATTGTCAATCCCTTATAAAATGGTACAGTTGGTTTTGAATTTTTCATCTTTTTCTGTGCATTTTTCTGTAAAAAAATTCAACAACATTTTTTTTCAGAATTTTTTATATTTTAATAATTTTTTTTTTCAATGGTTTACTAGTTTTTAATAAATTCTTGAATTTTAAAATAAATACCGGATAATAAATTCCCTTTTCGGTAATTGTAAAATCATTTTCTAAATTTTTTAACGTATATAAAGAAGATGAAAGTTCTTTTTCATAAAGACGTCTTTCACTAATGTTGACAAATTTACAAGTGAGACAAATTGTTATTTTAGATGGCCGAGAACCGGTAGTTATTGTTAATAAAAAAGTTTGCATTTTAAGGGGTTGTATTCTTCCACTTGAAGGATGAATGTTCGCTTTAATAATTTCCTGAACTTCGTTGCTAAAAATAATTAATTAATTTTTAGAAATACAAATATTAAATCATAATTTTCGATTATTATTATTGATCTTAACTTTTCCCAAGAGTACGCAATTATATCTTGAGGATGACGATTATGAATCATAATCATTCTTGTAATCGTTGATTGTGTTGTCAAGGGGGAAATCGTGAGACTATCGGTATTAAAATAAACTGGTACTTCCGATATCAAAAATTTATCCTGATAAGGAGAAATTTGTTCAATTACTTTTGTTATCGGATTTCGGGAACTTTCTCCTTTTAGAATCACTTCTGTTTCTATTTTTCCGAGTTTTAATGGAATTTTTATCTTTAAATCAATGAGATTTTGAATTAAAAAAATAATAATTCAACAGTAAAATTAAAAAAAAAATGTAAATTAATTGGATATTTACTAAATATTCCTGAAATTGCCTTGGATGATATTGAAAAATAATAGGTTGATGAGATATTCCTTTTAAAGAACCTGATGGATTGATGCAAGTGAAAATTTGTCCACCAAATTTTTCATTTATTTTATTTAATGATTCTGTGTCGAGAGAATAAAAAATCTCGCGTTTAGTACTATTGTATAACCAGCACATCTGAAAAATCAAAATAAAATAGAAATTTCGTTACATTTTACATAAAAAAAAAATTAAATTGATTTATTTAGTTCATTACCTGATGAATTGGATTCAAATCTCCAATGTGAACTTTATCAAAATGTAACGGTGGCTCTTGATTAAAAAATATAAGCTCATCAGAATCTTCAGAAATGCATTTTAAATTTACATTTAAAGTAATTCGTCTATTTTCAGTTAAATTTAATTCCCATTGGAGTTTGGTTATTCCCAGTAAATGATATCGAATTTCCAACGAAAGTCTTTGTTCTCCAAGTGACTGAAATTTTTTTCCCAATTAGAAAGATAAATAAATATGTATTTTATAAAAGAAAATAATAAATTTTACCATGATTGTTCCAGATTTAGGATAGAATTTAAATATTTCTCTATGAATACAATCATAAACAACACTTTGAAATGATAAACTTTGTGATTTCAATTTTTTCTCACAAGAACAAAGTTTAATTCTTTTTAAAGACCAAGAAATTGGAATTGTCATTGGATTTATTATTAAAAGTTCAATGCGAAGTGGTTCATCATGAATTGTAAATACAGGAAAATTCATTTGTAACATTGGATTTGAATTGGGTTTCAAATCTTGTAAAATTTTGTTGAGCCTGAAAAAAAAATTTTTAATTTTTCATTTAAGTGAAAATTTAATTGTTTTCAGAAATAAATTGATTAACTTTATTTGATACTTACTTATTAATTTTCATCAATTTCCAGAGAAAAACTTTACTGAAACCAGGTCCAGTTCCAAAATATAAGAGATCTTTCACCTTTATTAATTAGATTTCAATCATTATTGGAAAAAATATATAAATAATATTTAAAAAAATATTACCTACAAACAAAGTGGGATAAACACTTGTGCAATTAACTTGACAAATATTTTCTGATTTATCGTGTAAAATTAAATTTTCCGAATTTTTATCTATTCGTATTGAATATTGAATGAAAAATTCGTAAAATCCATTTTCGTGTGGAGTCAATGTAACATTGATTAATTTATTTTCTTGAGGGAAAATTGTCCCTATTTTTGGTGAAATTTTCAAGTCTCTCTCAAGACATCCAATAGGTAAATTTTTCTGTTTTGTCAACATTTTAAAGTTAATTTCAACACGACTATGATTAACAAGTTGAAAACTGAGAGATTTTGTATTATGAATGGCTAATTCGCCAAAATTGAGTTCATTTGGTGTGGCCTTGTAATTCAAAAAAAAAAGAAAAATATTTACAAATTTTTGATTAAAAAATTAAAATTAAAAATTAAAATTTTTACAATCAATATTCCTTTCTCGCTAATTCCTGATACATTGATTTCATGAATTTTATTTGGAAAATCTTGAATTTCCTTTATTTCGTCATCGATAGCAGTCAATTGGCAATTAATGGTAAAATTATAATTTCCAATTTTCGATGGATGAAAAATCCATTTTTGTATAATTGATTCATTTGGATTAATAATATCTTGATCGTAATTAATTTTTATCTCATCCGGTAAATGTTGAAACGAATATCTAAATATAAATTTAAAAGTAAAAAAAAAAATAATTATGAATTATTTATAATGCAATTACTTTATGCAATGTCGAGTGATATTTCTCACGGAAATTTGACGAAATTGACAACATCCGGGAAAAGTAGAATCAAAGGAAAAACAATTGTCAGTTTCAAATTGAAGATTCAAATATTCCGCATATCCTTTAAAATCAATGTAAACTTTTGATTTTTGACAATCGTTAAATTGAATTGACCATCGTTCATAATATAAATGTTCACCCTCAGTTTCAGGAAACAATTCAACTGTTACTATTTGATAATCTCTTTGATAAATGATAAATTAAAGGCAAAATAATAATATTCAATTGAAAAAGAAAATAATAATTGATAATTTAATATTTTACTTGTAAATTATTCCCAACATTGGTTTTACTGTAAAATTACTAATTTCTGGAGATAAAAAACGAAACATAAGAGGATATTGACTCTCTAATTTTGTTATTAAAAAAGTTGTATAAACTGGATATTTCGGATAACACGCAGGCATTAAAATAGTTTGAGGAATTTTATAGAGTGAAATTGGTCTCTTTGATTCTTTACAAAATGAATGACCTGTTATATACAAATTCAAAAAATTAAAATACAAAAATTAATTTAATTAAATAAACAAAAATTAATAAATAAAAAAATTATTTTGATACCCATTATTCTTAAAGGTATTATCATGGGAAAATGTTTCTCCTCTACATTTGAAATAGTCAGTAAAATTTCTTGATAATAAAAAGAATTTTCTTCTGGTGGATTAAAACTGATTTCAAATAAAGATGAATTTTTATCGTTAACTTCGGCAATGAGAGGATTAATTTTAAAAATATTAGAAGCAACTGTGAAACGTAAAAAAAAAATAATATTGTAATTTAGAGATTACGAAAAAATAAAATAAAATTTACCTTTATCCCATATTACAAGGAAATTTGTTGAAGAATGATTATGAAAACAGACAGTTTGAAGAGCTCTACGAGTACAATTTTCAGATTCAATAGACGCTTGTCCAAAATCAATGTAATTATTCGACAATGAAATTAAAGGCATTACTTTTCTTCGTATTCTACTCACATTACTCATAAAATTTTCATATCCCTCTTGTCGTGGCAAAATAGAAGATAAAACATTTTGTTGAAATTCAATTTCACTGGAATATTCTGATCCAAAATATCCATACAATTCAATTATAATTGGCCTCTAAAGGAAAAGAAAAGATTTTAATTTAAAATAAATATTAAATATCTACAAATTTGTTTTATATAAGGTACAAAATTTTCATTTAAATAAATTAAAATAGAAAAAAATAAATCTTACATGATTCAAAAATAAGCAAGGTAAATGATAAATGTAAATTCCTGGTCTAGAAGGCACGAAGACAATTGTGATATTAATAAAAGAAGATGATTTTAAAGTACCACTTGAAGGAGACACTTTAAAAGAATATTGATTCTCATCGATGTCAAATTGAAAAATTGCTGACACTTTTGAAATATTCTTAATTTTTATCTGTTTATTTATGGATTTTCTTTCTTTTTTGGCAAAATAAAATAACTTCGTTTTGGAAAATTCAATTCTTGGACCTACAAAAATATATTTATTCATAAAAAGTAATTGTATAATATTAAAAGAAAAAAAACGACCTGTGCAAACTCCTTTGGCGACAATTTTAAAACATTCATTTCCATCACTATCAATAATTGTGAAATAATCAGTATTTTTAGAGAAAGACACTCGAGGTTGATAAATCATGTAACATGCATATTCTAATCCAGGTTCTAATTGCCAAGAGTATTCTTTCATAATAAACACATAATCTATAGGATTAGTTAAAGAATCTCTTTGAACCACATATGATTGTTCCATCTAAAAATAAAAATATTAATTTGATTAGAAAATTTAATTTTAATAGACTTTTTTCATAAAAAAAAAATTTAATTTACTTACAGATGTTTTGTTGACAAATTTAACAATTTTACCACAAGTCTTTCCATTTTCTACTAATCCAAAATTCACATCAAGTATTTGTGTTTTGACACTACTGTCAAACTTGCAATCCCACATTTTCTGTAAAAATATCTCTAAAACTTCCCGTGACTTCTTGAAATGCTTTAAGTGTTCATTTGTTTTTGTTTTTTTTTTTTTTTAATTATTTTTCAAATTAATACATTTTTTTACAATAATGAAAATAAAAAGAAAAAATCAATTTTTTGTAAATATTAATATTTTGAATGTTCATTTGATTATCCAAAAGTTTAAAATAAAATAGTTAAAAGAAATTTTTCGAATTTTACAACTAAACAAAAAAAGTATCGTATTTATCAAATCAAAGCTTACATTATGAAACATTTTATTGTTAATCAGTATAAAAATATAAAATACGTAATGATTATAGTATAACGAAATCTTAATGTAATCGATGTATACATTATACATTTCTTTTTTTTTTTTTTGGTTTTTTTCTGTTTTAATAACTTACTTTTATAAAACTCTCAAAATTTGACATTTTAGTCACTTATTTTTATATATTATATCTTTAACGAATAATTATTTTCTTGTTCGCATTTTTTCATCATCGATTAATAAATCAACGCAACCTGTACAAAATAATTATAATTTTTGTTAATATTCCTTTTCTTTTCCAATCAGTATAAAAGTTTAAATTAATTATAAAAAAAAAAAAATGTAATTTAAATTAAAGGACTCAATCTTATAAATAGTTCAAAATAAAAAGAAAAGAAAATTACCTGTGCCAATGCGAGGTAATTGTCCAAGAATAATTTTTTCCGAAACACCAAGAATAGGATCGATTTCACCATGAGAAGCAGCATCAAACAAAGTGTCTATTTTTTCTTCAACAGAACATCTGTGGAATAAAATTAATAAAATAAAATTCTTTTTTTTAAAAAAATGGCGAATTTTTTGGTGAAATATAATGAAGATTACCTCATTAATGCTCCAATATCTTTCCTATCAAATCCAATGCGATTAATAGCCGTTAAATGACCTTCAGCAGTCATAACATCAGAAAGTAATGCAAGATGTCGATTATTCACATAACGTCCATAAGCATGAATTATAGAATTTAATTCGTTTTGTATAGATTTTCTCACAGCCTCAATACCAAGTATACTGTAAATCTCAAAAATATCGCTGCTAATTGTTCTCTTAAAATCAACATCATTATCGTTTAATATATCCCTCAAATTTGAACCCTCACTTAGTATTAAATATTCCTTAATTTTCTTATTTTTCTCAATCTTGTGCAATTTCAATTTATTAATTCCATTATAACCCTGTAATGTAACATCATTTAGTAAACATAATTCAATCTTTTGTAGAAAAACATCATCATCGTCATATTTATCACTTTCTTCCATTTTATCATCATTATTCATTATTTGAAATCGAACAATTAAATGTTCCGAACTGTCGTCATTAAACATAATATTTAAATCGTCGCCAAATTCAATTTTAATCTTCTCAGCAATTTGATACATGCATAAATTTCTTTGATTCATTTTCTCTTTATTCAATTCAATACGAAGTAACCATGGTGAAAGTTTGGTTATATCAAAATCAGGTATCTCATTGAAGACAGATATAAATTGTTGATCATCTTTAATAATGGAATTAATTGGATCAGGATCGTAGTAAATTGCAGATTTTTTCATTATATTCTTCAATGTTGTGTGTTCCAAACGAGAAAGAATAGTTTCAGCTTTCTTCATATTTTGTTTTGAATCTTCTTTTAAAAAAATCCTCATAGTTGGAAATTTTGGTTTTTTAATGCAATTGATAATTTCCTTAAATCTCGGCACTCCCAGAGTGATATTTCTCGATGGTGCTTCAGAAAAATGAATAGTATTATAAGTCATATGAGTGGCAAATTCTCCTAAAGATTGTCCAGCTAAAGCTCCCACCATTTCACCAGGTGAAATTTTTGCCCTTTGAAATCGAGTTTCAATTTCATTAATTAACCACTCAAAGGCTTCACTCGATAGTCTATGATTAGTGACGTTTTTAGTGCACAAAATCGATCTCACAACAAACTGGAAAAGTAGTGTTGCATTTTCATTCCCTTCTTTAGTTAATTTATCCTCTCCATTTATAATGAAGCATTTTTTTAAAAGATCCCTCACTCCTTGAATAATTTTCATTGGACTCAAATCAGTTTTTTTTTGTTTATTGATATGAAATATTTTCTCTGCATTCCAAATCATTCGCTTCAAATTAAAAGGAAGTAGAACGTTTAATTTATCAATGGGGAAAATTTTTTTCAAAATTCTCTCATCTTGATTCAATTGTTCCCATTCTTTTTTCAATTCTTCATTTATTTCTTCTGTCATTATTTCATCAATAATATTTTCATTAAATATACCTTCTAGATTATTTTCATTTAAATCAAATTGAAAATCTTCTTTCTTCAATGTTGGTAAATTTTGAAATTCGAGAACTTCACCACATAGACCATCTTCACCGTAATTTAATTGAATTAATTGTCCCATTGAATTTCTCACCGTTCCATCATAGTGTACCATTAGGGATTCCATAGACTTGACCAATTTACGTTGAATACGTCTAGTGTCTTCAATTTTTATTACATTATCAATAAGCAAATCACGACCTTCCATGGCGTGATAAAAAAATTCCGTAGGTGTAACACCAGAGAGATAGGTATTTTCAATAAAACCTTGTGCTTCAGGACCATAATCATCTTTGATAAAATGTGGCAAAGCTCGTTTTAAAAAACCAAATGGTATACGTTCACCGTTCACATTTTGCTGTCCAATACAACCAATAATTTGAGAAATAATTCTCAAATTTCCATTTGATCCTGATTTCATCATAGACATTAAATTATTCTTTTGAATAAAATATTTGTCAATTATATCACAAGTTATGTAATTAACATCATTTAGAATCTTATTAGATTTAATTTTAAAAGTCTCTCTATTTATTTCAGTATCGTGCGCATTATGAAGGACTTCGATAAAATTATTTTTGACTTTCTTGATTGCTTTTTGAATTTTTAAATGTGTATTAGCATCTAAAATTATATCAGAAATATCAATTGAATGTCCCTCCAATAATAACCAATTATTAATAACTGTTTGAATATTTTCGTAAAATTCACCACAAACTTTGTGACCAAATTCTAAGAAACAAACATGAAATAGTGAACCAGCACAAGAACTAAGTGTCTTCTTACGTAAAATTCCCATTAAAAGTTCTCCATTTTCGATTAATATTGTCGAATCACGAAGTGAAAACCTCGTCTGATTTTCCGTTTGATAATTCAAATTTTTGGGAATTATTAGAGAAAATAATTGCTTACCACTCCAAAGGGGTTTTGGTTTTAAAATACAAGGTTTTGGTAATTTTCCATTCCAATTTGTTAAAAACATAACAAGATTCATTATTTCCTCTTTCTCAATAAAGACATCTCTATGAGTCATTTTATACGCACCTAATAATGTATCTTCGACAATATCCATTATTGGTTTATTTCGCGTTATTAAATGAATATTTTCAACTTCGGCTTTTGTTGTCAATGATTGTGGTACATGTATATTCATTTCATCGCCATCACAATTGGCACCATAGGCTTTAATGGAACTGACATTCATTCGAAAAGTGCTCCATGGTAAAATTTTAACACGATGTCCAATCATATTAATTTTATGAATTGAAGGCTGATAATTACAAATCACTAAATCATTATCTCTAATATGTCGTTCAACTTTGTAACCACATTTTATAATAACATCATTCTTTGATTTCAAATCAATTCTATTTCCCTTAACTGTCACAATAAAATTTGCACCTGGATATGTTGTACCATTTGTCACAAGTTGTTGTAATTTTTTTATATTAAACTCAGTCACCAATTCGGGAATTGTTAATTTTTTTGCAATACTTATTGGAATGCCAATATAATCAATTTTCAAATTTGGATCAGGTGTAATCACACTTCGTGCGGAAAAATTGACACGTTTACCCAATAAATTACCACGAATTCTACCATTTTTACCTTCAAAACGTTGTTTAAGTGAAATTAAACGTTCAAATGGATAGGCCAATTTATTATCTATAAATGTACCAACATGAAACTGAAGTTTTGGTAAATTTCCCTCAATTAAATGTAATTCTGACTTTTCATTTTTAATCAAATTATTTACTTTTACGATATTAGCCAATTTTTTAGTTAAATCATCTTGAACCGTTTTAATATTTGGTCTAATTGATAATGGAGGTACAGGTAAAACAGTAATAATCATCCATTCAGGACGTGCATAATTATAATTCATACCGAGAATAAATAAATCTTCATTGGTAATATTTTTAAGAATTGTCAATGCTTTTTCGGCAGATAAAGAAATTCTTTTTTTTAGAAATTCATTTTCTTTCCATTCGGCAATTATTTCAAAACCACTTCTCTTCAAATTTGGTTGATAACTACCACAACAAGATTCTCTTTCCATATCTCTGTTATCGCAAATATTTATTTTCAGACATAACTTATAAATCAGTGATAAACGTTTTTGAGGTTGTTCTTTCGTATCATTGATAATTTTTTCAATTTTTGGATCGTTCTAAAAAGAAAGAAATAATAATAATAATAATAATAATAAATTATACAATTTAATAATATATTACAAAAAAATTACTCACTGGACAAACTAAAAGTTTTGAACAAGAAAAACAAACACATCGAAGAATTTTCATTGTTTTCATAATAAAACCAAGATGAAAAACTGGTTTGGCTAAATTAATATGACCAAAATGTCCTGGACATTCGGCTAAATTTCCAAAACATGTTTGACATTTTGAATTATTGTCAATTGCACCTTGTCTTGGATCCATGAGACCTCCTTTTTTAGGATGACCATTCTCCATTGTTACGGGAAAATTAATTCCCTCATCAGTAACAGACATACTAAGCTGTTTAAATAAATTTTTGATAATTTCTTTACATAAAATTAGAATAAAAAATTAAAGAATTAAATAGTAAAATATCCACACATGTTCTCTAATCATAAAAAGTGAGATTTGTATTATAAAAATCATACTTACTATTTCATCTGGTGAAAGTATACCAAATTGTACTTGTTTAATTGAATTCAAAATCATTTTTGATTTTGATGTTGACATTTTTTTTTTTTATTAAAACTCCACACTACAAATTATTCAGACTATAATCCACCATCAAGTATGGTATACAGTTCCTTAAAGTCGTGTTATGATGATTTTTCTATGTTGTTTCAACATAAGACAAACAAATAAAGTATTTTCATAGTACACTTGTAAATTTTAAACAATACTTTCATAGTTTAGATTATTTCTTTATAAGTTCACACCTTGATAATCAATTTCAAATTGTTATCAAAAGAAATTGGGCCGATAAAAATTATTCACATCAGCTGATTTGGTCACGTGTTATTTTGAAATTTTCGCGCAACATTTAAAATTTCCGAATTATATTCATTTTTCTTCTTAAAATTAAAAAAAAAATCAATATTATCATAATATATTATTTCTATCTCTAATTTTATTAATTTAAAACATTTAAAATCATATTAAAATTATTTTTATTATAATATTATATATGAAAAATTGGTAGTAATTTCTTTGAATTTCCCTCTGCATTAAATAAAGCTTGATTCACAGACACAAAAGCGCCATCTGTCAATTTTAATTGGAATTTAATACGCGTTACTTTAAGCCAAGATCATGATCTCTGGGGTTTGTTTTTGGGAGTTTTAAGCAATTAGCGTGTTTAGAAGAACGCAAGCCAATATTAGTGAAAATAATTTGTTTAAATAGAGGTACATTAAGTATAATTACTTAATTTATCCCTTAAATAAAAGTTAGACATTAAAATTCATCAAGTTCAGTCAAAAAGTTTGTGCTAATAATAAGAAAAAGGTGTTTGAAATAACAGTAGCTACCGCATGTGCTTGAATTGACTGAAAAAAAAGCTAGTATACGTGTATTCATTATGAGTGCTGAAGAAGAAATTCTACGAGTTCTAAAAAAACTGAATAAAATATGCAGCGGCGATGGAACGGTAAGTGAAAAAAAAAATGATTAGTTTGATTTCATTTATTAAATAATTGCCTGCTTTCATATTCAAATTGCTCACGACTTTTTGTAACTCATGAAATTTTAGTGAAAACAATTCTTTGAAAAACAAACGACAGTCTTATTTGCTAAAAATCTAATTTCATAACTTCATTTATATTATTTACCTGTAAATAGAAATGAAAGCGGATATTAAGAGGCAAATGAGTTCATGTGTAAATAAAAGAAAAAACGCGCGTATTTTTAAATTGAATACTAGTTAATATAATTTTAATTTTCAAATTTATGTTTTGTATTAATTAAAAAATTTTGAATAATTTTAGGACGAGGATGAAGCATTAGAATTGCTCAAAACATTACAAAAACTGCCGATAACTTTAAATCTTTTGCAAAAAACTGGAATTGGAATGACAGTAAATGCTTTGCGTAGATCAAGTAAAGATGAAGAAGTTATATCATTGTCGAAAAAACTTATCAAAAATTGGAAGAAACTATTATCATCGGGTAATGAAATATTTATTTATCTATTTATTGAAAAATATCTATATATTTATCGAATTTATTACAGATAAGAAGAAAGGTCCAAGTTCACCAAGTAGTTCTAAGAAAAAAGAAGATAAATCAGAGAAAAGTAAAGAAGACAATGATTCAAGAAAGGATAAGGACATTACCGATGGTGGTGATGTGAAAATTAAAGAGGAAAAAAATCAAAAAGACGATAAAAAGAAACAAACAACATTTCCAGCTCCAACGACAACCGACGCTGTAAGATTGAAATGTAGAGAATTATTAGCAAATGCTTTAAGAGTTGATGATTCATCTTTTGATGGTTGTGCACCACCCGAGGAACTTGCCGAAGAACTTGAGGAAGCTATTTTCCAAGAATTTAAAAACACTGACAGTAAATACAAAAATAGGGTAAATATTTCAAATTTTAAAAATTGAATTTTTTTTTAATAAATCTAATTGAACGGTTTTTTTTTTTTTTTTTAAAAGGTACGAAGCAGAGTTGCAAATTTAAAAGACTTGAAGAATCCAACATTGAGAACAAATTTTATTGTTGGAGCAATAACACCAGCGCGTCTTGCAACAATGACTGCTGAAGAAATGGCAAGTGATGAGATAAAACAATTACGAGAACAATTTAATAAAGAAGCTATAAATGATGCACAATTGGCAACTGTGCAAGGAACGAAAACTGATTTATTAAAATGTGGCAAATGTAAAAAACGAAATTGCACATATAATCAAGTACAAACACGTTCTGCTGACGAGCCAATGACAACATTTGTTTTATGTAACAATTGTGGAAATCGATGGAAGTTTTGTTAAAAAAGAAAACAAAAACAATTGTGAAACCAAAAAACATTGGTCCTTCTTCCAATTATCATGCAATTTCAGAAAACCAACCAATACATCTTATGTTTTCGATTGCTGTTTGTTTTTGACAAAAAAAAAAAAATAAACAGAAAACTGGTTTATTTTTTCTTTGATTTGTTTTTTTGAATACATAATTCTTATTGTATTCACACATTGGACACAGTCAATTTAATTTTTTAATCAAAGAGATTAAAAGAATTTTTACTGCATAAAAAAAACTTTGTATTTGGCAATTATTTGTCAGACAAAGAGATAAAGTTGCTTTATAAGCAAAAAAAACGGAAATTATATTAAATTAAAATGAAATTATTTGTATTCCATTTGTATATATAGAGTGTTATTTAACAATTTTAACATTGAGAGAAATAACTAAGTGAAAAGAACATTAATTTCGATATATAAATTATTTTCGAAATTTCATTTGCAAAAAATAAATCATCTTTTGCCTGACAAATCTTTTCCAATATTATATTATATACTAAAAATTTACAAATTCGATTGAATTTTAATTTGTTCGTTAAAATGTCATGAAATTAATACACAACTTCGAAAAAAAAATGTATTTCTGTGAGCATTTTATCGTCTTGATAATTTAAAGAGACGAAACATTGTATTATTTAATTAAAACGTTTAATATTTAAGACACATTTAATATGTCTTTTTCTCCAATTTAAAAAAAAAAAGAGTTCACATTGTAGTTTGATTTGTGTTCTTTCATTCCCTTTATTATAATGGGAGAATTGAAGACTAAATAAAAAAAAATATAATAATAAAATTCCTTTTTTTTTTAATCAATCCTCGATTCTTATTAAAATTTAAAAAATTTAATATTTAATTAAAAATTTTTAATTTTCTTTTTTAATAAATTATTTAAATCAAAGTAAAAGTAATTTTTAAATTAAATATTTATTTACATACTATGTACAGTAAAATTAAAACTCTATGAACTACTTATCTCGAGCATTTGGTTCACAACGACATATTACGGAAATACGTCTACCTCGGGGAATTTTTTCACCTTTAAAAAATGAATCTGCATCTTTTAGAACCTCATGATTATATTTATTCCTTGCCGCTCCACTAAATAATAATAAAAATGTCAATTTTAAAAATATTAATTAAAATTAAATATGTAAAATTTTTACCTCATTATATAAAGAGATCTTCTTGGAAGAAGAAAATCCTCCTTTTGTTCTTCAATATCAACTGATGTGAGACGCATAACGCAATCACTTAATAAACTGATACCGGCAATAATGTCACCACAAAACTAATAAATATCAAATTTTTTTTTTTTAATAGTGAAAATTTAGAATTTTATTTTATTTTAAATTGAAATTTTATTTTTACCCGAATACTATCGACATGTGGTTTAATCCATCCTTCGGCAGTTAAATCAAGAACATGAACGTAAGCTAATTGTGGTGTTCCAGGTGGAAATGCCTTTTTTCGAACTTTATCAATTATTCTCGAATTCTCTTCATTCCATTGAGAACGTTCTGTTTCACGATATCCGTGAATTGCCTTTAAAATAAAAAAAAAATAAATAAATAAATAAAAGTAAATTGTTTTTGATTATCTGAAAATAAAAAGAAATATATAATACAAAAAAAAAATTGTACTAACGTTATCCCAATGAGAAAATTCATATCGTAAACGTTTTAAATAAGGCTCCATTTCTTTAAGAATTGAATTTTCTTCTTCTTCACTTATAAAATTTGCAAAAACTTTCATTGTTCCTTGTAATTCTTTTTTCCAATCATTGTCCTCATTTTTATGTAAAATTTCAGTTGAATTTGTACATAATGCAGTAGTTATTTGATTATTAATATTAAATTTTCGAGATTTTAATATTAAAAATCTTAAACCCATTTTTGATTATAAATCTGAAAAAAAATAAAATTTTATTATAATTCTAAACGTTTTTCTAAAAAGACAAAATTTTAATTTAATTTTTCGTATTATATGCTAAAACACCTAAAAGTAGCATAAATAAAGCTTAATTTATTGTTAAAAAATATTAAAATATTTCCTCACAATTCTAATAAGTTATTCGTTTATTTAAAAAACAAAATAATTAGGAACTGTCAAAAAAAAATATACAAAAATTGAGGTTATGTTGGCGGTAACTTTCCATTACGGAAATATTCCAAAGAAATTTCTCAGATGTCAGATGTCACAATGACAATTTGCTGACAGGATGATATTAAAAGTCGTGTAAATTAAAGAAAAATAAATACCATTAGTTATGTATTGTTAATAACAACATTTATCAGGTAAAAATTTACTTAATATTCTATTATCTCTACTTATAAGTTATAAATTTCTGACTAAAATCAATGTTTTATTCACCTTTTATCATTCGTTCCAAATGATTCACATAAAGTTAGGTTATATTATCATTTTAATACATTTTTAATTTAAAAAGAATATACTTGAAATATTTTCTTCAAAATTTCTTTTCTAATTAAGTTAATGATCACATTCTAACCTAAAAATTATAAATAATTTTGAAAAAAAATGTAAAATTCTATACAATTTGTCAACTAAAAAACCAAAAAAAAAAAGTCATTGAAACAAAAATTTATTTAAAAAAGTGTTTTGATTTTTAAAAATATCTATTCTTATAAAGAAATCTTACGAAACATTTTTTTTTTTGTTCTTATACAGGAAACATGTGACCTCATTCAATTTAATAACAAGCAATTATATCCTGTAAAGAGTACAAAATCCCACAAACACATATAATCAATAAAAATGACAAGTAAAAGAAGTCAAAATTTACGTATTGAAGCGGAAATCGCTAAAAATAGAGAAGATGGAAATTGGAGTAAGGTCATTGAATTAGCTGATCAACTTAAAGTTCTTTATCCAAGTGAAGAATGTTTAGCAAATTTTCTCAGTGGCGAAGGAAGATTAGAAAAATATTTAGAGCAAACATCACCAATTGATGAGAATATTGTAAAAGCACGAGCTGGACTCGTTGAAACAAAACAATTTTTAATTCTTGCCGCAAATGAAAAAGATAAACAAGCTGTTGTTGTTCTCGATGCACATCTTTTATTAGGAAAATTACATTACGCGATGGGAATGTATAATGATGCACTACATCATTATGAACAAGCCGAATTGGATACATTAACTGAAAAACAATTACCAAGTCGAAGTATGCGTATTGTTGCCGAATCATATGCAATAAAAGGACTTTGTTTAGAGAAACAACCGCCGAGCAGTAAATCGAAATACAAAATAGCTGATTGGCAAGAGAAATTAATAAAATGTTATGAAATAGCTAGTGATTTAACACTTGTCTATTTACAAGAGCAAGATAAACAAATAATTCAACAAAATGGAACATCAACAATTACAACAACAACAACAAATGTTATTACATCGGGAACACATTCTGCAAATACATCAGGTACATATTCATCTCATTCAACAGTTAATGAGGCAAAATATATTGGACCCATTTTAGAAATAGCATTGTATAGAGCACCATTGTTACATATTCAAAATAAAAATATGAAAATAGCCGTACAACGTTATCGTGAAATATTATCAGCCGTTGAAACAATATCAACGCAACGTTTGAGAAAAATTTTAACACGTCAATTTGCCGAAGTTCTCACGCGTAATGTTAGTGGTTCAATTTATGATTCACCTGAATTTACATTTAATTCACCAGGTAATCGTAAAATAAATGCCTATAGCGTGAAATCAGATTCACCATGGAAGCCAAAAAAATATATGGGACCGAATATTTTTATTCCCCGTAATCGTTATGAGGAGACAATATTATTATTATTAATTAGTGAAGCAATGGCAGTGAGAGATGCGGTTTTAAGTCAATCGCCTGAATTTAAAGAAGCACGATTACGTGCATTTGAAAATGCAGCAGCTGTTTATGATTTATTAACAATTGTTTTAGTACGTTGGGAACAAATAGAAATTTTACATGAATCATTTGAAAGGGCAATGAAATTTTCTCATGGTGAAGTTCATGTTTGGTTACAATTTGCATTGTGTTTAATGAATCTTGGCCGATATGTTCATGCTTATGCGGTATTGGAAATTGTTTGTAATCTTGCGCCAAATAAAGTGATGCCATGTTTATTGGCAGCGAGACTTTGTTATGAGGAATTAAATATGATTGAAAATGGAATAAAATGGAGTCAACAGGCATTGCAAAGGGATTCGGGTAATACACAAGGATTATTGTCACGTTGTCATCTTTATATTGGCATTGGAAATAGTATTATGGCTGTAAATACAACAATTAAACAGGATAAATTACATTATACGAATGTTGCATTTGATTCATTTCACAAGGCACAACAAATTGATCCCAATGATCATCTTGTTGAATATTATATAGCGCACGTGCATTCAATGAATCGACAAATGAATGATGCAATGGTACACGTGAAAATTGCTCTAAATTTACGTGCCGAACATATACCATCATTGAATTTATTAATATTATTATTAACTGCTCAAAAACAATTTGCCGAAGCATTACAATTATTAAATTCAATTCTTGAGGAATATCCTGATAATTTAAATTTCTTGTATGTAAAAGCAAGATTGGAATTACAAGTTGTTGGCGAGGAAAATTCATTAATGACAATTAAACATATGCTCATTAGATGGAAATCATTGTATGAGACACAAGTGACTAATGATAATAGTGATCAACATAGTGATAAACGAAGTGAAACAAGAAGTGTTTTTCAACTTTATACATCGGAAATGTCAGATAAGGATTCAAATTCACTTCATACACATTCGCTAGCTGTTTCTAAAGTTGAACAAGCATTATCTGAAGTTGCATCATCATTAAGTTCATTTATGCCAAAGCCAGGTCCACATAAATTATGGCTATTACAAATGCAAGTTTGGATTCTTCTTGGTGAAGTTTTTCTTGCACTTGAACAAACAATGGGATCAACATTGGCATTACAAGAGGCATCAAGTATTTATCCACTGAGCCATCAAATAATGTTTGCAAAAGGTTTATTGTATGAATATAAAAAAGAATTTAACGAAGCAAAACAATGGAATCAAAATGCAGTGGGAATTAATCCATTGCATATTAAAAGTCTTCAACATTTGGGTTTAATTTATCATTATCTTGGAAGTCAAAGATTAGCTGAAAAAGTTCTCAGGGATGCTGCAAAAATGGATCCAACATCACATCAAACATGGTATAATCTTGGTAAAGTTTTAGAATCATTAGGTGAAGTTGAATCGGCTAGCGATTGTATGGCAACTGCACTTGAAGTTGAAACGTTAAATCCAATTTTACCATTTCCTCCCATACCATTGGCATTTGAATAATAATAATAAAAAAAAATCAGTTAATTTCAGATATAAATATTTATATACATATATATAAAGAGAGATAAGTTGGGAAAAAAATATCGTAAAGTTTAGTTTTTAGAATTGTGCAATAAAAAAAAAAACGGTCTCTTTAAAGTTTAAGGGTGTAAATCTCAAAATAATGTTAAACTGTGGAAAAAAAAATTTTAACAAGTTGTTGGTAACACTCATTAAAACGGAAGTCAATGTAGAAAATCTAGTAAGTATTGTCGTCACATGGAAAAAAAATCTTACCGGTTTTTTTTCCTTCTTGTAGACATTTATTATTATTATTATTATTATTATTATTAGAAATTAGTTATTATTTACTAATTATTTATTTACCTATATACTAATTAAATATTAATATTTAATATTAATTAAATACGGGTAAACTTAATAATTATATGGGTATATATAGATTTAATTTTCATTCCTTTTATAATTGCAATTTCTAAAAAAAATTTTATATCTAATATTTTCATTTTGTAATTATTGAAATTTTTTTTAATTTTCATATATGAAAATTTAATTATTGTGCTGTAAACAAGTATTTAATTCCTACTATTGTAAGAGATATGAAAATTGTAAAGCGTTATTAAATTGTATATCATATGTGTAATATAACAGTGTTATTTCATCAAGCAGAATATTGTATTTTTTTCCCCTTCATTGGAAAGTAATATTCCAGAGTTTTTTTTTTTAAATATATATTTAAAAAATAATTTTTTTAGGTTATATTTTAGTTTACAGGAATTTATTTAAAAACATTAAAATTAAAATAAAATTCAGTTTGTTTATTTAAAAAAAAACACTTAAAAATGTTCATTAACAATAAAAACAATATGTAATAATAGAAACAATTATTAGAAAACAAAATTATTTCTATTTGTCAACATAATTTATTTCCATATAAAGAAATTAAAAAAAAAAATAAACTTACCAATAAATTATAAATTGTACATTATTTTTAAAATGATTTATTCTTTTTCCAAGAATTGATAAATTAATATGCAATTGTCGATTATTTGTTTTTGTTTAATTTATAACTAAAATTACTTAATATAAACAAAACATTTGAAAATGTCAACAACTTTTTTTTTTAAATTTCCCCAATGAACATTGACTATAAAAAAACATTAAGAGAGGAAACTGCGATAGTTGTGCCATCTATGGACTGTTAGATTAAACTAAGATTTATTTCACAAATGATAAATGATATCAAATTATTATTTTTCATTTTATAATTATAATTTTTATCGAATTATGCTTAATTTTGTATGTTATTTCATAAATTCATGAGAATTTTTAAATTTACATTAATGGGTACTTGTTGCTAACCACCGTACACATGTGAAAAGTTCAAGGTCACTTCCTCATTTTAACACCCTATATTCAGTGTTTTTAATTTAAATACCTAATTTAAATAATAGTAATTTTAAAGAATACTTGAATAATTAAAACTGTTTTAGAAGAACCAAAAAATGATTTAACAGAAACGAATTAAAAAAAAAAAAATTTCAAGGTTGATGATTCATGTTTGCCCCATAAAACGATGATATGAATCGATATATTTAAAAAAGGTATAAAAAGTTTATGTTCTTTTGAAATAATCAACAGCACGTGTTTTATATTACATTCAGTATATTTTAATATGCTCAGTATGAATTTTTCAACATTTTATTTGTCGTTTTACTCATGTTTATTTGTAAATTATCTTTTATTCGTTTCCTTCATTTCAAATATTTCCGCCAAATGTTATTCAAACTTGCGCGTGCGCAGTAAACATTTTAATCAAAAAAGAGACTTTAAATAAGAAACTACGGGTCATTAGACACTTATCATAATTTACAGTTATTAATTTCTATTTATAAACAATAATATTTGTTTATAATGATAGTTTATAATTATTTTTAATTGATAAAACAGAATAATAAGTCGTTTGTGTTAGTTTGCTATGAACTCCGAAGGTGACGCTGATAACGGTTCATCAAAAAGGGGTGCGGTGTCGAATCGCCATACTGGGATGGCGTACGTGACCAAAGACATAGCGACAGCACGAAAAATGAGTGGCAGTGTGTGTCTATTTCGCTCATAACAAGAGAGATTTTATTTTGACAGTGAGATTTGTGAAGAGTTCGCGAGATGTCCAGTACACCACTCAAGCCTTGATCTAAACCGAAAAGAGTGCATCCAACTTCGAGACCGTGTAAGATCAGAAATATCGTATCTCGGTTTCGGTGTTCAGATTTTTGCACTGCATGTGTCACTGTAAAGTGAGTGAAGACGTGAATCAACTTCAGTGCTTAACACAACTCTACACGATATCTCAATACATAATCTGTTTCTTTACGTAAAACGACAATTTGCAATAGTGTGAGACCCCTAATGCAAAACTGAAGTGCGTCGCACCGATGTGCCTGGTCGCGTCATACTTTTCGGTGGTGTTCCTTTAATTAATTCGCGCGTGTGTGATGCCCGGGAGTCGTGCCAGTACCGATCCAGAGCATAAGTCACCGCGAGAAAGTGGTGAAGATTCTGAAGATGAGAGCGAAATCCTGGAGGAGAGCCCCTGCGGGCGGTGGCTCAAACGCCGGGAAGAGGTATTATAAATTTCCATGTTTTTATGGCTTTCTTTTGATATTTAGCAGAAATCCTTGTCCACACGCTTTGTCTCCCTGCTATCAACAGGAGGTCGCTATCACGTTGTCAAATTTATTTCGTGGAAAATTGAATTTGCAATCTCGTGAATCAAAATATTAATCATATTGGAATTCAAAGAGATATTTCCTGGGATTACCCCTTATAGATTGCCTTGTTTTTGCAGATTTCCATTCATCTTAGTTTTTCCTCTTTTGGTAGAAATTTTCCTGTTTATACTCGATAGTCTAAATAAAAAAAAGTTTATAGTTTAAATTAATTAAAGTTGTTTACTCGAATCTTCAATTAAATTTCATTTTATTAATCTTGCAAAAGAAACTGATAGAATTAAAAACGATACTCCAAATTGATTGTTAACATTTTTGGAGAACATTTGAGAATCAATATTGCAAAATGAGTATTTTTTTTATTAATTCGATTGGCATAGGCAAAAGAAATTTTTTTTCACTGATCATTGCTGTATATTTGGATTTTGACATCTTAATTGGCGAATAATTTTGACGATTTGTTATATTGTATTTGATTTTCAAGCATTCAGTATAAGTTTGCTGGTATTAATCCCGATTATTCGATTTTTTGGTATTTCAAATAGAAAAAATAAAAAAAAAAAGTAGTGAGAACTCAGGTTAGGTTGAAAACCAGTTTGAACATAACCTCTCATAGGACAAAGCGAGAGATTTCATGAGATTCTGAAATTGTGTGTGAGGAATTTTGTTATACGTATAGGATATCAAAAATAATAAATATTTTTTAATACTTTTTTAAATTATTCAAAAAACAAAAACTGGTTTGTTGTTGTTGTTATTATTATTGTTCTCTTGTGGAGGATTTCAAACTTTTAAGTAAATTTATATAATTCTTTTAACGAGACTTTTAATTTAATTATTTACCTAAATTAGTTTTATAAATTGATTTTATTAATTTAATTAAGGATTCAATTTGCTTAATTTTTTTTATTCTATTTTCACTTGTTTTTAAATCTTTTAAATTGTTGAATTAATATTACAATTTCGAATTAATTAATTATAACGAAATATTAAATAATTAGTTTGTAATATTTATATTGATAACATATTATCTCATTTTCGATAAACAATTCTTGACCTCAAATTAGAAATTAATAAAGCTAATTATTTTCATATATATATATACAATCTATAAATATAAAATCACTTCTTTTTTTAAAATGTTAATATAGGTATAAAATAAACATTTGAAATATATGTACATAAATTATAACAGCTGATTATCATAGAAATATTTGCCATAAAGCAAATCCTTAATCTTATCTTAAAGTCACTTTTGCTTTGCTGGGGTTGAACATTTATTCAGATATTACGTATATATATACACATTCTTGTTTCAATAATTTTTTTTTTAATTCATTCATTTTACTTTGCGAAAAGAAATATAACCTTTGCACTACTTGTTGAAATTAAATTAAACTAAATTGTGAACTAAAAATAGTTCAATATATATGCACAAAAGTAAAGACCTCAATGTATATTATGTTCTTAGCAATCGATTAATTATTTATATTTCAATAATAAACAAACATTTGAATTTTAAATTATTATTATTTTTTTTTTTTTTATTAAAATTGAAATTTATTATTATTAATGAAAAGTATATAAAATTCTAATTGAAATTTATAAAAAAAATTTTCCCTTTGCATTAAATTTATTATTAAAATTTGGACAATATTGTAGACGCAGTTGATTTTCATCTAAATTTAGTACCCTTATGTAGATGCATTTTTGGATTTATAGAGAAGTAAATTTGCATATATGCTGAATTTATTTGGTCTACGTTCTTGGCACTGGCGATTCACTTGACAATTTCATATTTTATGCTAAAAATAAACAAAATAATTTGCCTATTGAAATGTCTGCGAGAAATTTTTCAATTTCCAAAAAGATTTTCAATACTATAAGAATAATAATTAAAAATTTTTTTTTTTTTTTTAATTCTAAAATTATCTTTTTGAAAAATTTGAATAATTTTCCTTATATTATATACAGAGACTGAGCGATATAAATTAAGAAAATTTTAATTATATACAAAATATTGAATGACAGACATAAATATCAATGAAATATAATATTTCTTATTATGTTTACTGTAAATATTGACAGAAGAATATTTTAAAGTTCTCAGTTACAATGTATCCATTAGACCCTAAAGAGTGTAGTCAAAATTTTTCTCCTCCAGTGGTAAAATTTTTTTATTTGGAAATTTTTATTTTTTTTATTATTCTTCACGTGTATTCAAAGAAATTTAAAAGAATATCTTTTCTAAAAAAAAAAAAAAAGAAAATAGTTTTGCTGAAAGAAAAATCACAAGTTCGTAATACATGAAATTTGTCTTCTTGACATTTTAGGTCTATGTAGGTACAAAGCATTCCTTAGGAGACGGCGCTAACTTTGCAGTATCAAAACTTGGTGAAAATGAAACTTCTGAAATGAAGGTATGTATTGCAGAAAAAAAAAATGAAAGAAATCATTATTATTGTCTCAAAAACGAACTTGTGGTTCATTAAATTCATTTATATTCTCTCACATCAATATCAAATAATATATATATATTATTCTCGCATGACAATATGATATTCAAGAATAGTTTGAATACATTATGAGAATTTATAATATTATATATATCTATTTTTTTATAGCTCTCATTATTTTTAGTTTATTTCAAAGTCATTTTCATTCATTAAAATAGTTTGGTATAATAATTAGTTTAATCACTTTTTTTTGACATTTGACTTTTCATTTTTATAAATACAAAATTTACTTTAGTTAAATGTTCATTTGATATTTTAGTCAATCATCATGTCTGTTTATAATGATATATAAACCCTATTCTGTATATTGTCCTATCTCCCCTCCTGAAATTCTTAGCAAGGTCACATTCATGTAATGGCAAATGGGCATGAAATCGTTCCAACTATGCGCTCTAAGTAAAGCTCATATAAAAGGATGATTACTATTTTACAATAGATTTCCTGAAATACTCAATTATTGTCACCATCATCGAATCATTTTCTTTTCTTTTTTTTCAATGAATAATCGCAATTATTCTTTTTCTTATTTTATTAATAGATTAATTTTTTGAAAGCGGACAAAATTGACAAAAGTAGAAAAGAAATGATTTTTTCAAAAATGATGATTTAGAGGGAAGAATTCTTTGGGAGAATTAATTTGAATTTGTTTCTGTGAATCTCATTTTAAATTCAAGGATTCTTTTCAGAAAAAAAGAAAATGGGACCAAAAAATTGCGAGAGAAAAAAAAATCGTTATAGCGAGAATAGAATTTATTTCTATATTGAACAAAAATTCAAATTTAGAATTTAAATCTCTTTTTTTAAATTTGATACTTCATTTTAATTTTTTTTTTTTTAGAGGTCATTCGGAGAAGTTTGTAATAATTTATTGTGCCTCTTGTGAAAGTTTGACTCAATTAATAAATTATTATACAAAACTTTTGTCAATTTTATACAGTCACTCATTATTATTTTTTTTTCATAATCTCATTTTTATAATAATAAATTAATTCAGACATTTTGAATAAATTTCAATTAGATTTTATTGTAGATAATAATTTTTATTTATCATTTTTAATTTGAGATATTAATAAATTGTGTACCTTTTTTTTGGACACAGGTTGAGCAACGGGACGTTCCGGGCATAGATTGTGCCTATCTGGCAATGGATACCGAGGAGGGTGTGGAAGTTGTCTGGAATGAGGTGCAATTTTCCGAGAGAAAAAATTTTAAAGCTCAAGAAGAAAAAATACAACAGGTGTTTGAAAATCTAACGCAGTTAGAACATCCAAACATTGTTAAGTTTCATAGGTATTGGACGGACACCCACAATGATAAGCCACGGGTGAGTCATATATTGCGTGTGTTTATTAATGAACTATAGATTTTAAACTAATACATATATAAATAAACGTTTTAGCTTATGTAAAATATTTCTTTTCAAATTGCGCGACTTATTTAAATTGAATTTTTATTTGCTTTTGTTTGATTATTTATTCTTTTATTTTTTAATTCAATATAGGTGATATTCATCACTGAATATATGTCTTCTGGTTCGTTGAAGCAATTTTTAAAACGAACAAAACGAAACGTTAAAAAGTTACCTCTACAGGCGTGGAAAAGATGGTGCACGCAAATTCTTTCTGCATTAAGGTAAATTTAATTTAATTTCTCTTTGTGGAAAATTTTTAATTAATTTTTATGCTAATTATAAATATTCTATTAAATATTATTTTATAATCTAATTTTCATAAGAATTATCTTATTGAAATTCTCGAATTATTTTTCAGTTATTTGCATTCCTGTTCTCCACCTATAATTCATGGAAATTTAACCTGCGACACTATTTTCATTCAACACAATGGACTAGTAAAAATTGGTTCAGGTTAGTAACACCTTTTTTTGATGTATCTTTATATGGCAAAATAATTTTTTTTTAAATTATTTTTCGTTATTTCTTTTCGTTGTTATGAATGCAAAACGTCGAAGAGTATTAAATTCATGAAAATTGAAGCTCCTTAAGTGTTATGTACAGCACAGCGTGTATGAATGAAATTATGTGGTCCTATCACGGTCGCTTGATACTTTCTCAATCGCGTCATATCACTCGATATATAATATATAACGTGTGGGAGAGTTAAACCGGATTTAATTAAATACATATGTCTCAAATTTATAAAATTAAAAAATTTTATTATTGTTCTTTTATTTTATTTTTTTTTTGTCAGTGTATTTATAAATTTTTGTTATTGTCATTCGCAATTATATAGACACGCGCAATTCGAATGAAATAAGACGCAATATTTCAAGACTTTGCCTTTGAGCTTTCGATTGATAATATGCATTAAAATAATAATAATAATAACGTATATTACTTAATAATCATAATCGAAAGGAATTCGTTAAACAAATATTTATGAATATTCTTTTTGATAGCGATTGAATTTAATTTATTTGACGAAAATAAATTACGATCTTTATAATTTCTAACGAAAATAATGTGAAGAAGTTAAGATCGGAAAATGAGAGTTTAATCCACTAAATTAACACCTACCTACACAGTGTATATATATATATCGCGTAATTTTTCCATTTAGAATGATTAACGAGACGCATGAATATTACTCTAAAAAAAAAAGTCGAATGTCTAGTGAATTGAAATTTTAAATAACGAATTATGTGAAAATTTTTTGTTTAATTAAATTTTAATTTCTAAAATACTTTTTGTAAATTTTTTAAAGAAATTACTGAATATTTGTTTTATTTTTTAGATATTGATTTTAATTTTTGATTTCAGTTGCGCCTGATGCGATTCATCAGCACGTGAAAACTTGTAGAGAAAACATGAAGAATATACATTTCGTAGCTCCCGAATATGGAAGTGAGTATTTTTAATTTTTATATCAATTATTGATAAATCGAAAGGATTAAAAAAAACTTTTTTCTAATTTACAGGTTCGTTAACACCGGCAATAGATATTTATTCATTTGGTATGTGTGCATTGGAAATGGCGGCGTTAGAAATTCAAGGAAATGGCGAGAGTGGAACTGTTGTCACTGAGGAAAATATTAGGAAAACAATAGAATCATTAGATGATGCTCAACAAAAAGACTTCATTAGTAAATGTCTTCAATCGGATCCACTCAGTAGACCGAGTGCCAGGGAATTATTATTTCACCCTGTCCTATTCGAAGTCCATTCGCTCAAATTACTTTCGGCACATGCCCTTGTCAATTCAGCCAGTTAGTTATTAATATTTAAAAATGTTTAATTTAACTTTAAAAATTTCTTGAATTTATAAATTTTGTTGTTTTTTTTCAGCGAATATTTCGGAAACTATAACTGACGAAGTTTTGCAAAGGTTATATGGACCCGATACGATAGTTGCTGAATTACGATTTAAGAATCGGCCTCCTCAAGAGATTCGATTCAGTGATATACCAGTTGCTGAGAAATTAGAAAAATTTGTGGAAGATGTGAAGTAAGTGAATATTTTGTCATTTATTTAAAATCGATGATGAAGAATTTCAATGATTAGTTAGTATTTTTTTTCAAAGTTTCATTTATCAATAACGACATAAAAATTTCAAATTAATTTGAATAATCATAATTTCAGGCTTCACAGTTTTTTCTCCTATTCCTCTATTTTACAAAATTCCCCTTTTTTGCCATTTTTATTAATATTTCCACTCCTTTCCCCTATTTTATCGAATGGGATATTTAATAAAAATCCAAACTTGAACCAAAAAAAAAAAAAAATGACAAGCCTCGGAATTTTTTTTTTATACTGTGAAACTATGAAATTATGAAAGAAATTGTATTAAAAATTAAAAAGAAGACAAAGAAGAAAAAAGATAGTTTTCAATTATCACTGGGTGTAAAAATTTTAGGCGCTGAATTTTATAATTAAATGCGACTCATTTTTTATTCAGATATGGAATTTATCCTTTGACTGCATTTGTCGCGAAACTTCCGCCTCCCGCTCGTCCGAGAGCAATTTCGCCTGAAGTTACGGAATCTGTTAAATCTGTAACTCCAGAACCTTATGACGAAGAGGCTCGTAGAGTAGTCAATATGATGTGTAATGTGAAACCGAAGGAAGACAGTAATGAATTAAATGTAAGTCGATTAAAAAAAAAATTGCACCATGTTTTTTTGGTTTGTAAATTTTTCTTACAAAAAAAAAAAAAATCCCAAAGAAAATTTTTCTAAATGAATTTTCTTGATAGTAAAAATTTATTTTTGTGTTTTATAAATTAAGTAAGTAAAATTTGTTATCCCTAAAATTAATTATAAGTAAGTAAAATTATAATTTATTATTTTTGAAATTGAAATCTTGGTAAAGAAGGTTAAAGCCCAAAAGTTCCATAGGCCCTTTCTTTATTTTTTCTATTCGTTAATTTTGTAATTCTTACCCTTTTTTTTTTAGATGACCATATTACTTCGAATGGACGATAAAATGAATAGACAATTGACTTGTCCAGTGAGTCAAACGGACACTCCAATGCTTCTCGCTCAGGAACTTGTACATTTTGGGTTTATAAATGATGTAAGTTTCCCCCGAAAAAAATATTTATTTTGAAAAAAAACAGGTACTGTGATCATTTTTTTTTTTTTGTATCAAAACTAATTTCCTTTTTTTTATTGAATTTCATTTTTTTGCAGGTTGACAGAGACAAAATAGCGAATTTAATTGAGGAAGCATTAAGATGTTGTTTCAATAAACAAATGATGACACCAGAAATATTGTCATTGTCAAATCTTCCTTCACAAACGTTACTGTTACCGGGTCCAGAATTTCCACGCTTACAAGATAATAATGATAATACAACAACAAATGCCGGCAATGCAGTGACAACAAGTAGTGATAGTGTGTCAAGCATCCCGCCAAAAACCTCAGGACATTCAGAATCAATTAATAAAATGAAAATTTACCAAGACGAAGGAGAACCGCCAACGATCACTGAAACTGGCAGTTAACCATCGAGGACAATTGGTAATTCAGTTCACTGTGCCACTCTGCACGCCCTTTGTATAGACTGGCTATGTATTTTTATATTTAAGTAAATTTAAAAAATAGCAAGAGAGAGAGAGAGAGTGTGTGTGAGAAAAAGAAAAAAAAAAAACGTGAGAAATCGTTTCGACTGAAAGTATGTAAAAGAAGAGAGAGAGGTGGAGGGGTGCCGTGGCTGTATTACATTTAAGCATGTTTACATGTGTGTGTTTGCTATGCAAATCAGTGTGAATACATTGTTTTCATTTTTCTAAATCGTCTAAGGGAAAAAAAATGAACTTCCAATTTGTGTGAATGTGCAAAATCGAAGGGCTTGAAAAAAAAGAATAACAACGATTTCGATTTAAGTTTAAGATATCTAAGAAGCCCAATGAAAAAATGAATAAAATATGTTATTTTTAATTGTTTTTTAAATGTGCCTCTTTTTTTTCATAAGTTTCTTTAATTGAAACTCCCGCCAGTAATAATTGAAAGTCCCTCCGTTGTATCAATTTTAAGTATACATAATATTTTAATCCACTTTCGAGCCCTTTGATCAATATTATCAGGTTTTCTCTTTGGGTCTTGACAAATAATTCAGAAAAAAATCTCTAGAATAAATAATTTCGATTTAGAAAAACAAAAAAAATAAATAATAGAAAATTTAAATTATTGATTTATTATTATTACAATTAGAGAATTTTTTCAATGGAATATTTGTTCTCACCTAGAATTTGTCAATTCGAACGACAGTAACGCCGCTAATAAATGCTTATGTTTCCTTTATCGCGAAATTTAATCGTGTTTTTGGAATCTCGCACAAAAAAAAAATGAAAGAGAAAGAAATTGTTTCTTGTAAACAATTTTTTTTTGAATTTCACAGTGGAAAAAATAAGACTTTCGTCGAAACGCTATTTTAAACAAACAAAACAAAAAAAAAAAGCATTATTTATGTAACGTCGACTCCACTGACCAAAGTTTTTAAATGAATCAAACCGCATTATTGAGATGATTGTATTTATGTAAACAACGTGAAACTGGAATTACTTTATTATATTATATATATATATATATATAAATATATATTTCTGATCTGAGTGATTACAGAAAATTTTAGGAAATACGTGTTCGTCCGACTATTTTTGACCAAATAATACGTATAATAATTTACGTATTTTATTTAAATTAAATTATTTCTAGCGACGAGAGATAAAAAGAGAAAAAAAAAGTTGTCAGGTGTCAGTAAATAAAATGCCATACATTGATTTTATTTATAACTTCATTTTTGTATCATATTCATTTTTTTTTTTTTTTTTTTATAAATATAATTTCATTTCTTTTTGCTGTGAAGAAATTAAATTTTTAATGGCATAAAAGGAATTTATTAGGTTCTTAAATTAAAGAATTATTAAATATTTCAAAGATATTTAATTTATTTTTTATTATAAAATTTTAAAAAAATTTTATTATATTCAAAGTTTTATTTTGAAACGAATCTTTTAATTAAAAAAAAGTATTTCAAAGCAAAGGAATTAACTAATTTATTATTCAAAAAAGGAGAAAAAAATATTGTATTTACGTAAAAACGTACGAAATTATCGATAATTAGTAGAAAAAATTTTCTTTTTTACAAAAAGCATAATTTATTACTATTTTTCGATTTAATAAAATAATTTTTGAAAATGGAATTTAATAAATTCCTCTTGTTTTTATTTTATAAGAATTGACGAGATGTTAAACAAAGAAATAAAAGTGTAACGAAATTTTTCACTTATGCGAATAAAAATTTTTGCAACTGTTATAAATTTTAACTTTTGAAATATAAGCCAAAAGAAAAATAAATACGGACGAATTACGAATTGATTTTCTTTTTCTTCTTTTTTTTTTTGTAATTCTCAAATTTCAAGCCTCAGATTGCGATCAAGATCCAATATCATAAAAAAAAAGATCGCTGTGATGTTAATAGACAATGTGGTCGTTGTGTAATAATTGCTGGATTGAAAAAAAAATACAAGAAACATGTTTACGTGATAGCTTCGAATATAAGTTCTTGATTATTTTACGAGAGCAAAACAATCAGGAAACTAGATACAAAACAAAAGAAAGAAAATTATAATTCTATGCAAAAAAAATATAAAATTTTTGCAAACAAAAATACAATTTTTCAAAATTAAAAAAACAATTTACAATGTAAAAAAAAAGAAAAATGAAATGAAAACTTGTAGCATTATTGACAAAAAAGAAAAAAAAAATATCAGGTAATTTTTGACCTGCGTCTTTTTTTTTCTTAATTTTTAATGTGATTTAAATAATAATCACACGGTGATTAAGCCTCGGATGAAAATTAGCTGAAATCTTTGTAAATAATTTATATTTTTAAGAGAGTCTGTTGGACACAGAAAAACTAGTCATATAGCTATATTCGAGTGCTAATGAACTAACACAGACCTTGTTATTTTTTTTGCATTTATAACACGTGCTTGGTCAAGAAACTGCTCCAGTTTTCGTACCTTGATTTAATAAAAAGAAAAAAAAAGAAAATATAAAAAACAAAAAAAAAAAGAATCACCTACTGTGACGCATTTTACTAACCTTTACTAAAGGTAATTATTACCAACACCATAAACTTCGATCTTAAAATATGTAAGTAGGTTATATATAATAAATATGTATAACTTTACAGTAAATAAAATTATAACGAACCAGGTAAAAAAAAAACAAAAAGAGTACGACTGAAATCATGGATATTATAAAAGGGCTGTACAATAACAGTGATAAATAAATAATGTAACTCGAATAATTCATTTTTTTATTTTTTAGAAAATCTTTTTTTTTTAATATTGTCCCCTATTTCTTTTTTTTTAAATCAAGGTAATTTATGTAATAAAAAAAAAAAAATTATAATTCGAGGGTTTAGAAATTAAACACCTTTGATTTTTATAAAACTCTTATATAATATATCATCTGGGAAATTTTTTTTTGCACATTTACTGACTAAAAATTACATTATAAATCAGTCTTAATTACAATATTCTCATTCATATCTCGAAGTTTGATTTTTTACTCTACACTTATTTTTTTTTAAGATTGTTTCAGATCTCTTTCTCGAAGCGTATAAAAATTTGATTTGATGATTTTTTTTTTCATAGAAAAAAGAGAGATGATGAGAAAAATGTTAATAATTATATAAAGATGATGATGAAATTTTACATTATAATATATGAATGAAAGATAATAAAGAAATTTGTCAAATATATAATTATTATATATATATATTAGAGAAATAATCGAACGATCGGACAGAATTATGTTTTCTCTTCATTATTCGTTTGTGTACGATTGAGCAGATAATCAAGATCATGAGATATTCGATCTAACATTCCACTTGCGCTGTTCGTTTCACAATTTAATAATTTAAGCTCGGCAATTTTTTCCTCACCATCGGGTTGCTTACGTTCCATGGTGTTTGCAATGTCAGGTATAACAGTAACGTGTTCTATTTTATTATTTACAAGATCTGTATTATTTACGTTATTTAACAATTCCACTTCACTATTTACAGCTAAAGTCACATCGGGCATTGAATTTATTCCTATTGTTGTTGTTTCAACGTCGGCACTACATAAAATTGTCGTTGTCGTACATTCAGATGGTGTGACACTTTGCGATGGTAGACAAACTTGAACAGGTATCTCTTGGGATGTTGAAAATTTATTAAAGTCACGAAATGTTGTACAACATTCATTCATTGTTGTATAGCCCTCAGGAATATAAGAAGAATCAATCAATGAATGTCGATTTGTAAAATTTGTATCCAATTTTGTTTCTTGATATTTACGTGGACTTGTATTGTAATTCTCAAGATTTATATCGTCAGTATTGTCAATACGAATCTCGGGTAAAAATCTATTTTTCACCATAGGGACGGAGGAAGACTTTGGATAAGCAATAATCTCGTTCATATAATCCCTCATGTCAAGACTACCGGCCGCTATTCCACGTGATTCACGATATTTTGTCTCAGTGAGTAGATGCGTTGGCGCCAAATCATTTTCAACTTCGGGATTCATTTTCGAGCACACTGGAAAACAATTATTATTATTATTATTATTATTATTACTTTTATTAATATCAGGTAATTTAATATTATAATTTCTCTGTCTAGAGAAATTTTCATTTCATTTGTCCGCAGGTCTTTCCACCTAATTATTTCTGAAGAGTAATTAAACCTTAAGGGGAGGGCTTGTGAAAGTACCTTTAATTTGATCAGAGATGCATTCCTCTTCAATGCCTCCTTTATGCCTTGCTTTACATTTGGAAATCAAGCACTTGAGCTCATTGCTTACGACATACGTCATGAAAATAATGAATCCCTGCTCAGAGAAGGATCAACATTAATTAAAAAAAAAAGTGAGTCAAAAATTATAATAATAAAAAATTACAAACCAACAACGCCGCCGAAACTGCAAATGCATAATGAAAAATAATTGATGATGAATTTATATAAAATACCGATGATGCCTCCATAACGATAATTCCACAAACAATAACAGTTGTTCGATGAACCATATGAACACTAAAAGAAATTTTTTTTTTTAATTAAAACATTCGTTAATAAAAATCTATAAAATAGTTGTTTACCTTGATATAATAGATTCTTTTTTTACAATACTTCTTTTAACGAGAGCTTGACTTCTAAGTAACACTCCACCGTATAGTAAACCAAAAATTAATAGCATCATTGCAGTGCAAGTTATAAATATATTATAGACACCACTACCGAAAATTAACCACCATGATTCATGTCGCCAACCTGCACTTTTGTGAATTAATTCCGTTGCTAATACTGATAAAATTGGAACACCTGAAAACAAAAAATCACAACAAAATTTAAATATACAATAATTATTATAATTTTCAAATTTTAATATTTTACTGACATTACAAAAAAAAAACAAAGTGAAAAAAAACAATTGTTCACAAAAACATTTAAATTATAGTTATTAATATTCACCGGTAATAACGGCAATTACTGTTGGTTGCAGGTGGTGGCTAGGACGGACGTTTGTAAGCTCGGCGTAAATGATTAGCGCTTGAGATATTGGCGCTGTCATAGCAACGAGGAGAAAAGTCTCCAGACTTAATGCCACGATAGACCAGGAACTCTATAAAACCATTGAATTTGTTTATTCTTGTGAGTATTACAGAGAAATAGAAAATTAATTTTTAAAAAAAGTATCAATTAGCAATACAATAATTTACTTAATAGAGTAAACAAAAAAGTAATTAAATTTGAAAAAAAACAAACAAATTAATTAAAATTATTACCTCGGGAATATTATTGATCACTGCATAAATGAACATTCCCATTGCCGCAATAATTGCAGCGCAACATTGTAATTTAAGAAAGTTCAACCATGTACGATTATTCCACCAAAAGAGTCCGATAATCAATGAAGAAAGTAGACATTGAAGTAAACAACTACCACAGCCAAATACCACAATTAATGGTGTTTTCTCACTTTTCAATTCAGTGATCTGTTAGAAAATTTTCAAAATAATCATTTTTTTTTTTTCAAATTTTTCTCTTTATAAATTATAACAAGAAAATAAATTACTTTAGTCGCTTGAGATGTGAGAAATACGGCAAATATTCCTGTACTTGGACATAAACATTGAACAGTTCTTTCCTCTGACAATGGTGTTAGTGAGCAAACATTTAAATCCCATGATCCAGAATTATCATAAAAACCACACGAAACATTCCACATTGATGTTTGATTACTTAAATGACGCATTTGTAAATCCACCCAAATATTGTCTGTATCTTTTGGAAAATGATTCGAGGCCGTTACCATAATTACACGTGAATCAATACGATATTTTAAATCGCTTCCGTCTCTGAAAAAAAAGAAGAAAATTATTAAATTAGAAATTTCAGAAATTAAATTTTAAATAATATAATTAAAATAAAATACGTACTCGAGTTTCTTTTCGAAAATTCCTGGCATGAGATGTGTTAAATTTCGAAAAACAATAACACTACCAGTAACAGAAAAATTGGCAGTTGAAGAAAATTGTTTTCTTAATGATCGAATTGTAATTTTGTCATCATACCAATTTGGATATCTAATTAATAAAGAAAAAAAGAAATTGCTTGAAAAATGTATTGAAAAAAATTTAATTATTAAAATATTTATTAAATTAACATTGAATATTTACACATAATTGTCGGAAGGTACAATCATTGTCCAATAATTATTTTTCATTTGTAACGATTGCATATCTAATATTAAAGACGACATGCTCAAATGTTTATGAGCATCTATTGACTGTTTAGTCCAATGGGTCAAAGTTCTCTGAGTCAAGTGCTTTAAAAGATGTAATTTCTGAAACATATTCCCCGACAAGTATAAACAATATTTTAATAAATAAAACATGTGATGATAATAATAATATTATTGCGTAAACAAAATATTATTAAAAGTTTACATAAAATATATCGTAAACAATATTTTTTTTTTCAAATTTAATATTAAATAAACGAGAAAATATATTCGATTTCAAAAAATATGATTTTTATACAACAAATTATAATTATAATTTTTTTGAATAGTAAAAAATATATCAAATTTTGAGAAAATATTTTCAGTTTCAAAGAAAATTAAAGTAATGAATTTTTATTGAATTTACCTGTTGATTGTATATCGCACTTTCTTCTTCTAGAATTCTATTTAATATTCCAATCATAGACTCTGCCGAGTTGGCCAAATCTCTCGTGTCATCAATATTAAATTGATATAATTCTATCTCGGCGAGGATGTTTAAAATCCGATCACCTTCACCGGGATAGAACGAGGATGATCGATTTCGTAAAATGTTCCAGAATTCATTTATTGTTTCAGAACCAGTTGTATTTTGATAACCGAGTGTTAAACTACGAAACTGGAATTTAAAAAAATAAACAATTTTTTAAAAAAAATAAACCTTTTGAAATAATATTCATTATTTTAATTTATTCTTCTTTTTAGTAATTAAATAAAATAAAAAAAAATGTTACCTTGTTATAGGTAAGAATTAATGGTTCATAGAGGCAATTGGAAAAATCAGGACTTTGCCACCTCGTTGAAGTTGCATCTTTCATTGAGCAAAGCCTCGAAGCATGACGTCCAATAAAATGTCGAGGACAATCAAGAAGTGCTTCTGTTCCAGGACCAGTTTCGGACCATTCTAAGCCCCAGGATTTTTCTTTTTGACAAAGAGGAATCAAAGTTCGATTCACAACTTCCACACGAACTGACATTGACCTTAAGGCAACGTTACAGGTATATATTGCAGATTTCTAAAATTGAAAAAAATGATCTTTCAATATGAAATGTTTTTATTGAAATTTTTTTTTTCCTTTAAAAAAGAAACCTCTTTCTCATAAAAAAATTGAATTTCTCTTAATTGAATTTCTATTTTTAAAATTTTCGAATTTTTATTAAAAATAATTTGATTATTAATTTTTTCAATATAGATGATAATAAATTTATAACCTGAGCTTTTGTAATTTTTAAAATACTTCCGGCTGGATAGAGATCTTCCCAAACTTCACTTCCTGGTTCTAATTTTAAAAGAGCTCGATTTTTCGTCCAGCCAAAACCAATTCCAAGACTTCTCATATTTGGTGTAATGCACATCAATTTAATGCTTCCGCCCTTAAAAAAAAAAAAAAAATCTTATAATTCACTAATTTATCATTGGAATTTATTTTCAAATAATAAGTAATATTAATTTTTTTTTGAAGTAAATTTAAATTTCTCAAAATGTATACTAGTTTCAATTTTGCAAACTCTCTGATTAAAATAGAGAGAGAGAGAAATGATTTTAAATCCGAAAGCATTAAACGTTTTGGGGATGCATTCAATTTGAAGCTGTTGGAAATTTATTATCTGAAATTACGGCGCATTTGGTTTAAAAGCCATTGCATTTTAACAAATGGAATGTAGGAGGAACCCAACTGGTCTCAAATTTTCCAAATTAAATGCCTTTACAAATTGAAAAATCATTTTATAATTGGGAGTAAGATAAATGTTATTGTTAGCGAGTTAATAAAACAAGAGATGAAAGAAAAAATATATATATATATATATATATTAATTCTAAATTTATTATTACCTTTTCCAGTGTCACACTCATTGGAACAACTTTAACGTCCGATTCATCTTTGATTTCAATATAAATACTTTTACATTGCTGCATTCCCCAATCGACAACTTGACACGTATATTTTCCACCGTCGAGAAGAGTTGCCTTGTCTATTGTCAATAAAGACGTATGCAAATCCGATCCATCATTTGGTAAGTGTCTATACCATATTTCTCTATAAAAAAAGGGTAAAGAATGTATAAAGTAAAAATTAAAACTTTTAAATTAATTTTTAATTTTTTTTTTTCATTTGAGAACAAAAATTTTAATTTAATAGAAAAAAAAGAATTTTAATAAAATATTTGAAAATTATTTAATTTTAGTTTCTTAAAAATTGAAATTTTCTCTCTCCTTTTTTTATTTATTTATTTTTTTTTTTTACCTTGTGGCTTTGCTCATATTGACAAGCATATTGTCCTTGTACCATGTAAAAGCAATATTATAACTTCCCTGTGCAACACAAGATAAAATGAATTGGTCACCCAATCGCACCTGATGCTCGTTCACTTGGTTGATACGTAAGCTCTAGTGAAAGAAAAATTGACACTATAAAAAAAAAAAGTCATCTTCTTTATTTACAGCGCCTTTAAATATTTTACTACACCTTAAGTCTGAGTGATGGTTTCTGCTGAAAGGTAAAGTGTGTGGATTCAAGAGTGATTTCGTTTAACCGTCGACGTTGAACGAGACGATTAAGTGCTTCTCGAATTTTATCCCCATCATGTGAGTTGCCGAAAAAATGAAACGTCACTTCCGATGAAGGTCTGTAAAAATCATTTTTCAACATTGTGAAAATTTACACAAATACACGAATTATTTTTTGCATGAATTTTCTTTTTTTTTTTTTATAACAATAAAAACTAAAAATTTAATTATTTAGAAAAAAAAAGTTTTTTTTTTGCTCAAGAAAAATGTTTAGCTTGTTTTATTTATTTTTAACTAAGAAAAATATTTCTTTAAATACTAATTTTTAATTTCTTTATGCGAAAAAAAAAGTTGGAAAATAATTTTTAAAAAAATCAGAGTATTTTTAAATTTTGCTAAAAACAAATTTTCGATTTTCATTGTGATTTTATAATTTTAGTATACCTACTCACGTCACGCTCAGGATTTTTAAGTCCTCCATTGAAGTGATACTAGCATTCTTTAAATATTTTGTAAGCTGCAAAAAAGAGAAATCTAATTTTAATAATCTATTTTCATTTTTCTGTTAATAAAATTTTAATTTAAATACCTTTTAATTATATATTAATAGAAAAAAATTTTAATTAATAAAATAACTACTTAAAAATAAGCAAAATAAAACAATTGAAAAAAAATATAAAATTAAATAATTAACAAAAATCAAGGAAAATTTGAAAAAAAAATTTCAAAAATGAGATTGTTAAATTCTAAAATATATACTCAAATCGATAAGCCACATATATATAAGTTGTGTCATAAATAAAGTTTTATGTTCGATTTTTATGTCAGACACATACGAGTGCAGTGTTTATGTCAATATGACAATATTTATTGGTTCAATCGAAAGCTTTTGCACTTTGGGGAAATGGAGCGAACAATTATTAATATTCTTTATTGCACAGTTATTGCAAATATTTTCACTGCTAATTTCGAATAAATTTTCATGTTAATTCATTTAGCGACTAACATATATATATATTTCAAAAACAATATTTTACAAAATATATAATTATAGATATATATATTATTTTCAAGAGTCATATTAATCAGAGCATTTCATTGCTATTCACAAAGGTCATATTTATTATGAAATTACGTTTAAATTCTTTGTTCTAAGTGAAAAATTTTTTCATCTTTTAGATTTGGAAAAAAAAAACGAAAAACAGATTAAATATTTTTATAATTTCTAATTTTATCATAAATTTCCATTTTTCAATAGAGAAAACTGTTTGAAAAAAAAATACATTGAACTATTTAAACTTTTGACTGACGCACATGAACTTGATTTAATATGAAGAAGGAAAAAGAAAAAAGTCGAAGATAAATTAATTTCATTTATTGATACAAATTACAATACAGTAAATAAGAAACTTAAGAGAAAAAAATAGATTATTTTTTTTTAAATTTCTCTCTCTCTGAAGAGAAAAGAAAATTCTCGGCGCTAATAATTTAACCAAGAATATTCAGAGCTTAAATTGTCGTGACATAATAAAAATGGAATTATTTTCCCTTTTGTCAGTAGTAAATCTTGACAATTCGTATAGATGCGCTTTTGCGCCGCGTCATATAATCAAGAACTTGATAAAGCTTCCAAGATCCTTTGACAGATTGAAGTAACACTTCTCTGCGAGCGACTCAATCCTTGTTTAGAGGGGTCAATTTTTTTTTTCCTCCTCGTCATTCTTTTTTTCCACACAACTCTCATCATCATCATCATCATCTCAAGAGAAAAACTTCGCAATGTTGAATTTCTTCAATTTCTTTTCCAGAATATCCGCTGTGGTACTTAAAAATCACTCAGGAGACTCCAAGAAATATGGTTCATCGGATGTAACTAGAACGCAGGATAAATCTGTTGCAGTTGGACACATCATATTTTTCAATGTATCCTTAGAGACACGAATAACTTCAATTCCATTCTCACGGCAATATGCTTCCAACAATGTAATTTGAAGATGACTCGCCGAATCAGTTTGTCCTTCATTTGGTAAAAAACAAACGCTACTTTGACATTTGGTGCTGGAAACTTTCGTTGTTGCCAAAACTCGTAACGTTGGCAGTAAGCCGCATGTGATTTTTCTTTCCGTTGACATCATATTGCGATTCTTTTTTCGCTTCCACAATTTTGTTCTGTAAGTATAATAAAATAGAATAAAAATTAATTTCACTGTATGTGTTGAGAAATTTTTTTTTTTTTTTTTTTCATATATAGCGGAAAAAGTTCATTCAAGATTGATTCTCTTGTGAAAAATCTCTTCGTGAAACGTCAAGTGGCATATCCAATTTCCCGTCACATTGATTTTTAGTTAAAATTTACGATTTTCTCTGTCACATTTATTCTTTTCTAAAGTGATATTTTTTTTTTTGCAATTTTGCACTATTTCAACTAGATTAAATTTAATAAGATTCGATTGAAATATTTTAAAAAAATAATAATTATTTGGAAAATTATAGTTTATTTAATCCAATTTTTTACAATTTAAATAAAAAAAAATTTATTGAATTTTCAATGTAAATCGATTTCACTAATTAAATTTTCTCTTGAATTCTTGATAAAATTATTAAATTCTCAATGGGTAGTTATAGAAAATTTTTAATTTTTATTTTCAATTAACTATTAATTTATTAATGATAAAAATTAATTTCAAAAAATTTATTTTTAATTTAATTCTAAAATTCGGTTTAGTTAATTTTTTAATACATTTTTTTTTTTTTGTAAATTCAATTCGTATTATTTATTTTATTCCATGTAGATTTTTACATTTATTTACAAATCCTTACTAATTCAATTAGTATTGTAATTGTTAATTTCAATTTTAATTGAAATTCTCAAGAATATTTTTTAAAAAAATCTGTTTATGCAAAATATTTGCGAAAAAAAATCTTTCTAGGGAAAAAAAAGAGATTTTTTGCAAAGAAGTCAATTTTTTTTTGCATAACTCAATATTTCCAAATGTATGATTATTTCGAGAATTTTAACATTGTCATCATGATAAGAAGATATTAAATGTTAAGTAGAAAAGAGATTAATTTTAATCTTCTTTCCACACTAAAACATTATAATCTTTATAACAATTTTAATTATTATACATTGAAAGTTGTTTCACAATCTGATGCAATATATTGTCTTTGGAAATTTACTATTGAATTTTTTTTAACTATTACATTTTTTTTTACAGGTATTGAAAAAAACAAATTTCATGAAAATTCAAAAATAATAACCAAGTTGTTAAAATGTGAGACATCAACCTTGAACTACTATCATAGGGGAATCACAGCACGCGCGTGATCGATTCTTCAAGTGTCTGGATTTGAATTTTCCTTACCTATCAGCAAAAGTTGTGAAAGGCATGCACTGTACTTCCTCGCAGGTCATATTGGTGAGTAATTTTTTTTTCTCCTTTAACGACGTTCTATTTATATTCAATTCACAGCAGCAGCAGCAATTGCACTTGAGATAAATTTTTAACGACTTGCTGGACTTGATTTTTCAACAAATTCCCAGTAAGAAAAATTGGTTGAACAATTTTTTATTTTTTTGTTGAGAAACACAAATTTTCAAATTCCAATCACTGAATGTTGAAAAAAAAACAAATTTTTTGCAATACACTTGAATAGCACTGAAAACTTTTTCTTTTTTTTTTGTTTTACTGAACACACGTTTTATAAGCAAAGATACGATATTGAATGACCTCGCACTTCTCGCGCTTCGCTTTTATTAACTCCTCGATCCCCCCCACCAACGTAATCATCGTCAACAAGTTTCCAAGTCGCGGTGAATTTAACATACGTTGAATGCTACCACGAGCCGCGCGCGCGGTTTATTTTATATATATATATATATATATATATATATATATATATATATATATATATATATATATATATATGCTGAGTTCCTGGTATCTTGAGATATCCCATGGATATGGGGAAATACGCGGACTATCGCTGTTGGAACGTTGGGAATCAGAATATTCACCTCCTTTTGCTCCATTTCGATCCAACGTGACTCATCTTTAATCTTGTGGAATGCCTTTTTTCACTTTTCATTAAAATAAGATAATATTAAAAGATAAAAAAAAATCATTGAACTCATTCACAAAACCAGATTTGCAAAGAAAATAATAATCTCATTTTTTTATATCAATGTCTCGTGAATGCTCATTGAAAAAAAAGATGATAAAAAATTGGTAACACGTGCAGAGGATTGTTTTTGATGTATTATGATGGACAGTGAATGGAAAACTAATTTAAAACGATCACTTCCAAGCCTTCAAGGCATTTCTTTTTTTTTTTTCTTTCTTTTTTGATTGATTGTAATTTTAAAGGATTTCGTAATTTATTTTTCAAAGTTCTTTTTTTTCTGTTTCGCTAAAAGTTTTTATCAAAAACGTAAATTTTGAAGGATTATATAATATATAGTACAATTATAGAGAATTTCTTTTTGGAGCTTTTTTTTTTACAAATTAATTAAAAATTTTTTTTTTGTCTCTAAAACATTAGAAAAAAATTTGTTTTTATTTCAATGTAAAAATTTCCTTATACATGAGGAAGTAGAAGCAAGATTGGAAAAAAATAATTGGAATTAAAAAATTCAAATTCTCAGTGTATTTGGAAAATATTTTTTTCAAAAATTGTATCGCAGATGAGAATTTGGAGGAAATTTGTAAAAAGCTTACTGCTTTAATTACTATTATAATTTCCGGGAAAAAAAAATTCTAACCAGAAAAATCTGTTTTTGAAATATTTGTTTAAAAAGAATTCTTTTTTTTTAAATAATCCAATTTTACATATTATTAAAGTAAATCAATTAATTATGTAATTAACGTTTTTATCCACTTTTGTATTAGATTTATTACTTTTTGTGTTTCCTTTTTCTGTCTTTAGTTGTTTCCTGTTAAGTATTAAATATATAGTTATTTACAAATGAGGAAAATCAAACGCTAAATACGCAGCATTTAAAGAAGGAAAACACATTTTAAAATGAGATAGTATTAACGTAACGAGGGGATTTCTCTAAAATAAACATTTCTTGGGATTCCATAAACTTTATTCCTTTTTTTATTTTTACTTATATTTTTATTTATTTTTAATTATTTTCAATTATTTTTAATTATTTCGTTTTAATTATTTATTAACTTTTACTTTGTTTAGTTTAAAAAGTAAAAAAGATGACAAAAATTTTCTATTCTAAAAATAGAATTCTTTTAAATTAAATGAGTCATATTTTTAAAAATATAATTAAATTTTAAAAAGATAATCAAAAAATTTGTGGAAAATTCAATTTTCGTTATCACAGAGAAAAAAAACAAAACAAATTTAATGTCAATTTAAGAGGATCCATTATATTAATGATTGGTATATATATCTACATTGATACAAGTTTTCTGATTGGGTTTTGAAATGTAGAAAATGAAATCCCCGCGAGTGGTGAAAAAAAAAATATTTCCAATCCAGTACAGTAGTAGAGGAAAAGAATGGACATACAATGGAATTCCCGATAAAGAAGAATTTATGAACGACTCTTTATCGAAAAAAAAGAGGGAGTTAGACAAATATGACAAATACACTGAGAATTTAAATTTATTACACTCGACTATATGTCGATTATTATTATTGAAAGTAAAAAAATTGGTCTCTTTTCTTTCTTTGTTTTTTTTTTTTTTTTGTTTTTGACAAATCAAATTAGAAATAACTGTTGAAAACATGTTTTCATTTCAAAAAACTAACATTAATATTTGTGAGCTTACGAAATGTGTATACGATAAAATAATAAACTGTTATTATTTTACTTTTGAAACTGGGAAAATTGAAATTTTTATCTACAATATTTGTTTTTTCCTTAATAATTATTTTTTATTTTCATTGAATTTATTTAAGAACTGTTTTTTTTTTTTTATTTGTAAATTACAAAGTTAATTTTTTTGATCAAAGCTATTTTTTCATTTAAAGATTCTATAAAATCAAATGAGGAATAAGTCAACTGTTAAGGAAAAAACTGTTATTATTAACTCGGAAAAGACTGAAAGGTGAAGGAAAACTTTTTCCTCTAGGAAAAAAGAAAGAAATTATGAAATTGAAAATTATTACTTCCATTGCAAAGTAAACATTTTTCAATTATATGTAAATGGATATCTATTTTTTAGATTTATAATTTTTATATTCTTTTGTTAAAATTTTTCAATATAGTTTTTTTTCGTTTTTATAATTTTCTATTTGGGAAAAATAATTTTTATATCCTTTCAATTTTCGGTTTTTTTTTTTTTTTTTTTTTTTAATTTTCAATTTTGCGTCTTTAGATTCATTAAGGGAAATAATATCAAATTGTCTCCAATGAAACTCATTTATCTTAAGAAAGATGAACATGGGAAACCTGAAAATGACAAGCACACACTAGAATATTACAGAAACGCTTTGTCATTGACTTTGTCTCCTTTTCTCTTATCAAAATTTTCATCTATTGCCATTTGAGAAAACCCTCGAGAGTGCTTTTAATCATTATTTTATTAAATTTAAAATAATTTCAGTTATTTAACAAAAGAATTTTTTTTCTTACAAACGAAAATAATTGAAATTTATTTTAATAAAAATAAATAAAAATAATAAATAATAATAATTAAAAAAAAAGAATGCGAAACAATTTGCGAAAAAAGTGATATTCAAAGAGAAAATTTTTAACCTTATGAAATTAATTTCCATATTTTTGATGAAAAATTGAAAAACATTTTTTTTTTCTTTTTTAAAGCCATTTTTCTGTTAAAAGTATTTGAACGATAAAAATGTTCAAATACATCATATTTTGTAAGTTACGTTTGTTCGTTCGATGCGAAAAAAAAAATATATATATATATATGAAGTTTGAGGCGATTTAATGTGAATCTATATCACTGACGGATTTTTTTTTTCTTATTGTTCGCAATATATTACTAACTTCCATGACACTCCTATATAAAATGAAAAATTCATGATGTGAAAAGTAGAGTTTTCTAAAACATCAACCTTCCTTTATAATGTCAATTTTTTAAATGAGGTGTCGCTAAGATTTATAACATATATACGATTTCACATATATGAGGTATATTCTCCATATTATTTTTATTGTAAAATGCTCTCTTGTTATATTGACAAAAAAGAATATAATAATAATAATAACAAAATTTAAAAAAATTTTGGCTCCATAAAATGCAAATGATAAAATTATTTAGTACTGATGAAATGAATTTTAATTATTAAAATATGAATTATTTGGGTATTTAACTATTTCCCATTTTTTTTAAACAATTAAATTGTATAAAATTAAAAGTCCAAATAAGAAATGTTTTTATTAATATTTCAAATATTAACTATTCAAATAATTTTGAAAAAAAATTGTTTTTAATCTCAAAGATAATATTTTTTTTCCATTTAATTTGAAGAAATAATTTTTATTACTTTCAAATTAGACAACATTTCTTTTAATTAAAAAACATTTTTAAAAAATTTTTAATTATACATATATAAATAAATGTACCTGCCAATAGTTAAATTCTATTTGAATAAATGATAATTAAATAAAAATAATAAATAATAAATAATTTAATAAAAAATTATATTATTTAATAAATTATATATAAATTAAAATAATACTTGAATTAAAAAAAAAAATTAATCAATTAATTAGTTCAATATTAATACTATGTTGCTAATTTTTGTGCAATATACTTGAAAAATTCAATATTAAATTCTTTTATCGTAAATCTCTATATATTGATATATAAACTGATTAAATTCTATGAAAGAATTTATCTATAAATTGTGCAATAATGATTCACAATTATTATCAAGTTCTTTCTAGGAAAAAAAAAAATTAAATTTTTTCGCTTTCTATACAATTTTCAGTAAACATTTATCGTTATCTTGTAATTTTGATAATAATTTTCAATTTTTTTTTTTTTTTAATAATTATACAGAAATTAATGCCAATAAAGCGTATGATATTATAAAATTAGCAATATTATAAATAAAAGAAAAATAAAATAATGAAAAAAAATACCGTTCATTAATAAGAAATGTCAACTTAAATAATATTATAAATGTAGAAATGTGTTCAATGACTTTTCTGTGAAGTTGCCTTTTATATCGTAACACATTGACTGATGAAACTTTCCAAAGGTGTCTGATTGTTACATCAGCCTTGCGTCTATCATTATTATATACGCTAAAAGTAGACACAAATTGTCTATTTTTAAAATCAAGGCAAATCATCAATGACAAAGCAAATTATATTGAAAAGGGAAAAAATTAATTAGCCTCTTATTTCCTATTATATTTTTCCGCATATTATGCTCAGTTAGGAATTTTTCCTTTTTTTTCATTTATTTCAAAAAATATTTCCAAAAAACAAAAAAAAATTACTCAATAAGTTTATATAAATTTTTTATTTCCTCAATAATTAAAGGATTTTTTTCGCTCAAAAGAAATTCGAAAAAAAATATTTTCGAATATTAAATAAACAAATTTTTTTTTTATTGAAAAAAAAATTATTTATTTAAATAAAGTATAGGGGCACTTTTTTTGATAAAGAACTTTTGTTTTATAAAATAAAGTAAAATTTGATAATAAATTATTTACTCTTACATAATTAATTGAAAAAGCGGAAACAATCATTTATATATAAAAGAAAAATCAGATTAAGACATTTTTTTTTTTAATAATCGACATTGATTAGTACATTGTTGATAAACGTACAATCAACCAGCGTTGAATTA